TCTTAGAATTGAATAGCATTAAATTGCCCTTATTGACTCAAGTAAGTGCTGCATATATCTACGAAAAATAGTCACTCTGAAGCACTCTGAGATGTTTTGATGTAATAAGACACCATAAAAATGCAAACATTTTCTTCTCTGTTTATCTGAAAGCGAGTTGGACCTATTTCTGTTAAGAAAAGAGAATCAAAAATTATTGTAATGGTAATAATTCTTGCATTTGGTATAGCGTCAAAGTGTCTCAGAGTACTTCACAGTTAATTTGCTGTCAAGTGTACTGACCGAAGGCAAACATGGCAGCCAATTTGCACACAGCAATATCCCACGAATAGGCATGAAGTGAATGATTAGTTTTATTGATTTCAATATCCTCATCCTCGGTTTACAACAATAATGATAGCAATCCATACAATTGGTACAGTGCCTTTCACATCGGGAGGACGTCTCAAAGCCCCTCACAAGATATAAGTAGAGTAACTGTTTACTTCCAGGCTGGAGCAAATTTGGGCACAACAATAAGGCGCAAACATCCATGAAGTGAATTTTTAATATGGGGGATTATTGTCCAGGACACCGGGAGAAACTCTCTTCTCTTTTTGAATAGTCTCACGGGATCTTTCAAATTCATTTCAACACGCAGATGGGACCTCAGTTTGTCTCATCCAAAGGATGGAATTTCTGACAATACTGTGCTTCCGCAAACTGTCAGCCTAAAGGTTAACACAGGAATTGACTCACAACAACAACAAATTACGTTTGTATAGTGCCTTTCATGTTGGGAGGATAGCCAAAGGAGCTGGACAGTCAAGGATTTGGACCTCATCTAGGGCTTGAGATCAGGAGGGGCGGAGGGCAGGAAGGGGAGGGATAGGAGGATAACCGAAGGTGCGGTCGAAGAGGATGGTCTTGAGATGGGCCTTGAAGGAGGCAAGGGAGAGAGCGAGGTGAAGGAACTGTGAGATGGAGTTCCAAAGGGTGGGGGCAGAAAGGCTGAAGGCCCAACCACCAAGGGTGGGGCAGGCCAGGCGGGGGACATGGAGCAGGTCAGAGCCCACTGAGCGAAGGGAGTGGACATTTCTGTAGGGACAACAATAACAACTTGGATTTATATAGTGCCCGCCACGCCGGATGGTGTCTCAGAGCGTTTCACAGTTTAGGATCCCGGGACCGGGAGATAGCTTGTCACAGAAGTAAGGAGGAACAAGACCGTGGAGAGCTTCGAACTCTATCCTCTGAGCAATGGGGAGCCAGTGGAGCTGGACGATGATGGGTATGATAGGTTTACGGAATAGGAATGAATAGCTCAAGGGTTCACTATTTACAAATCCTTTTTCTGCAAGTATCACAGATTAGTGAACCATGTTGATAATCTTTCAACTTTGATGATGTGTATGAGACTGAATCAAATCATTTGTAGTTGAATGGGTTCCCAACAGAAGATAAGATCTATCTTGTGTGGTTTTGATTATGAGAATTGTAGGAGAAACACTCAATTATTTAATGCTAATTGTTTGACGTCACCCTTGGTTGGTAGGAAGTAGTTGTGAAGGGGATATAAGACTGAACGTGCCAACAGCAATCTTAGACTTTAAGGACAGTCTCACTCAGAGTAGTACTGGTTGGAGTCCAAGCAAGCTGTAATTCTTTCAAACTGAATAGTTGGATGAAGAATTGAAGCATTGAAAACGAGTCTCTCCTGGGCAACAAGAAATGGTAAGGAACATTAATTATTCTGCTTTGGTTTATGCTTTTATTAATGGAATAATTGAAAATCTATTCCTATTTTATTTTGAAATAGGAAATAAAATCTCTAAAATGGAGATTTTATAAATAAAATTAATTTAAATTAATAAAAATTGAGATTTTATTTCCTATTTCAGTGTCAAAAAACATTGAAATACAAAATAAACAGATGTACTCAGAGCAGAGAAGAATTATATGTGAATTTTTTATTTAGTTATGAACTGTTTGGGACTAACAGACACGAATAACATTGAAAGAAAGTTGAAAGAAACTGTGGCAAGTTAAAAAAAAAAACACCCACAGTAAAATCAATAAACTGAAAGAGAAAAATAATTGCAATTGATTTTATGCTTAAAATATCAAAGAGTCTCAAAGCATTTCAGAGAGATAACAATAACAAATTACATTTGTATAGCGCCTTTCACATCGGGAGGACATAGATATGTTGTAAATGAATGTGTGATTGTAGGTGGATGCGGCAGCCAATTTTTGCACAGCAATGTCCAACAATCATGGAGTGAGTGATCAATTTTAATAGGAGATTTGTTGGCCAGGAACTCCCTTCTCTTTTTGAATAGTGCCATGTCCACATGAACAGGCATACCGGATCTTGGTTTAATGATTGATCTGAAGGATGACACCTCCAACAATGCAGTGCTCCCCCAAGAAAGCACTGAAGTATCAGCCTATTAGCTCGAAAACCTTGACTTGGAGCTTGAGCTCACAACCTTCTGACCTGGAGGTGTTTAGTCCTGCCACCAAGGTAGACATTAGGTACAAATATAGATGGGATGTCCTCCTGATATCCTCCCGACGTGGAAGGCACTATACAAATGCAATTTGTTGTTGTTATTGAGCCAACATAAGTCAGCAACAAGATCTATATTGATAATAATATAATCCTTGCATTTGATATACCACCTTATCACGTCTTCTAGACATTTCAAAGTGCTTCACAGAATACACTGTCAAATGCATTGACTGTGTAGTTGTGGGTGAAACACGGAAGTCAATTGCGCTCAGCAGTGTCCCACAAACAATCATGTATTTGAGTGACCAAATTACTATTTTAAAAAAATTTGAAGGATTTATTACACCTGGAAAACAGATCCACCAATCAACTAAAAACCAGGTTCTTATTTACTGCTAGATAAACAGAGGCATGTGGAGTAAGGAAATTTGCCTAATGTTTCGCCCAGCCCGGGAACTGAACCCAAGTCCTCTTGTTTGCAAAGTGATTGCGAAGCGAAAAGGCATGTTATTCTCCCTGAGATCAGAGCAAAATCTAGAGGGAGTTTCTAAGCAAATGACTAAAATTTAACAAATCTTCCGGTGCTTATTGAGCATAGAAACTAGAAACAAAAACCCCTTGGTTTCTCCCTCTTCAACTCAAAACCTATTGTTGTTTTGTTTCCATTTTGCCTGTGGGCAGGTCAGCAAAACTTTATCATAATTGCTCCACTTGAGCAGAGGGGTTTAATACTAGGAAGGCTAACTTGCATTTCCTTGTAATTGATTGGGTGGTGGGGGGGATATGATAGAAGTTAGTTAAAGATACAGAAGGGACATGCCTCATGGAATCCTGTAGCGTAATGGTTAGTGCTCTCACCTAGCAAGTGAGAGGATCCGGGTTCAAATCCCATGTGGGGCGAAACCTTAGGCAAGTTTCCGTGCTCCATACTCCTCTGTTTACTTAGCAGCAAGTAGGAATCCGGTTGTTAGTCAATTGGCTGCTGCATTTCGCCCACAAAATACATAGTCAATTCATTTTACAATATATCGTGTGAAAGCTTTGAGACATTGTCTTGATATGATAAGGTGCTATGTCAAATGTAATGATTATATTTATTATTATCATAGAGTAAATGGAAAACCATCTCCTGTATTTGGGGAATTTCTGGCAAGTAGGCTCAGGATTGTTGGCAAAAAAATTAGGGTGAGTTTAGATGGGATTTCTTCACTCAAAGGATTGTTAGGGTTTGGCATTCCTTACCACTAGTACTGTATTGAGAATTGAACATCAGAATTGTTCAAAGATAAGTGGATAAGCAACTGAGTGCAAAAAAACATTACGAGGTAAAGAAACAAATTTGGGATTAATAGAGGAGAGAACAATTCAGTAAAACAGATAGCATCAGGCAGACAACAAGAACAACTTGCATTTATATATTGCATGTTGTAGCAAGAGTTCTCACCATTACCAAAGTAGTGGTTAGGGAAGAAATCCACACATGAGTACAGTGCTGTTTCAGCGATGCTGTCTGAACATATTTTTAACATTTGCCTTGTATTATAAATCTATGCTTTAAATCAATGGTTTAGAAATTCATTTTTTAAAAAGCGTTAAACATTTGGGGATTTTTTTTCAGCAAAGAAGAAAATTGTATTCACATTCCCCCCTCCCTTGCCACCTTCAAGACTCATCTCAAAACCCTCTTCAACCGTGCTTTCGATCTTCCTGCTTTCCCCCCACCCCACCCCGCCCTCCACGACCCCTAGCTCGGGTCTGTAACTCTGTCTGTCCAGCGCCTTGGGACGTCTCTGCCCGACTTGAAAGGCGCTTCACAAATGTAATTTAGTTATTGTTGTTGTATAGCGCCCCTCACACAGGGTAGTGTCCAGAGTGCGTAATAAATGGTCCTCTTTTGCTCATAAAACTTCTATTGTTTTAGTTTTAGTAATAATAATTCTTGCATTTTACAAAGTGGCCTTTCACGTCAGGAGGATGCCTCCAAATTACAGAATTTACTGTAAAGTGTAGTGGCTGTGTATTTTGTAGATGAATGCAGCAGCCAATTGCATACATCAAATCCCACAAACAGCCATAAAATCAGTGACCAATTTTATTTGGGGGATTGCTGGCCAGAACACTGGGAAAAACTCCCTTTTCTTTTGCTCAATAGCGCCAAGGGATCTTTAACGTCCATCTAAACAGGCAGATGGGACCTCGGTTTGATGTCTCATCCAAAGGACGGCACCTCCAACAATATAACAATATAGTGCACTCCAAGCACTGCATTGGAGTGCAACCTTAGGCTATATGAGTTCCAAGTCCCTACATGGGGTTTGAATCCACAGTCTTCTGACTGAGAGGCGAGAGTGCTATTTCTACTTGAAAAAAAACAAATTCAATCAGCTGTATACAATGTAAGAGGTGAATTTGGTTTGTTCTTGTGGCTTTATATACTGATTTTGTTAACTTTGAATTGCAAAATATAGATCTGTGGCTTCCTCCTACAGGCATCTTGTGCTAAACAGAGACGACTTCAGATTCAGGGGGTTGCCGCACTCCATTGGCTTTTAATCATTCTCTATGGTAAGGACTTCTACGCTTATTACTTGGGTAACAAAGGGTCTTATTCTTAATGTCTCATCCAACAATGTAGCGCATCGCCAGAGATTTCAGCTGCTGCTCCTGCTTTCCAGAACTCTCTTCCAAAACCCCTTCCCATAACTCCCTCCCTGTCGACTTTCAAACCCTGTCTGAAAATATATCTCATTGACTGTGCCTTTCAACAACTAACCCCACCCAGGTCAGGCTCTCACTCTGTCTTTGTGAAGCGCTTTGAGACACATCCCTTTTTCCATCTCCCAAGTCTCACTTCCAATCCAGTATTTCCATTCTTCCTAAGAACTCATCCTATTGATCACACTCTTGACTATTCACTTTCTCCATGTTTTCGTGAGGTTTCTCAGTATTCCTCTGAGCAATCGTCTCACTACCTCCTTTGAAGGCAGGTAAAAAAAACACAGACTGTGGACTATAGCACTTTGGGCATTAATTCCACTCAACAGTTTATTTTAAACAGGTGACTTTCAAAGCCCACATGGAAGAAATATAGGAAAGTAGAAAAACAAGAGCAGGAGGAGGCCACTCAGCCCATTGCGCCTATGTCACAAATTTGTTAGTGTCTTGCAGATCTTGTCATCCCAATGCTGTATCCTTTTGCCATATCTCTACTTCCCAATATATCTGTTGGGTTCTCTCCTTTCAACTCAGAGGTAAGGTCTCCAGCAAGAGAAAAAACTTTGACTCAGTTGGTTTCAATTTCACTTCTGATTCAGAAGGTTTTAAGGTCAAGACCCAAGTCAGGTCTTTGAGCTTGCAGTGTAGGCTACCATTCCTAACAGCAGTCGGGGTAGGAGTTCGGGTGCCATCTTTGATCCCTTACTTCAATGCCTATCTCTCTTTAGAATAGATTTCTATAAAGCTCTGTTTTCATTGAACTCCCTCTAGCTTACCTTACATCAACCCTCTTCGCCAAGCTCCACTGTCTCACCAGGGTTCTGCAGATTGATTTCAAAGCTCCATTTTTGCATTCAATATAGCGCCTTTCACATTGGGAGGATGTCTCAAAGTGCATCACAGGATTTAAGTGTAATTGTTGTTTATTTCCAGGTAAGTGGAGCAGCTGAATTACACACATAATGAGCCACAAACATCCATGCAGGTGGATTATTGGCCAAGACACCGGGGGGAACTCGTTTCTTTTTGCAAATAGTACCATAGGCTCTTTAATACCCATCTAAACAGGCAGACAGGCCCTCTGTTTAATGACTCACCTGAAAGATGGCACCCTAACTCCTACCCCGACTGCTGTTAGGAATGGTAGCCTACACTGCAAGTTCAAAGACCTGACTTGGGTCTTGAACCCAAAACCTTCTGAATCAGAAGTGAAATTGAAACCAACTGATTCAAAGTTTTATCTCTTGCTGGAGACCTTACCTCTGTTGCTCGGCAACGTTCTTTCTTCTATCCTGTGAAAGCAACAATAGACACATAAGTGCCAAAGCCAGATGAAGCATAGCTCTTTGCCCGAGAGTCCTGAAAATCATTGCACAAATCTGTAAATAAATTATGTTCAAGTAAGTTCACCCTTAACGGGACATTATACTGTCATTTTCACAGAGTTACTGATGGGGGAAGGAGCCTGTGGCTGGCAATACAGCTATTCAAATGACAACATGGCCTGGACAGATGCCAGACAGTACTGCCAGAAGACTGCAACAGACCTGGTTGCAATACAGAATGTTGCAGAAAATAATTACCTGAATAGGGTTGTACCACTAAATCGAAATTACTACTGGATTGGAATTAGAAAGATAAACAATATTTGGACATGGGTTGCTAATAATAAGTCATTGGATGAAAAAGTAAATCTATGGGCTACTGATGAACCAACTCCTGGGTCACAAGATTGTGTAGAGATTTACATAAAGAGGCCACTGGACACAGGAATGTGGAATAATGATCCGTGCACAAAGACTAAAAGAGCACTGTGCTATAAAGGTAAGAATAAGAACTCACTGCAGATACATTATTACAGTTTATTGAGCAAATTCAACAAGCTCTGAATGCCAAAGTGTGTATCTAACTCTAAACCACGCATTAACTAGAGAAGCATGTATGTCATGCGATGGAATGAGAGGAAGAGTCAAATCACCTTGATTAATTCTCAGTCTTATGTGTTGTGTGATTCGGCTACAGCAGTATCAAGAAGTCACAGAGGCTGATGTATTTTTGTTGCTCAAAGCTGTGGTCCATTCACCATGTGATCATGTGTGAACCCTTTCAGTATAATCCTAGCATTTTGCTTTGTTCATCCCTCCCAGCAAGTAAAAATAATCCTTCCATTTGATAATAATAATCCTTGCGATTGATATAGAGCCTTAACAAGTCTTCAAGATGTCTCAAAGCGCTTCACAGAATACACTGTAAAGTACATTGACTAAAAGTAAAGTTTATTGTGTGGGTGAAACATGGTAGCCAATTGCACACAGCAGTGTCCCACAAACAGTCGTGGAATGATTGACCAAATTATTATTTTCTTTTGAAGAGTTTATTACCCCCGAAAGCGATCTACCAATTGACTAACTGCTAGATGAACTAGGTAAACAAGGGAGTGTGGAGTAAGGAAACTTGCCTTATGTTGGTCGAAGCAGTACCTTTCACGTCGGGAGGATGCCTCAAAGCACTTCCCAGGATTCATTGTAAAGCATAGTGAATGTGCATTTTTTAGGCAAACAAGCAGAAAAAGCTTCCCAGTTCATTCCTGAGTCAATCTCTGTCTGGGCTCGCACATGACGAATGGAACTGCACTCCAGTGTGAATCAGTGATTTCAGGGGAAAATCACAAATAAAATAATAATCCTTGCATTTGATATAGCACCTTATCACATCATTGAGATGTCTCAAAGTGCTTCACAGAGTATACTGTAAATTGAATTGACTATGTATTTTGTGGGTGGAATTTTTTTTAAAGCAGAGGCTCAGTGGTATAGAATCACAATTTGTTTGCTTAATTGAGAGTAAATGACTAGACTCACAAGATATGCTCAGAGGTACATTTCTTATTCTTATGCCTCGTCATAAAAATCTTGACACCTCAAGCGACATTATGCTTTCCATAAGAAGGAAGTCTCATCTCCTTTTCTTCTATATTGGTTGTGAATCATACATAGAGAATTAGATTAAACTTGGGTCAAGTTATTAAAACGTACCACTTCAAGTTAAACAATCCTATGCGATGACTGGAGTTTGAGGCCATTCCAGTCGCTGTACCAGAATGACCTAAACAGATCCAAGAACTTTCAGTAACAAAAAAAAATTCAATACCTCCCAACCCTTGCCAGTTCTTGGTACTGAGGTAGAATTATAGAAACATGGAAATTTGTAGATTAAGTATTAACCCATCTTGGTTAGAATTTATTACTATAGATTGTGAAGACTGTACAGACTGGGTGGAGGGAGGGGGGGGGGGGGGGGAGGAGTGGGGGAGGGGGGCAGAGTTGGGGTGGGAGGCAGGGGAAGTCAGTAGGATCTCTTTCAGCTGAGATGGCTCCAAGGTACCATGCCTGCAATGGATTATCAGAATCAAGGTTGTTCCCCAGTATTCCAGGGCACTGCTGCTGACAGTCCAGCCAGCTTGACTCACTGGAGGCAGGGATTCTTCCCATTTGGCTCCTGATAACCCTGTAAGACAAAGGGTTGGGCAATGCTGAATCAACAAGCTGCAGGAAATTTCTCTCTCCCCGTGTCCCAGCCAACAATCCCCCAGATAAGATTGGTCACTCACTCCATGGCTGTTTGTGGGACGGATATTGGTTTGCATAAAATGCCACCTCAACTGCAAGACGTTTAAGATGCTTCAGAATTTGGTAAGCAGAGTGCATCCCTCCTGGGAGAGAGTGGGCACTCCATTCCAAACACAGGGAAATCTCCACGGACATGGTCTGGATACTCCTAAAAATGGCGATAGGATTCTGCATGTATCAGACACCCATCTTGTTGCAGGCTGAGGGCATTCTTGCTGATTTATTTATGAGTCTGTTTTTCCCTGAATAGATGTAAACTCCTTTGTTTATGCCAATTTCTTTAACAGCTTTGTGCCAGAATGATTCGTGCAGCAGCCACAGTGAATGTGTCGAGCATATTGGAAATTATTCATGCAAATGCAATGAAGGTTATGAAAGGCCTAGGTGTGATCATGGTAAGAGTTCTCGTTACTTTAAACTGAAAAAAACCCCAGGGCGTAAAGGGGATTTGGCATCAGTAGCCCTTTCAGTGAAATAGACTCCCACAACTTGGGATCTTTTGTATCAGCCTGCTTTGTTGGAAGCATCCTCACCTCTGAGTCAGAAGGTTGTTGTTCAAATCTACTCAGCGGGACTTGGAATTCATATCGTCTGTCCTGACATCCCAGTATAATGCTGTGGGTGGGCAGTGTTGCATTGTTGGTGGTGCCATCCTTTGGATGAGTCATTAAAACAAGGTCCCGTCTGCCTGTTCAGGTGGATGGTAAAGATCCCATGACACTGCTCAAAAAGATAAGGGAGTTTCTCCAGTGTTCTGGTCCAACAATCCCTCAGATATAATTGGCCATTCACTTCGTGGCTGTTTGTGGGATATTGTCGTGTGCAAATTTGGTTTGCACACAAAAGCTGATAACCCTGTTAAGCACAGCTATTGTACTTTACCATATATCCTGGGAAGTGCTTTAAGAATTATTATTTTATTGTTAACCTTGTTTTTTGGGGGGCAGTCAACCAATGTGTTTTAAGTCTGTGGAACCTGACGTGCTAAATGTATGTTTCAGCAATAAAATGCAAGGATCTGACATATCTGAAACGATTGACCATAAGCTGTTCGCATCCCATTGCACAGTTCAGCTTCAAGTCAAACTGTAGCTTTAGCTGTGGTGAAGGGTTTAAGCTCCAGGGACTAGACACGCTGCAGTGTAAAGGCAATGGAAAATGGAACGGAAATATACCAACTTGTAAAGGTACAGACTCCACTTGTCTTTCCACAAGAAGCGCAGGCTTGATTTTACAATGTGTTAAAGACTGAATGGTACAAAATGTTCTGTGCATTTGAGCTCGCACCAGTGTCTCTTTCAGGTGTTTCATGCCCGAATCTGAAAACTCTTGAAAATGGAAACAGAATATGCTTACATCCCTTTGGAGATTTCAGCTTAAACTCAACTTGTAACTTTACCTGTTCTGAGGGATTTAATCTCCGAGGGGCAAATAGTATAAGGTGCACAAGCTCCGAAACATGGACAGCAGCAGTACCCACCTGTGAAGGTAGACTCAGTTTACAGTTATATCTGAGAACTTGAAAAAGAAGAAGGAACAAAGCCAATCTAATCTGGCTACAGCTATAAAATATCGTCAATGTTTTGTCCTATAATTAAATATGTTCACTGTACTTTTCAGCTGTTCTATGCAAGCCTCTGCTCTATGAGGATCAGAATGTGATCACAGCTTGCATGCATCCCAACGGAAAGTACAACTACAGCTCAACCTGCGAAATTACCTGTCCTGTTGGCTATGAGCTCCAAGGGTCAGAATTGTTGACATGTGAAGCCAATGGAGAATGGTTGGGAAAAATACCCACCTGTCAAGGTGAAATCACTTGATAATAATACACGGGAACCTCGTCATTCACAAAGTAACATCAGCAGCACTTCTGCAACAAGAGCAAAGTGGGTGGGGCTATAACTGGGTTTATCTGTACCTTGGGCAATCTCGGTGGTCCTGCTCCTGAACCAGGTGGGTCCGCAGTATACCAGGGCACTGCTGATGACAGCACAGCCAACCTGGCCCATCGGAAGGACGTGGAAAGGCAGACCAATCACTGAAGGGAGGGATTCTTCCCATTCAGCTCCTATTAACCCTGCGAACCAAGACCCTAATGCGTAGGGTGGTCCCCACTGGACAAGCAGTGGGAAGCTGATGACAATAAGGTTTTGGCTGGTTAAACTCCAGCAGCCTAACCCCAGTAACCCAACTCTGGGATCCATAAACCCTGTATCTTATTCACTTTGAAATTAGGTAAGCAGGGTGCATTCCTAGGGAAGTGAGAGCACATTCCATTCTAGACACAGGAATTTCCATGTGTAGATGGCATAAAAGCTCTCTCAAATTGGTTTGGATATTCTTAACCACAATGATGTGTTTGTGCATATGTCAGACACTCAGCTAATCAAAAAGAATCTGGGAATAAGGGGAAAAAAGGGAAAAAATACAGTCTAATTTGTCTAAAGTTTTAATTCTCATTTGTCATTAGGTTTTTTTCTTGGTATTGAATTGTGTCAAATGTGTGTTTCAGTTAAACAATGCGTAACTCTGGAGTATCCAAAATATGGGAACATGAACTGCACCCATCCTCTTGGCCATTTCAGCTTAAACTCAGTCTGTGACTTTAGCTGTCCTGAAGGATTTAATTTCTCTGGGACAGACCACCTGGAGTGTTCAGAGTCTGGAGAATGGATAGGAAGTGAAAATGGATACCTACCCAGCTGTGAAGGTACACTCAGTTTATACCACCACCTGCCAACATGAGAGAAAGGCTATTTGGTCCATGTTGCCTGTGCTGCCTCTCAGAAATTCAATTTTGTTCCATGCCTCCTGCCTGCTCCCTCACACTTTACATATATTTAAGAACATAAGAATTTGCTGGGCAAAAGAAGACCGCTATCTGACCTGTTCCTCAGATACATGGACGACTGCGTTGGGGCTGCTTCCTGCTCTCGCAATGAGTTGGAAAATCACCAATTTTGCTTCCACCTTCCATCCCTCCATAACATTCACATGGTCCATCTCCGACGCTTCCCTTCCCTTCCTCGACTCCACCATTTCCATCTTGGAGCATAGATTATCAACAGATATCTTTTACAAGCCTACCAACTCCCAGTTACCTGGACTACACCTCTTCCCACCCCAGCTCCTGTAAAGACACCATTGCCTTTTTCCAGTTCTTCCGCCTCCCCTGCATCTGCTCTGATTATGTCACCTTTCACATCAGAGAGGCTAAACATGTCTTCCTTTATCCTCAACCGAAGATTCCCATCCACTCTGGTAGGGAAGGCCCTTGGCCATGTCTGTCCTATTTCCCGCAACTCTGCCATCACCCCTTCTCCTTCTTCCCAGAACTGTGATAGGGTACCTCTTGTCCTCACTTTCCACCCCACCAGCCTCAACATCCAAAAAATAATTTTCCGCCTTTCCGGCACTTCCAGCGTGATCCAACCATTAAGCATATCTTTCCCTCCCCACTCAGCATTCCAAAGGGACCATTCCCTCTGAGACTCCCTGGTTCATTCCTCCATCACCACCAACAGATCTTCTCTTCCCCATGGTACCTTCCCATGCTAACACAGGAGATGCAATACCTGCCCTTTCACCTCCTCCCATAACACTGTTCAGGGCCCCAAACACGGATTTCAAATGAGACAATGACTTACATGTACTACACCCAATGTAGTTTACTGCATTCCTACTCACAATGTGGTCTCCTCTACATTGGAGAGATGAAACATAGATTGAATGACCGATTTGCTGAACACCTCTATTCTGTTCGCGAGCACAACCCTGGGCTTCCAGTTTCTGGCCAGTTCAACACTCTCTCCCACTCGCACTCTGACCTCTCCATCCACGGTCTCCTACGCTATTCCAGTGAGCTGTAGCTTGAGAAATAGCACCTAATTTATCTGCTAGGGACCTTACAGCTCTCTGGCCTCAATATTGACTTCAACAATTTCAGACCATACCAGCTCACTGTCTCCTTCTCCTGACCATTACCACATCATCTTGGTCCAGATACACCCTTTCTCTCTCTGGTCTGCCTATTTTGTTGCAATTTTTCCCCCCTCAGTTTGTCAGTATTAACACCTCTATTCCCCTGCTCTGTTGCAATCTCCCCCCATTGTTTCGCATCATTTAATCCATCATCCCCTGTCCTCTATCCCATTTTCTCCTTTGTCTTCCTTGCCCTGCCCTCCCCCCTCTCTGTTAGCCCTTACAAGCCTCTCCCTCCCAACATGCCCCAGTTCTGATGAAGGGTTGTGGACCCGAAACATTGACTCACTTTCCTTTCTACATAGATGCTGCCTGACTTGCTGAGTGTTCCCAGCGATTTCTATTTTTGTTTTAGATTTCCAGGATCTACTGTGTTTTCATTTTGTTAAAAGAAGACCAAGTTCAGGTTCCACATTCTAGCAGTTGCATGACACATTGTGTCCCAAGCTATATATTGTATCCCGAAATATTATTTCCTAACAGAAATCTATCTAATTTGTTCTTGAATGATTGAACACTTTCTGCTTCCACCGTCTCTCTTGGGAGCCTGTTCCATCAGTCTATTACTCGCTCACTGAAGTAGTGTTTCCGCAGATTTGTTCTGAATTTACCATCCTCCAACTGCAGGCCGTGTCCTCTGGTTCTACTGTTCAGTACCAGATGGTGTACATTTAGGCACATTTTAGGTGTTCAGTTCCCTTTTAAAACTTATTACAAATTCTACTTCAACCTATTCTACAGCCCCAGTTTCTCCTCATAACCCTAACGACACGACTGCTCACTTCACTCAGTGGGCACCAGTTTGCTTAATTGCTATTTGAAAAGAGAAGAGTCCTGTCTTGACCAATAATCCCCCAATAAAATTTGCACACGTTCCCGCCTCCCTCCGTGCCACTATCAGTACCCGAGCCTTCATTCACAATGCTCTTCTGGAGCTCCTTGCCTCTATGCGGTACTGAAGATCCATAGCATAGTAGTTAGAGCACTCGCCTCAAAAGTGAGAGGAAGGGTTTGATTTCCTGGTGGGGCGAAACCTTAGGCAAGTTTCCTTGCTCCACATTCCTCTGTTTACCTAGTAGTTAATAATAATAATAATAATCCTTGCATTTGATATAGCGCTTTTCATGTCGGGAGGACGTCCCAAAGCGCTTCACAGAACACACTGTAAAGTGAATTGTATATTTGTGGGCGAACGCGGCAGCCAATTGCGCACAGCAATGTCCCACAAACAGTCGTGGATTGAAAATGACCGATTTATTATTGTTTTTTTGTTTTTTTGGAGGGATTATTATTAGGTGTGTGGAGTAAGGAAACTTGCCCAAGGTTTTGCCCTGTGCCTGGAATTGAACTCAGGTCTCTCGCTTGCAAAGCGAGTGCTCTAACCACTGAGCTACAGGACTCTACAGTTAATAGGAACTTGGTTGTTAGTCGATCGACAGATTGTTTTCCTGGGGTAATAATCCCTCAAAAAAAATCTGGTTACAACTGTTTGTGGGATACTACTGTGGCTGCCATGATTCGCCCCCAAAAATACAGTAAATCCATTTTACAATATATTTTGTGAAGCGTTTTGAGACATTTCAACATGATAAGGTGCTATAACAAATGCAAGGATTATTATTATTATTGTCCCGCCACTAAATTCCACCTTAAAACACCATCTATGGTCAATTCCCCCTCCTCTCTTGCTCACATCTATCTGTGAAGCGCTCCAAGATGTGATCTGGGCGAAGGATGCTGCTTAATGCAAGTTGCTGCTGTTGTATATACAACATTTTGACTGTGTATTTCAATGTAAATTCCAGCTTTGCGATGTGACCAACTGCAGAATTCAGAAAATGGGATCATGGCCTGCATCCATCCCATTGCCGAGTTCAGCTACAGATCAAAGTGTACCTTTCAGTGTGTTTTGGGGTTTATGCTCAAAGGATTAGAAGAACTGGAATGCACATCCTCTGGCAGGTGGTCAGCACAGACACCCACCTGTGAAGGTACATTTGATCTTACAATAATACCAGGGAATGATCGAAGATTGTCGGGCTCCGCCACTGTTAAGTACTCCGAGACACTGCCCCCGTGAAGGGAGCTACATAAGTGCAAGTTGTTGTTGTCTATGACTGACTGTGAAGTCATGCAGAATTCTATGGCCTGTGTGGCTAACATCAAGTCCTGGATGAGAGATAATTTTCTACAGTTGAATGTCAACAAGACCGAGGTTCTCCTAATTGGCTCCCATCAGCGCCTCCACACCTCAAGCACTGACAGCATCACCATCCAAGGAAGCACACTCCACCTCACTGAGCCAGTCCAGAACCTTGGCATCTTATTTGACCCTCAACTGTCATTTCTACCCCACATCCGTGCCATGACCCGCTCTGCTTTCCCCCACCTCCACAACATCACCCGGCTCTGCCACTGCCTCACTCCCCAGGCCACCGAGACCCTCATACACGCATCATATCAACCAGGCTCGATTACTCAAACTCCCTGCTTCCCGCCTCCTCAAAACTTTCCTTCCACAAGCTGCAGATCATCCAGTTCTCTGCAGCTTGTGTGTGTCCTCTCCTGCATTGGGCTCCGTGACCCATCACCCCACCCTCGGCTGACTCCAATGGCTTCCCATCCTGGTCCTCACTTTCAAAGCCCTCCATTGCCTCGCTCCTCCCCAACTCTGCAATCTCCTAATTCTCCTAATTGCCTGCTCACTCCGCTCATTGGGCTCGGCCTGCTTCACATCCCCTGCTGCGCCTGCCCCACGATTGGCCGCCGGGCCTTCAGCCACTCTGCCCCCACCCTACCCTGTGCCTCAACCCTTCCCTTGCCTCCTTCAAGACCGGTTTCAAGACCCCCATCTTCGACGATGCCTTCGGCCACCCTCCTTCACCCTGCCCTCCCCAATCACCAACCCCAGCTCGGATCCGAAACACTAATTGTCCAGTGCCTTGGGATGTCCTCCCGACTTGAAAAGCGCTATACAAATGTAATTTTGTTGTTGTTATTGTTGTTGCAGTTGGTATCTGTGCAGGGTATCTATCACAGGATTGTGCGATTAATTCAGATGAAGAAGGCCCTTTGGTCCATATGATCTCATCCCTTCAAAACACCTACCCTACCATCCTCCCATCACAGCATCTATGAAAGAGCTATCCAATTAGCCCCACTCCCCTATTCTTTCCCCATAGCCTTGCAATATTTTGGGTTTTCAAGTAAACATCCAATTCCCCTTTGAAAGTTATTACTGTAACCTGTGACTATATTTAGACTGAGGGTGTATTTGTGTGGGCACTAAATCATTCACGTTTGAGCTGTCCTAACTGTAGATTGATTGAGAAGTTAAAACCTGGAAAATGCTATTCTATTCAAAAATGAATTACTCAAATGCTCAACCCTTGAAGCTCAACGAGGGTTGAGTGTCAAGTTGACACTTTTGATGCTCACCCTTATCATCAAGGTTCAAAAAACCCTGAGTTTTTCATCTTTCTCCTGTTCCAGATGTGATTTGCCAACCACTGATGATTCCTACAAACGGGACCATGAACTGTTCCTATCTGATCGAAAATTTGAGCTACAGCTCAACCTGTGCCTTTAGCTGCTTGAAGGGGTTTTCACTGAAAGGACCTACATTTCTCCACTGTAATGATCATGGAATCTGGAATGAGCCAACACCAAGCTGCGAACGTATGTATTAAAATGAAATGCTTCAGAGATGAGAACTTTTGATCTGTAGTTACTACACCAGGTCGAATCCTGTAGCGTAGTGGTTAGTGCATTTACCTCTCAAACTAGAAGGCCCAGTTAGATTGTCGGGTCCCCTCCACAACTGTTTGTGGGACACTATTGTGCGCAATTGGCTATCGGGTTTTCTCTCACAAAATATACAGTCAATTCATTTTACACTATATTCTGTGAAGCGCTTTGAGACGACTCGAAGACCTGATAAGGTGCTAATAATAAACCTTGCATTTGATATAGTGCTTTTCACTTCTTCTAGACGTCTCAAAGCGCTTCACAGAATGTACTGTAAAGTGAATTGACTCTATATTTTGTGGGAGAAGCACAATAGGCAATTGCTAAATCAAATGCAAGGATTATTATTGTTATTATAGTCTACAGCATGAATACAATGGGTTCCAGGTATGATTGGTTCAGACCATGGTGAGGGTGAAGGAGAAGCCTTCTATATCTTGCTAACAGCAAATCTGCAATACAGGAATTTAAACCATTTTAAAGGGGAGAGGATGCGAGCAAGACAGTTCGACTAGATGAGATAGGCAGTGGGCAGAGAAGACCCAATGAAATTCTAATGCCTCTATTTCTGTTCTACATTTCTATGGTTTTGTCATTGAATCCCATGGGAAAATCCCACAAACCTATGCTTTCAAAGCCACTTAGAAGTGAGCGGAATATCACGCTCCGTGCTTCACAACAATTTCAATTAATTTCTGCCCTTTTCTTTATATTCCACTGGTTTAGTAATTACTCTTTCCTGGGTGGACAAATTGCGAAATATTGGAATGATCACTTTAGCAGTGGTCTCCCTTTTGTTCCTGATTCTGATAATCTGGATCATTCTAATGTGGCGCAGAAAGGGTAAGGATTCATAAAAAATTACTTTTTCCTCCAACCTTTCTCAAAACTCTTGACTTATTCTTGACTCTTACTGTGGTGCGTAATTCTCTCTTCGTACCTACTAGAATGATCCCGTGGATAAGGAACTTCAGTTATGTGGCGAGACTAGAGAGGCTGGGTTTGTTCTCCTTGGAGCAGAGAAGGTTGAGGGGAGGTTTAAAAGAGGTGTTCAAAATTCAGAAGGGTTTTGATAGAGTAAATAAGGAGAAGCTTTTTCCTCTGGTGGGTGGGTCGGTAACCAGAGGGCACAGATTTAACATAATTGGCAAAAGAACCAGAAAGGAGATGAGGAGACATTTTCTTCCCCAGAGAGTTGTTAAGATCCGGAATGCACCACCTGAAAGGGTGGTGGAAGCAGATTCTATTGTAGCTTTCAAAAAGGAATTGGATATGTACTGGAAAAGAAAAAAAATTGCAGGTCTATAAGGTAAGAGCACAGGAATAGGAATAATTGGATAGCTCTTTCAAAGAGCTGGAACAAGTACGATGGGCAGAATCGCCTTCTTCTGTGCTGTAAGATTCTATGATTCTACACTTATTGTTCCTCTTTCATTGCATCTCTCTCTTAGTATTTCTCTCCTTATACCTTTCTTCCCGTACCTCTCTTCTTGTGTCTTTCTCCTTGTATGTTTGAATGTCAAGTCGCGAGGCTTGACTGCAGTGACATGCACAAATAATGTGATGTTTGAAAAGTAAATTGTTGTTTTTCTTCCTCTTCAGTTAAGAAAGAAAAAGTTTCACCTTCAAGGTAATAGTTTGTGTATATACTGTACTATAAGTAATCATTTATTTGTTTGAATACTGGTAGGAATCCATTAATCACTCTAGGATTTGGATTGACACTGTCCAAAATGATACTCCAAATGCAGGGCTGGGTGGAGGGGTTGTTTCCTTGTGAGAGGTGCCGTCCTTCGGATGAAACGTTAAACCGAGCTCCCATCTACCTGTTCAGGTAGATGTTAGATCCAATAGCATCATTTGAAAAGAGAAGGATGTTTCCCTTGGTGCCCTGGCCAACAATCCCCCTTGTAAAATGAACCATTCACTACTGTTGCGCAAATTGGCTGTTGCATTCACCCACAAAACACAGTCACTTTAAAGTACATCCTGTGAAGCCACTTTGAAATATTCTCCAAACATGAAAGGCGCTTTATAAAATGTAAGAATTATCATTATTATGTTTACTTAAACCTGACAAGCTAAGGCTCTATTTTGTTTCCTTCCATAGAAGGAAATCCCTGAGAGAAACATCTACAGTTTAGCGGTGTAATGTAATCAGTGTGCTACAGCTCATGTAGGTAAAAAGTGCTTCATATCTGTAAGTTCCTAACATAGAGGAGAGAGAGGGTCGTACAGCAGAAGATTGTGGATGGGAAACACACTCAGCTCTCAATGGTGGCAGGTTGAATTACCCAGAGCCTCGAAATAACATGTCAAATCCTGAGGGGTAACCCACTTTTGCTAAATATTTTGCTAAACAAAGGTTGAGGGGTGATCTGACAGAGGTCTTTAAAATTATAATGAGGTTTGATAGCATCAATAGGAGAAATTATTTCCACTGATCAGTGAGTCAGTGACGAGAGGGCATCACTTTAAGATATTTAGTAAATGAGCAAATGGGAGGTTAGGAGTTTTTTTTCACAGAGTAGTTGGATATGGAATGCCGTGCTGGGAGAGGTAGTTGAGCCAAAATTTTTCTTGGCCTTCAAGAGGAAACTAGACAGAAAACTTAAAAAAGTGTCAACTGCTGAGGTGTGGGGAAAGGGCAGGTAAGAGGGGTTGAAACAATTGTTCTTGATGAGCCGAATGACCTTCTGCTGTGCCATAAATTTCTGTGGTTTTCTACAGTTCTAAATGGATTTCGTTACTAATAATTGTTCTTTATTTTGGAAAAAAAATACTCAGATCTTAACAAATGGATGAATAAACTTCAGATTTTGTGGCAACCTCACAAAGAAGCTACAGCTTTTTAGGAACAAGACACATCAAGCAGCATCAGCTCCAAGTCCTGGCCTTTGACCACAGTACTCCGTTGTAATTCATTGGTTAATCCTGCACCCGTTATGCCCAACCTCAACTCCACTGGCTCCCAGTAGATGGTCTAAGATCCATTTCCTTACCTGCATGGTCTCGCCTCTCCCTAACCACCCAATTTCTTCCATCAACTCCACACCCCAGCCCCTCCTTCCAGGAAGATAGTTCCTTAAGATAGACCTATTTTCTTGCCTGTTTCCTTCATTCTTCCGATTCCGATGTTTTGCTTGTTCCTCACTCCTTCCTTTGGTCCATTCACAGCCAAAGCTTTAGCCATTGAGCTATATCTCTGGAACTCTCTTCCAAAATCTCTTCACCTTGCTCTCCCTGCATTCAAAAATAATGCCTAAACACAAAAATATATTTCTTTGGTAAGCACCTTTTTCCCTGCTCGTTGACCTCTATAAGACTTTTGAGATGTTCATAAAAGTGCTGCGATAAGAAATCTTTTTCAATAAATTGCCTCTTCTTTTGTGTTCCTGGTGCAAATTAGCTGCTATATATTTTACCCAAAAAATATAGTCAATTCACTTTCCAGTATATTCCTTGAAGCGCTTTAAGACGTCTTGAAGACGTGATAAGGTGCTATATTAAATGCAAGGATTATTATTCTTATATTATGTAACATTCCCTTTTATTTGTAATCAATTCAATTTTGTAAAGCATATTTTAGAGCATATTTATTTTTATATGAAAAGTGCTTCATATAATCACTCCATGTTTAATCACTCCAAAATAAGCGCTCCAGAACGCTATCCATATTACGGGTGCTATATAAAGTTAATCCTCCCTCTAAAGATATTTTAGGGACATGCACTTGTTGGATGTCAATGAATCGATTAAGGACTATCTTCCTGGAAGGAGGGTCTGGGGTGTGGAGTTAAGCCTCTTGGGGCTGAGCTGATTCCGAGGTGATGTGCTGGCAATGGGATGTCAGAATTGAGTTAACTTCTGCAGCAGTCTCATGTAATGATCCAATTCCTAAGCTAGGCAGGTCCACAGTACTTCAGGGCACTGCTGATGTTAGACCAACCAGTCTAGTCTGGGAAGTTTGCCAAACAGTGCTCTTGATGCAAGCTGTGAGGTTTTAGCTGGTTAAACTCTCCCAGCACCCTGACACTACGGGGAGCTCTAACCTTGGCTCTCATCAACCATTACCTCATACCACCGCCCCCCAACCCCCACTCCACCCAGGTGGAGAGGGCAGAATATTCACTCTCAAAACAGAATTTCCACCCTAGGCAGCATACATACGTCCAGTTTGGATTCTCTTAAACATGGTGCTGAGTTTCCATGTGTTTTTTAATTTTAATATGAGATTAAGTGATTAAATCTGATATAATGGTCAGATTCTCCACTGCATACATTGTTTACTATTATGCCTCTTAACACTTATCCCTCATGATGTGTCAGCCTGTCTCAAGAGTCAGTAGGTTGTGGGTTCAAGCTGCACATCAGGCCTTTTGAACTCATAATAGAAGTTGACACTCCAGTGCAGTACTGGTGGGGGTGTTGCATTGTTCAGATGAGATGTTAAACACAGGTCCTGTCTACCTGTTGAGGTGGACATTAAAGATCCCATGGCGCTAATTGAAAAAGAGAAAGGAGTTTCTCCCTAACCAACATTCCCCCAAATATTGTAGGAACCCACTTGTTAGTCGATTGGTGGATTGCTTTCCAGGGTTTTAATAATCTCTCCCCACCCCCCCCAAGTTAATTCTTCCTTCACGGTTGTTTGTGGAACATTGATATACTGGAGTTGTAGATGATGAAACAAAGGAGCCAGGCAAGAAGTGCATCAGAGAATATTGAAGAAGTCGATCCAGGAAGTACCAAAGGCCTGAATAAGAACTTCAGTGGAATTTCATGAGATAGGGATGAATGCCAGCCAGCATTGTGGCAAGTTAAAGGAAAGCGGTCTTGGTCAGGGACCAAATTGTGGAATTTGTGGAACTGAGACTGGGTGGCAGAGCTAAACTACATATAAATAGGCAATAACCGCTCTGAATGTAAATGAAAATTAAACAGTGTGCAGTATTATACTTGCAGGGGAAATCTGGCTTTCAAAAAGAAAATCATATCAAATGTAGAATTGCACCTAGCAATACAAGCAGACTTCAGTACTTTAACGAATTAATGATCTATGATATTGGGTTTGTAAATAATCCTATTAAAACCTCTCTTTATCAGGTTGTATTCCAACAAACTCCTTTAATAAGTAAAAGGTGAAAACAGTGATCAAGGGCCCATATTTATCACAAAACTCCACATATTAGACCAACGAATGCTAGTTATATTTGGTATTACCCATTCTGTTCCTATGCACATTAGTGACAAAGTAATGTTGCTAGGATATAGCAATTGATGTACCTTTCAGATTGTAAACACCATTCCAATAATTAATTTTCAGCACCTTATCCAAGTTGGGTTCGTGCAAATTTATTACAATGTACGGTGATGTTCAATAAAATAATTGCTCTGGATGCAATAGTTTGTTATTTTGTAAAAAAAAATCCACCGGTTACTATTCTAACTTTCATTGCATTCCTGTCAGTTCGCTTCCCACTCAAATAACAGGTGGGAAGTTCCTGTTTTCGTGGAGTGGAGGAAAAATATTTGCCTTTCCTGCAACAATATTTGTTCCTCCAATTTTCTCCCCTCCTCTTTATCAGAGGAATTTTGATGACCTCACTTGAATGGATGACCTCACTCTGAGCCAAGACATGAGAGCTGGCAAGTGATATTATTATTATTATTTGACTATGGCAGGTCTCCAATCCGGTCCTCGCTCAATATCTATAGTGATAAGGTGCTATATCAAATGCAAGAATTATTATTACAAGGATTATTATTATTATTTAACCTCAACTGCTGTCCAGTTAAGATCATCAAACTCAATGCAGACTGGGATTCAAACCTGGAATCTTCTGGCCTGAATGATACAAACCTTCTAAACCAAAGTGGGGAGAACAAGCAATTAGTCACCAAGCTGATCCCCAACACCTTGTTAACTTGAGTCCCTTTTAATATACAATGAATATTTAATATACAATGAATACAACAGACATTGTATTACAATCTTACAGACATTGCCTGTAAATGCAGTGAATCAGAAAGCAGTGACGCAGTTTGCTGAGCATTGCGCAAAAGAGGACTACATATTGGGGCAGTTTTATCAGCTCCTGCAGCAACAGAACATCAAGGAAGTTAGTGACTGATAGAAAGAGAACAAATGTGTCACTGCCTTTGCGTAATTGGCACAGTTGTATATTTCACTGTTAATGTGGTTGAAGTGGATATTCTGGGCTACAGTCTGGAAAATACAAGACTAACTTTTTTATTATCAGAAGGAACCAGCTCTTGACTTGCGTCAAGACTATTGAAAGCAAATAGCCAACTATTAATTATTGTAGAAAGATATGAACAAGCTGAGATTTCAAGATCTAGACATTGAGGCGCGTGGGTTATGAGTCAAATTTAGCACGAAACCAGAAAGTATTGCAGTGGGTAATCAATAGCCAGAACGGGGTTACCAGGAAGAGAGATCGAAGCCAGGACACTGGACCTATTTAAGAAACAGCTTTATGCTGTAAAGAGAAAATCATAAGAAAATGAAGTAATAAAGATAATCCTTACATTTGATATTGCGCCTTTTCACATCGTTGAGACTTCTCATAGTGGTTCACAGGATATATTGTAAAGTGGATTGACTGTATTTTGTGGGTGAAATGCAGCAGCCAAACGGGCGCAGCAATGTCCCACAAAGTCATGGGGTGAATGACCAAATTTTTTTAAAACTAAATTACTACCTCCGGAAAGCAATCTGCTTATTGCTAGCTAAACAGTAATGAGTAAAGAAACTTGCCCAAGGTTTAGAGAGTTGATATCTTTAAGATACCCTCGAGCTGAAAGGGCTTTATTGTGAATTGAATTTAAAATAATTTCCATTGAGGTAATAGATTTCTGAGTAAATTTAAAATAACTTCTCATTAGGTATCTGCTTCTCCTCTGAGGGAGGAGTTTGTTAGAAAAACTGAGCTGGCTGAAATCTTGCCTGGTTGCAAACATATATAAGGCCAAAGAAACAGACTGCACATACAAAAATCACACGTCCACTTTTTGAAATCAAACCATTAAATTACAAAGTAATGAGCATTCATTTGAAATACACACATATCCTGTAAAACGCTTTAAGACATCTCAATGGCGTGATAAGGCACTATATCAAATGCAAGTATTATTTATTATTATTGAGAAGGATTCTCCTTTAACTTTTTTTTCTGGCCTAATCGAGAAATAAAATCCAATTCGTAGACAAGTTTGAACAACACTGGACTGACATAAAAACAACAGACTTCACCGCAAGCCTGCAAGATTTCAGCTCGTTTTTTTAAAAAAAACATTGGTAAATGCAGTAATGCTGTACCAGTAACATTGGGCAACAATATTGTCAGATTTCACACAAGACAATGAACTCTATAATTGCACAATTAAACACACAACTACAAAACTCTTCAATGTGCTAGGACACTTTTGATTCATTATTTCATCCAAGAAATCTTCTGTGTTGGATCCAAGCATTTAACCAGTGAGGAATCTGTTAGGATAGAATACATTGCATATCATCTGTTGGTACAATGGCAATTTCAGTCATTTCATTACCAGCTGGGGTGAGGGATAAGACCAAGCCTCAATGCTCCATCTGAAGTGTCATATTCCATACAGCTGCCACTCCTGATTTGATGATGTGAAAGCGTAGCTGGTGCTGACAAATATATAGAGAGCCGGAGCCGCCGAGATGAAATGGAAACGTATCAGGCCTATGAAAATTGACTCAAAGTACTTATCACTTGTCTGAATAATTCTATTAATGAGGAAGCTTTGACCATTATTAGTCACAAAACAGTTTAGTGACATAGACAACCTCACAAAAAAATACTGGCTGGTCATATATCTTAACTACTCATGTTAAGTCAGGAATGATACCAGACTAGAACTGCTTTAAAGATATGTGGTCTGACCCCACGCTTGATGTATTAAATCATTTTTGATGCATTTCACAGTAAGATGGTTCAAACCAAGGCAACTTCCAAAACAAATGCCTGCACACACAGTCTTAATTGGCCCAACAGGGATTACTAATGTGTTGCTGTGTTACACTGTACCATTGTTTAGCTTGAATGTTCTCTGTGGCTCAGCTGTGGTTCAGATGGCTGGAGTCTGTCCTTTTTCAACGTACACTCACACATGTTCTGTCTTTCAACTATTCGTATTTCTCACGCTGGGTAAATGTAAGAGCTTGACTTCATCCACGCGATTTTTATGGATCTGGAAGGCAGGAGTCACCCAGCGAGCACAGGAACATCTCTCCCCGTACCAATTGAAGGAACCCAATTTGGAGTTGCATTTTGGGCAAAGCAGCTGGAAAAGATTTTTTTTTTACAATTTTGACTATATTGTAAATCCACACATTGCACTGTACAAATGTCAGAAAATCATTTTAAAAAAGGTGTTAACTCTCCCACTTTTAAGAGAACCTTTTTTGGGAAGGGGGGTAAAATTTTACTGGGACCATTACGTTTGAAATAAAACTCAAGATCAACCAACCCAAGTGAAAAAAATCCTCACATCTCTCTTTAGTAACCACCCCACCCCTTACACACCCCGTAGCCCTGGCAACATGTTGCTAAGGCTGAAATTTACTGGAGTATTTAGTTTAAGGAGCAGATACAAATATGAGAAGATACATTATATACATATAATGCACACACACACAGCTTACACATGCGTGAGAGTGTCTTGGATACTAACACACAAGTATAAATATATATATCTCATGTTCTGAATTTGCAGCACATTGTGCCTTTAGGCTTCTGCTTTTGTCATGACAACTGAACTTGAACTAGAAAAAAGTCCCCTTTCTGAGGTTATTTTACCTGTCCGTCCAAAACCCCAAGTAGTGCAGGTTCCATCCACTGCACAGGCTCAATAAAATATGACGTACAGTTGGTGTGAATGCCTCCCGCGGTCTGTGCTGTCCTCTTGTGCGCAAAGGCTGTCGGTCCGTTCCCAGACTCGTGACTCAAAACACTCGAGCCACGAAATAAAGAGCGACTGAAATGAAAAAACGTTTCCTGGTTTCGCGAATCTCAAGAGTAACATTAGGAGACGATAATGGGCACAGAAGCAGGTGGAGCAGAGCAAGTTTCAGGGTTGGACTCTGTTATAAGTGCAGTGTTTTAGATAAACTCAGATCCTGTTGATATTGTAAAATCACTGCCACTCAGCGCTTCCCGTTTGGCAGGTCACTGATGATGTCACTTAACTACACTGCGCAGGTGATAAAAAAAAGCCAGCATCCAGTCTCATAAACATTTTGAGGGGTTGCAAGGAAACTTTCTGAGCCTGCATGCTGTACGCCAGTATGCCTTAAGCTTCCAGTACATCACAGATCCGCAGCGCACCCGTGCAACAAATGGATCCATGTTATACTGTATTTATAACAGTTATATCAAGAGGACATATGGGGTAATTCGAATAGGCTCCCTTAGGGAGATGGTGGAAGCAGAAAGTTGTGTTTCCTTCAAGAACAAATTAGATAGATTGTTAGAAAATATCTCGGGATACAATATATAGTTTGGGACACGACATGTCAAGCAACTGCCAGGATGGTGGAATGCTAACTGGATGGATCCTGGTTTTCTTTCACCGAACAAATTCTTATGTTCTTATCGGTGACCAAGCCTTGACCCCTTTCTCTCCAGAAGTCGCCTCCCACGCTCCCCGCCTTCAAAATACTCTTTTTTAAAAAATAACATTCAACACAGTTAAATTTCCCTCACTTTCCAGTTGTTATGGTTTCCTGTTTTTGTGAAGCACTTACAAGAGGTTCACGAAAGGGACTAAAAGGGTCAATCAGCAAAAGCAAAATCCTCCTACCTACACTTTCTGCATCTGTAGAGATCTTCGTTCGTTTTGCCTAGCCTTGTCGGGTCTAACGCAAATACTTCTCGAGGTAAATTCCTTAGCTCTGTGTAGAAAAACCAGCACAAGATTGTAACTAAATGCGGCAACCAGTAATCCTTAAAAAGTGTTGACTTCTTATGGAAACTATACAGTCAATTCACTTTACAATCTATTATGTTAAGCACTTTGAGATGGCTCAACGACGTGATATCAAATAAAAGGATTATTATTATTATTCACAGAAGTTAGACCTTCTCCTCCAGTAACCCCCCACCCCCCACACCATCCCACGAAATACAACGACGACGACAGGGATTTATATAGTGTCCTTCACGCCGGACGGCGTCTCAGAGCACTTTAACAGTTTAGGATCCCGTGACCGAGCCGGGGGAAGGGGAGGAAGGTGACAAAAGGCGCGGTCAATAAGGTCTTCAGCAGAGACCTGAAAATGGGAAGGGAGGGAGCGAGACGAAGGGAGTGAGGAAGGCAGTTCCAGAGCCTCGGGGCATAGTGGCTGAAGGCACGGCCGCCGAGGGTGGAGCGGAGGACTCGGGGGACGAGGAGGAGGCCAGACCCGAAGGAACGAAGGCAACGGCTACTGTGCTGAGGAGAGAGGAGGTCAGAGAGGTAGGGGCGCGCTGAGGAGTGCAGGGACTTGAATACGAGGGTGAGGATCTTGAAATCGATCCTCTCTGGGATAGGCAGCCAGTGCAGTCTGGCAAGGACTGGGGTGATCGGGGAGCGGAGTTTCATGCGGGTGAGAATGTGGGAGGCAGAGTTCTGAATGAGTTGGATTTTCTGGATGGTAGTGGATGGGAGACCGGCGAGGAGGGCGTTTGAATAGTTCAGCCGGGAGGTGACAAAGGCATGGACCAGAGTTTCAGCGGCTTTTTGGGGAAAGGTATTAGCGGAGACGGGCGATGTGTCGGAGGTGGAAGAAAGCGGTACTGGTGAGGGACCGGATATGGGGGAGGAAGGATAATTGGGGGTCGAACCTGACGCCGAGGTTGCATACGAGTTCAGAGAGTTTTAGGGGGAGTTCGGGTAGGTGGAGGTGAGAACCATGAGAGTTTAGACGTTGACGAGAGCCAAAGAGTATGGCTTCCGTCTTGTCAACGTTGAGCTGAAGGAAGTTTGCGCTCATCCAGCCCAAGATCTGACAGGCAGCTGACAGAACATCAGAGGACTGATGGGTGGGGGGGTCGCAAAGAGAACTGGAAAAGTAGAATTGGGTGTCATCTGCATACATGTGGAAGGTACCCCATGTCTGCGGATGACATCCCCAAGAGGGAGCATGTAGATCAGAAAGAGGAGGGGACCAGGTGAGAGCAGGAGGAAAAGCCGTTTATACAGATGTACTGCTGGTGGTTTGTGAGGTAGGACTTGAACCAGGTGAGTGCGGTCCCACTGAGATCGATGACGGAGGAAAGGCGGTGGAGGAGGATGGCGTGACCGACTGTGTCGAACTCGGCGGAGAGGTCCAGGAGGACAAGGAGGCAGAGGGAGCCCTGGTCACAGATAGAGAGGATGTCGTTTGTGACTTTCACAAGCGCAGTCTCTGTACTGTGGGGAGGGCGGAAACCGGACTGGAGGGGTTCGAAGAGGGAATGGGAGGAGAGGTGTGCGCAGAGTTGGTTTGCAGCAACGGGTTCTAGAATTTTTGAGAGGAAGGGCAGGTTAGAAATAGGGCGGTAATGGCTGGGGTTTGAGGGATCTAGGGAGGGTTTTTTCAGGAGGGGGTGATGACAGCAGTTTTGAGGGAGGCAGGGACTGATCCGGAGAAGAGGGACTGGTTGATAATGTCAGCCAGTAGTGCGCAGAGGAGGGGGAGCTGTGTGACTAGTAAGTTGGTGGGGAGGGGGTCGAGGCAGCAGGTGGTGGGTGAAAGGGAGAGATGGGGAGGAAAAGAGTGTAGAAAGGGGGTGGTGGTAGGAGCAGATGATGAGGAGGGAGACAGAGAGTGGTGGGTGGGTGACAAGGGGCAGGTGGATGAGGCTGCTTGGTGGATGTTCAGTATTTTAGTTGAAAAGAAGTCCATGACCTTGATACGAAGATTGAGGAGGCCTGAGGGGGGGCACGGAGGAGGTAGTGAAAAAAAAGATTTTGGGGTTGTGTTTAGCCTCCAAGATGATGTTGGAGTAGAAGGCCGTTTTTGCGCGTCAAAGAACGGCGGTAGCTGTGAGATGCTCGAGCCACAGTTGGCGGTGAATTGTCAGGCCAGTTTACCGCCATCTGCGCTCGAGCAGACGGGTTTGGGTTTTTTGGCGGCGGAGATGGCTGTTGTACCAGGGGATCGGGTGGGTTTGCAATTGGTCCTGGATTTTAGGGGGACGAGGGGAGTTTAAAGTGGAGGAGAGGCGATCATGGAGCAGCTGGACGGCTGCTTCAGGATCTCCGCGGATGGAAGACCAGACGGATAGGTTGTTTGAAGATGAGGACCTTTGTGAGGGTCACAGGGGATAGCCTTTTCCAAGGGCGGTAGAGGATGGTTGAGGGCTTGGTGGATGAGAGAGGGATGTAAGAGGAGAAAGAGATGAAAAAGTGGTCCAAGATGGCCTTGTCCACTATGCTGAGGTCGGAAATGTCAAGGCCATGGATGATGATGAGATCAAGTGCATGACCACAGTTGTGGGTCGGTGAGTTTATATGGAGGGTAAGGTTTAGGGAGGAGAGGAGGGCAATGAAGATACAAAGAACTTTGACATATTTTAAGGACAGAGGAAACAAAAATAGTCACTGGACCTGAATCCAATTGTATATGAAGCCCTTCGGGATGGATTGACATTATAGGTACTGCTCCAAAAGTAAGGATTATTATTAGTAATAATAAAATTAAATTTCAGAGTGGTCCAACCAGCAGACATTTCACAAAGAGGGCATCGGCTCTCAGTAGCCAAAGGTTGGACTATCCTGAAATAAATTATCAGCATTCATTTAGTAGCAGTAATACATGGCTACCTGGGTACTTCTCAGTGACCTTCTGCAGTCGATACTGTTTGTAAATGGCACTAGTTATATCGACCTCACAGCCCATTGCTTCATACAATTTCAGCTGATTCACAAACTCCTCATTTATCCTGCAACACATAAAAAACGCAGACTTCACTTTTAATGCACTTTTAACAACAACATAACATGGAGACAGAATCAGCACAGAAACACGTTACTCACTTGATGTCTGGTTTAACGGCCTGGAGTTTAATATACGCTTCTTCAAAGGGCACCTGATCAGTTTTCATAATAAATGCCGTAACCACAGCTGCACTTCGACTGACTCCTGCATGACTGAGAAGGCATTGGAGACAAAAGATTCCAAAAGTCAGAGCCCACAAAATAGGGATCATTTTTTCCCTTGCTCGGGTCCCTGGCCAATACAATCACAGCCGGGGGTCCGACACATGTGCTTAAAGAGTATCCAAATTGAACTGAGAATTCCCTGCATCCCACCAATACATCTAAATTGGATTGAAATATGCACTCTCTCCCTGGAAGGACCCATCTTGCTTATCCAATTGTGGAAAGTATTAGGCACAGGTTTGCAAGAGCCAAGGCTTGGGAACCAAAGAGTGTGTGTTGGGAGTAGAGCTGGAGACTAACCAGGGGAAGGTGGAGTAAGGAAACTTGCCTAAGGTATTATCCCACTCGGGAATCGGGGCAAAACCGTAGGCAGGTTTCCTTACTCCACACACCTGTGTTTACATAGCAGTAAGTAGGAACCCAGTCATTAGTCAATTGACAGATCGCTTTCCAGAGATAATAATGCCTCCCCCAAAAATAACAATAATAATGCAGTCACTCAATGTTTGGGGGACACTGCGGTGCGCAATTGGCTGCCGAGTTTCACCCGCAAAATACAGTCAATTCACTTTGCAGTACATTCTACGAAGGGTTTTGAGACGTCTCAACAACATAAGGCTAGCGCTATAGATTATTATCATCATCATCGTCCCACTACCTTACCCCCTCTCTAACCTGTTGTTAAATACCACCTCTCCCTTGACGGGAGTCCAACCCCATCACTGTGAAGCGCTCTGAGATATTATGTGTGTGAAGGGTACTGTATAAATGCAGCTGCTGTATGTATGTATGTATGTCTGTGTGTGTGTATGTATGTGTGCGTATGTATGTGTGTGTGTGTATGTGTGTGTGTGTGTGTGTGTATGTGTGTGTATGTGTGTGTGTATGTATGTGTGTGTATGTGTGTGTGTGTATGTATGTGTATGTATGCGTGTGTGTGTATGTATGTGTGTGTGTGTATGTGTGTGTGTATGTGTGTGTGTATGTGTGTGTGTATGTGTGTATGTGTGTGTGTGTGTGTATGTGTGTGTATGTATGTGTGTGTGTATGTATGTGTGTGTGTGTGTATGTATGCGTGTGTGTGTATGTATGTGCGTGTATGTATGTGTGTGTGTGTATGCACACATGTACATACAGTACTTGGGACTGTGTATTTCAATGACAAGTGCAGCGGCGCCAGTGCACGAGGATGATCTGCTGTTGTTGTTGTTGTTGTTGTTAAATTCCAGCTTTGAAATCTCGAGCATCTGCAGCGTCCGAACAAATGGGTTCATCCCCATCGCCGGCGGCGTTCAGCCGCAAGACCTGACCTGTGGACCTGACCCCCACCCCCCGGCGCGGCCGCTGCGTGCGAGCTCCAGGCCAGGCTTACCAGTGCACCAGCACGGCCTCGCTCGCCTTCGCCTCCTGCACGAAGCGCACGCACCGGTCCAGGCGGCTCAGCAGGTCGGCGCCGGCCTCGTCCGGGGCCTCCACGAACTCGGTGCGAGCGACGCCCGGGAGCGGCGGCGGCGGCCGCGAGTCCACCGACAGCACGTGCGAGACGCCCGCCTCCCACAGCGCCCGCGGCTCGCTCACGGCGTCCAGGCCCCCGATGTACAGGCCGCTCCGCACCAGAATCATATCCCCCCCCCGAACCCGAACCCGCCTCAGCGAGAGCGGCCCCGGGACGCAGACGGACAGCGAGGCCGAGGCCGAGGCCCGACGCGCGCAGGGACGTGGTGACGCCACTCGCCAACACGTGACTCTTGCCTTAAAAGGGGCGTGGGCACGTGACCAACAGCCCGGGGGGCCGGGTGGGGGGGGGGGGGGGGCAAGAGCACGTGGTCAACACTGGGGTGGGCGGAGGCCAAGAGCACGTGGTCAACAGCAAGGTGGGGGGCAAGAGCTCATCGTCAACAGTGGGGGGGGGGGGGGGCAAGAGCACGTGGTCAACAGTGGGGGGGGGGGGCCAAGAGCACGTGGTCAACAGTGGGGTGGGGGCAAGAGCTCATCGTCAACAGTGGGGGGGGGGGCCAAGAGCACGTGGTCAACAGTGGGGGTCAAGAGCACATGGTCAACAATGGGGGGGGGGGGTGGGCAAGAGCACGTGGTCAACAGCAGGGGGGGGTCAAGAGCACGTGGTCAACAGTGGGGGGGGGGGCCAAGAGCACATGGTGAGCACATGGTCAGCAGTGGGGGGGGTCAAGAGCACGTGGTCAACAGTGGGGGGGTGGGATGGGCAAGAGCACGTGATCAACAGCAGGGGGGGGGGTCAAGAGCACGTAGTCAACAGTGGGGGGCCAAGAGCACATGGTCATCAGTGGGGGGTTGGGGCATGGGCACGTGATCAACAGTGGTGGGCCAAGAGCACGTGACCAACAGTGTGGGGGGTGGGGGGAGACATGAGCACGTCAACAGTGTGGGGGGGGGGGGGGGGGGAAGAGACATGGGCACGTGACCAACAGTGGGGCAATAGTTTATGTATTCCTGCCTTTATTTCCCATTCCATTTTCTTCCCGTCTCTCCTCGCGCTGCCTCAAACAACCTTGTGAGATGCAGCGCAGAGAGCGACAGGAAGGTGTTGCTGCTAATGGCGCATAACCCCCCATCCCGGTTTTCAATGGTAGGGGACTCATGACAGTGTCAAGGTAGCGGCCGCGTGATCAGGCTAATAATCACGAGTTTTGGGGCCAATGATTGGTCGACTGCCCTGATCAAATTGGGTTGATCGGCTACTTTTGTGGGAAAAGAGAGACAGACTACAACAAAGCACAAATGGATTTGACTATTTTATTTTAACAGTGTAATTTTATTGAACAAAATGTTTCTTTGGTACGTGAATATCTGTACTGCAAAACGTATGAATGCTTGTGTTTTGAAGCATATACAGGCTCTCTAAACATAGCCAGAAACTTCCCCTCCCCCCTCCCCCATAGAAACAGTATCAGGTTGTAGCGGAAAGAAAGAACTTAGCAATATACAGAGGAAAAAGTTAAACGAAGAACCACCCTGGGCTTCACTCTGCATCCACTTCCATCCGGTGGTGATGCTTACATTGGAACATAGGAATTACAAGACAAAAAAAGATTATGGAGGGCTTTGAAGGTGAGGACCAGGATCTTGAACTATATCCTCTGTGTGATGGAAAGCCAATGGAGTTGGGCAAGAATGGGGGTGATAGGGTCGCGGAGCGTAGTGCGGGAGAGGACACGGGCTGCAGAGTTCTAGATAATCTGCAGCCTGTGGAGGGAGCTGTTGGGGAGGCTGACAAGCAGTGAGTTTGCATAGTCAAGCCTCGATGTACTGAAGGCATGTATGAGGGTTTCGGCAGTCTGCGGTATGAGACAGTGTCAGAGCCGGGCGACGTTGCTGAGGTGGGGGAAAGCAGAGCGGGTCATGGCGCAAATGTGGGATAGAAAGTTGAGGGTCAAACAAGACCCCAAGGGTCTGGACTGGCTTAGCAAGGTGGACTGATAGCAATTAATCATGTGTGGGTTAGTGAACCAACACAGTGGAAAGCTTTGGGAACCTTAGATCTAAAGTTCCCTAGTTCCTCCAAGCATGCTACACATGTCATGTAGGTTCTTTAATACCAAGCTAATGCAATTTCAGTCACTTCACACATGTGAAGCGCTTTGAGATGGCCACTGCACAGTCAAATGTCCTAAATCAAATAATGTTATTACTACAATTAACAGCAAGGGAAGGGGAGAACTGTTGTTGTATTTTCAGCCTGGACCTGGACGTCGGGAGGACGTCCCAAGGCACTGGACAATTGGGTCAGGACCCGAGCAGGGGGGAAATGGTCAAGATGAGGGGAGGGAAGCAACAGAAGGCTTGGATCTGTGGCTAAATGTCTGAGCCACTCTTTGCCACTTCTCAGTGCGAGGCAGGCTCTGTTGGTAGCATCCTCGTCTGGGCATCAGAAGGTTGTGAGTTCAAGCTCCACAGTGGGATCTTGAACGCATATAGTCTAGGCTGGGGCTGGGGGTACACCGCTGCAATGACGGATGTGCCATCCTTTGGATAAGATGTTAAGCCAAGGTTTCATATGTCTGTTTAGGTGGATTTTGAAGATCCCACAGCACTATTCAAAAAGAAAAGGGAATTTCTCCCAGGGTTCTGGCCAGCCATCCCCTAATTAAAATTGGTTGCACTCTTCATGGTAATGTTGGTGCTTAAAAAATAGCTGCCAAGTTTGCCTACAGAATGCACAGTCATTAGACATGACAGTATATTCTGTGAAGCTTTCTTCTGACTTGAAAGGTGCTATATCAAATGTAATGATTATTATTTATCAGGAGTTCACAGCTGATTCACATTTGAGCACTTCTTGATGCAGAGTGTTGAAAATATTCAGTTTGATTGAGAGTGATTGAGCCTGTGTCCTCACCACTGCTTTAAAACAATGCCATTCAATGTGATGACTGATCAGTCAATTTTGATCAGTTGTTAACACTCTCCCCATAGGGCCAGATTGTTGTAGATTTGAACCCCACATCAAGACTTGAGATCATAATCGCATGCCGTTCTTCAAACAAAACATTCAATAACAGATTATTCTTATTGTTTGGCTAGAAATTAAAGATTCTGTAGTGCTAATTCAAAGAAGGGTAGTGAATTGTCTCATTGTTCTGGCCAATATTTATCCCTAGCCCAAACCCACCAAAACATATGAAATAATCATTTGTTTCATTGCTATTTGTAGGATGTTACTGGTACAAATTTGCTGGCAATGATATAGATAGCTGCAATACCAGAATGAAAATTAGCCCCAGCACAGGCACAATGTATAAAAAGGCCTCCTTCTGTGTTGCATAGAATGTGGTCCAAGGTGGAAAATCATAGATCTCAGTGATTTTTTTTTAAAGAAGTGGGAAAATTTAAATCCTGACAATGGATGGGTGAAAAGCCATCTGGAATAGGGGTCCAAGTGTGAATTGGTCAACTGCACACCTGGAACGTTTGGAGTCAAGAATATGACTCCAAATATCCAAACCAAGGCTCTTCCCCATTCTCAGGTTAACAGGCTATAGGGTATAGTTATAAAGTGCATGCTTGAAGCAGGGTGAGGCACATTGAAGTATTCTGCTAGACGTTCAATTTGTTTTCACTTGCACGGCCTTTGATGTTAATTTTTCCTCCTCATTCTGTGAAAAAGAGATTACTATTGAGTTACCTCTGCATTCTGTCACAAAACCAAAATCCACTCGCAAAGCTAAAGGTTTGGCTTACAACAAACCCTGCATTAGGGTGTACCTGTATGTATTGGTGTCACATATTCCGGTAAACGTTCATTGGACTATCAAGCAGCTGAATGATGTACCAGTGTGGATCAGACCAAACACGAATGATCCTGGGTTACTTATTTCATCCCGACTTAGACACAAGAATGTGAAAAATGCCTTGCCTGGAAAATTCGCTTGTTTACCTAAAGGTGAAGCAGCTAATATCTGATGTAAACCAAGCAGTTGTCAGTGAAGCTGTGACAAAGTTAGGCAAAGCAAAGTCAGGCGTCTAACGAGTAGGAAAGATTTTAAACAGCTGTAACATACATTATTAGCTATGTGCAGGGAAGGCTTAACATGAAAGAACACCCTCCGTTCCCAGTAAAGCTCGACTTTAAACACATTGACTAGGGCTATACATAGGCAACCATTCAGCGATCAAGTCAGCTAACTTGATTGGGATCTGTGGTCTTACCTATATTGAACGCTGGATTTTCCATCATCTCTAATGTGCTAAGGTCGTCACTGTTAGAAAAACAAGTTATGGTTTACTGTTAACTTTTTTTCTCCCTTTTTAGTTGTTTCATCTTTCGTGGCAAACACAAGGACTACAACTAACCTGTTTTCATTGTTTCCGCTGCTAATACTTTGTAATTAAACAATAGGGGATGTGCTAAAAAGAGGCTTGGGTGATCAGTGCGTTGTTCACTGATTATGATCTCCTCCTTTCGTTTGCCCTCCACTCAGCCACTGAGTGTCTGAGATCAGGAATCTGACTGTCCTGCAGACAGTCAGAGATGTACTTTCACCTGCCGTTTGTCATCAGGCTGACGATGAAAGGTAGAACAAGTTTAAATTAAAAGAAAAGTTAAAAGAAAATTTTTAAGATGACGGGGTGGCAGAGTGCATTTAACACTTCTTTTCACCCCTGGGATCTGGGCTTCAAGCCAATTAGTCTGTGCTGATGGGGTGAACGTTTCTTCATTTTATTGTCTCCAAGGGCGATAGGTAAGACGCGTGACCAGTTCTTGAGCATCTAGTCCCCACAATCCCATCTACCTCTTCAGGTGAATGTTAAAGATTCTATGGCACTATTTGAAAAGAGAAGGGAGTTTCTCCCACTGTCCTGGCCAACAATCTCCGAAATAAAAACTGGTTACTCAGCTTATGGCTGTTTGTGAGAGACATTGCTGTGGGTAAATGGCTTCACCCACAAAATACACAGTCAATTCACTTTATAGTATATCTTGCAAAGTGCTTTGCGACGTCTCAACGATGTGATAAGGTACTATATCAAATGCAAGGATTATTACGATACAAACTATCTGTCTTATTCAGAGATTCCACAAGGAAGATGGAAATGGCAATACACGTTTTTCTGTGCAGATCAGATCATCATGCTACTCCACATATATTGTAACTCTAGACAGAGTGCAGCCTAGATTTATAGAGAACAATTCCTTTAAAAGGTATGTTTTGATAAACTATCAAGAAAGATCGGGCAGGTTGGATGGAGTTTTTGTCTCTGGAGGTGCGACGATTGAGAGGAGACCTAATAGTAGTGTTTAGGATCAAAACGGGATTTGATAAGGTTGGCATTGATGGGATGTTTCTAAAGGTCCATAAATATAAGATAACAGATTTAAAAGGGTGTTTAGGAGGAACTTCTTCTCCCGGAGGGTGGTGAGAATATGGAATCACTGCCAGAAGCTATGGTTGAAGCAAAAAACCATCATGATTTTTAAAAAAATGGTGTGCACGTGTTAAATGTATTTCAGAGGAAATTTGGGGCAGAAGGGAATAGAGAGGTATAGGAGAGGGGGATTAGGAGCGATGGAGGCTTAGATGACTGAGTGACCTGCTTGCATGCTGTATAGAGTCCTGTAACATAGTGGTTAGCTCGCTCGCCTAGCAAGCAAGAGAACTTGCCGGGTTTGGTTCCCGGGCAGGGAAAAACCTTAGGCAAATTTCTTTTCTCCACATGCCTTTGGTTACCCAGCAGTAAGTACGAGTCTGTTTTCAGTCAATTGGTGAATCGCTTTCCTTGGGGGTAATAATCCTTCCCCCCAAAAAACAACATGCCAAATAAAGGTGAAAAACACGACATATCAAAGTTAGGAGAAAATAAACATGAGAAAGGAGGGGAATTAAAATGTACCTGTCCTGCTTGATAATGTATTTATCTGGAAAGAATGGAGAGAGTGTGCACTGTTAAAATTGATATTTTGAAACTTGTATTTTTAATATATTTTTATAAACTTTCATATTAAAGATTGGAGCAAAATAATTTTTTTTATTAATAACCCTGATTTAACTAAAATTTACAGATGATCTGGTGCAGACAGTAAATAGAACTGACCATTAAATAGGACATCCTTCTGACGTGAAAGAAGCTGTAATTTTGTATAGTATTGTAAACCAAATAGCATAATGGGTGACCCACAAACTAAATGCAAAATAATCTCATTCCTTATTCGTCCCTTATGACCTGGAAGTCGGCCATTTTGTTTCGTAGTCGGAAATTAAACAAAAAGCAACCCTAATCATATTGCACTGTAACTCGCTGCTGGCCAGTATAAGCCTCTTACCTTTTTTTTTCAGGTGCCGTCTAATCGAGACCGCAGTCATAACGGTGAAAAGAGCAGCGAGGATAGCCGCCATAACTGCAGCCGTGTATGTCATCACGTTTGCCAGATAGGACCCTGCATCATCTACGAGATACCACAAAGGATTAGACTATCACTAGAGAGAAATATAAAATAATATAAAAGTAATATAATAATCCTTGCATTTGATTCAGCATATTATCATGCTGTCAAAAAGTCTCAAAGTAATTAGTGGGATTTGTTTTAATGGTTTGTTGTGGCAGTCAATTTGCACACAGCAATGTCCCACAGAGAGCAATGACTATTTTTTTTAATATCTGGAAAATTGTTGGCCTGATATCAAGAGAAACTTCCTTTTCGAATAAGTAAGGTTTGGACTTGAAGGCCCCTTTGATCCATTTGCTCTCAACCTTCCGGTACGCTTGCCCTAACATCCTGCATTGCAACATTAAACTGTTAAATGAGCCCAGTATCCCTGCCTCACCCACCATTCCTGGTAACTCGTTTTGGTCATTAATTTCCCTTTGTGTAAAGGAACTTTCTTTGCTCTAAGGAGAACAATCTCAGCTTCTCTTGACTCTGCACATAACTGAAGCCCCACATCCCTGGTATCATTCTGTTCTCCTGCATTTGGATATATAAAAGTATTGTTCTGGGTTTACTTTCTCGAATCCATCCTATACAGAATTTAATACACACCTCTGAGTCTGCAGATTGCAGTCTTGCATTCCACACTCCAAGGTCCCTCCAGGTAACTTCAATTTGTCACAGAATCATAGGAGACTATTCAGCTTATCACATGTGTGGTAGCACAAGCTCTCCCAAAGAAGCTATCTGCTCTAAACCCATTACACCTCTATCTTCTCATAACTTTTATCATTAAGGTCATTCTCAAGACCTGTCTCTTTGACAGCACTTTTGGTCATCTTTCCCCTCTCCACCCCCAGTCAATACTGTTAAACTTTTTGTTTGATCTTCCCGCTATATAGATGTACATTTGTAGTGTATAAGTATCTATTCAATTCTCTCTTAAGATGTTAAGGAAGTTTCTCCTGGTGTCCTGGCCAACAAATCCCCCAAATAAAATTGTTCCCTCGCTCCATGGCTGTTTTGCAGGATATTGCTGTACGCAAACTGCATTTCACCCACAAAATACTCAGCCAATCCACTTTAGAGTATATCCTGTGAAATGTTTTGAGAAATCTCGACGACATGATCAGACAGTATATCAAATGCAAGGACTACTATTATTATCGGACTCAACACTATTAACACCATTCCACATTGTAACCACACTCTGTGTAAATAGATGTTCTATGGCCTCCCCATTCTTTCGTTTGGCAATAAACCTGTACAACTGGATTCTTTGAAATAATACCGTTACAAGTTGGAAGTGGATCCGTCCATTGTCCAGATTCATTGCATTGGAGCCTGGCAGATCCCTTCAGTAGATATCCTTGAGCACAGCTGAAGTTACACGCCGAGCCATAGCTAAAGTTTGCAGCAGAATGTGTACAGTTCATGATCATTGGGGGATGGGTGATCAGGACCTCGCACTTCATGGCTGTGTTGGATTTCAAGAAATAGCATTTTTCAGGCCAACAATAAAAACAACCACAACCAATTACATTTGTACAGCACCTTTCACGTTAGGAGGACATCCCAAACAAATATTGTGCAAGTCAATCAATCCTTTACCTTAATGGCTACAAGTTTTCAAAGCCATAATCTCTCAGGGTCTCTTTTTGAGGCTGAAGCTTACTGGTTTACTTTACAGCCATCAGAGAGAGAAGAATCCATCCCTCAGCCTGGGCTATGATTTCAACATATTACATGACATTATGAAGCCAATACAAAAACAATAACCTCCACAGTGTAAAATATACAAAATAATGTTGTTTATCACAAAATGTTTATTTATCAGAAAATGTCTCCTTAATATGATCCTCAACAATGCCGCGCTCCCTCAGCCTTGTACTGGAGTGTCAGCCTAGATTGTCTGCTTAAAGTCCCGACATGGGGCTTGACCCCACAACCTTCTGACTTAGTGGCATGCGTGCTACTCACTGAGACAGGCTGACACCAAAGATGAACTGTGTCTGGGGCCACATCAGTAGTGGCCTTGATTTTAACTTAACACTGCCACAACTCTGTTTGCTATTCTGCTACTAGAGATTAAACAGACCAAAGCAGGGTGGGTGAAGTGAAGCTCATGAGAGGGTAGAAACACGGAAACATAGAAATCTACAGGACAGAAGGAGGCCATTCAGCCATCAAACCTGCTTCGGCTCACAGAGTAAAGATATCATTTCAATCCCTCTGCCTCTGCCTTAACCCCATTCCTCTTCAAGTCCCTCTCTTTCATTGACTATCTACCTCCCTCTTGAAATGGACTCCGTCTCCACCATCTTCTTGACGGGGTGTTCCCACCTAGGCTCTGGGTGAAAAAAAATTGCTCTTCGTGTAGCTATCTCGCATCTGTTCCCTAGTTACTGCCTCCTCAATCAGTGGAAATAACTTCTCTAAAGAATAGGTTATACATGGTCTGTGGAAGGGGAAGCTTCAATGGGTCAGATGATCTTCTCTGCTGGGAGCAAAGGGTGGGAGGAGACAGGGTGGGGGAAAGGGTTATTGCTGCTACCTTCACAAGTAGGGGTCTCCACTGTCCACTTTCCAGGCACTTGGCACTGAAGCCGGCCCAATCCATCCAGTACAAACCCTTCATCACAGCTGATATCGCATGTCGAATTGTAGCTGAAGTAATCAATGGGGTGGGAACAGTTGATGGTCCCTTGTCGAGGCTGTGTCAGCACCTTACAGAGTACAGCTGAAATACAAACATGAGGATTCAGCCAAAGATGTCACATAAAAGATACTTGTATATGTTTAGAAAAAACAAAAAGCGGTACAATTTTTTAATAACAACAACCTGCATTTATACAGCTCCCTTTGCATAAGACAAAGTCTCAGAGTGCTTCACAGTGGTGCAGTTGGAACAATGGAGAAAGGGAGGAGATGACCATAGGTGGAGTTGAAGAGATATTTTTCAAGGGTAATGTAAGATAGTTAGATAGAGGGGGGAGAGATAGAGGGATAGAGGCAGAGAATTCCAGAGTTCAGGGGTGGAATGACTAAATACTCGGTCGCTGTTGGTGAACAGGAGGGAGCGGGGGACGTGCAACAGGTATGTGTTAACTGAGCGGTGTGGGTTGTACACCAGTTTAAAGTTGCCGCTAAAAACAGTACCTTTACAGGTGGGGACTGACGCTGTCCATTGCCCGTCAGCTCCACATCGAAGTCTATCCGATCCCAGCAAACCAAAGCCTTCACCGCAGCTAAAGTCACACATCGAGTTATAACTGAAGTCTTTGATGGGATGTGAGCAGATCATGTCCCCTCGATCAGGCTGCACCAGGGTCTGGCAGGTCACAGCTGAAGTAAGGTAGAGAAATTCAATACACACTTTGAAATTTAGATGGAATCGAGAAGGTAAACCCAGAACAATATTTTCAGAGACACCAAGGCAGCGGAACAAGAGGTTTGCACCTTCGGGATGGCAAAGGGAAATTCAAGGTTAACTACCAGGAATTATTTCCATACCCCGAGGGTAATTAACAACTGGAATGGATTAGTAGGAAAGGTGGTTTAGGGTAAGATGCTGAACTTATCTAAGTAACAGTAGGATGTGTATTCTGGAAGGATGTGATAATAATAATCCTTGCATTTGATATGGTGCCTTATCATGTTCAGACGTCTCAAAGCGCTTCACAGGATATACAGTAAAGTGGATTATCTGGAGTTCCCAAATACCTTTGCAGGTGGGAGTCTGTGCTGTCCATTCTCCAGCAGCTCCGCACTTCAGCCTGTCTGCTCCGTACAGCACAAACCCCACGGCACAGCTGAGGTTGCACGTTGAGGTGTAACCAAAGTTCGCTATGGGGTGGAAGCAGCTCATCACTGATCGTTCAGGCGGTGACAATATCTGGCAGTTTACCACTGGAATAAAAGGTTGTAATTTTGATCAGAAGGTCTAAAACAAATGCAGACACACATACGCAAACTAATAATAATAATAATTCTTGCGTTTGATATAGTGCCCTATCACGTCGTTGAGACATCTCAAAGTGATTCACATGATATATAGTAAAGTGGATTGATAGTCTATTTTGTGGCCGAAACTACACTTTACAGTACATCCTTTTGAGACACCTTTCCAATATGAAAGGCATTATATCAAATGTAAGGATTATTATTTTAGAAAACACATATTTTCACAAGTACTTTACAACTTCACCCATTGTGGACGCAAAGCCTCAGTGATAAGAAAGCACACATTTAAATTACATTAACAACATCAAGTACAACAAAAATTTGCATTTATATAGCACCCCTCACGCAGGTTAGGGTCCCAGAGCGCTTGACAGTGGCAGAGCACAACGCCGAGCCGGGGAGGTGACCGTGGGCAAAGCCGAATAGGAAGGTCTTCAGGCGCTAGTCACAAAATAATTAAAGGTGAGGTTAGAAATCCCGTTAGAATTTCCAAACGCACAATTATACCTTTACAGGTGGGGTTCTGGGCTGTCCATTGTCCAGAAGACAGGCACTGGAGAGTATCTGATCCTTGCAGAGAAAACCCTTCAGAGCAGCTAAAATCACACTTTGAGCTGTAACTGAAGGTAGTGATGGGGTGGGTACAGTTCATCACCCCTCGGTCAGGTATCATCAGCTTCTCGCAGTTAACAGCTGAAATGAAAAGTTTGCAGCTTTCATGAAGACTTTCATATCAGTTGGTGTTGCTCAAGACTTTTGTACGTTTACTAAACAGCTCAGATTACTATTCATCTCAAAGTTTTTTTTTTTTTAATCGGTCCCATTGCTCCAGCACCTCTGTCTTTTTAACCAGCTAAAACCATATAGCATGCCATTGATATCATTGTTTATTATGGCTTTGGATTGCAGGGTTAACAGGAGCTGAGGGGGATGATTCGCTGCCCTCAGTGACTGGCCTGCCGTTCTAATCCTACCGATGAGCTAGACTGGCTGTGCTGTCATCAGCAGTGCCCTGGAATACATTGCTGTTGAATAAAATACTGTGTTGCTGAATACCTTTGCAGGTGGGAATCTCTGCTGTCCAATATCCAGAAGCTCCACATTGCAGCCTGCCTGATCCGTGCAGTACAAACCCTTCAACGCAGGTGAAGTCACATGTTGAGGTGTAACTAAAATCTCTAATGGGATGGGAACAGTTCACAGCTCCTCGTTCAGGCTGCACCAGTGTCTGACAGTTTACAGCTGAAACGCAAGTTCACAACTTCAATGTAAATTTCAGGGAGTTTTGAAGAGAAACTAGAGTTGGTTACACCAGAGCTAAGATGATTAACGATTTTACAAGGTAGGGCTCTTCAATGTTGAAAGCAGATGCCTCAGATCAGAGCTTACACAAGATTTTATGTGGGATTGAGAAAGTAAACCCAGAACGATACTTTCAGACACACGCCAAAACAAGAGGATACAGTTTGCATTTGCAAAGGGCAATTTCTGGTCAGACACCAGAAAGTATATTTTTACCTGGAGGGCAAGAGAGCAACTTTCAGGGAGTTTTGAAGAGAAACTAGAAAAGTTCGAGCTGTTTATACTCGAGCTAAGAATATAAACAATTTACGAGCAAAGGAAAATAACCAGTGCAGGTCTGATGGGCTGAATGGGCTGTTTCTGTGTTGTAACAGTCATTGTTGAGAAACAATGTCAGCTTTTGTTGAAGGAATTGAGGCAGATTTTCCAAACGCACAATTATACCTTTACAGGTGGGGTTCTGGGCTGTCCATTGTCCAGAAGACAGGCACTGGAGAGTATCTGATCCTTGCAGAGAAAACCCTTCAGAGCAGCTAAAATCACACTTTGAGCTGTAACTGAAAGTAGTGATGGGGTGGGTACAGTTCATCACCCCTCGGTCAGGTACCATCAGCTTCTCGCAGTTAACAGCTGAAATGAGAAGTATGCAGCTTCCATGAAGACTTTCATATCAGTTGGTGTTGCTCACAACTTTTATATGTTTACTAAATAGCTCAGATTGCTATTCCCCTCAAAGTTTTCTATTGGTCCCATTGCTCCAGCACCTCTGCCTCCATTGCTTTGTGCAAAATCACTGTTGAGTTCATATCCAATCACTACATTTCCAGTAAATCCTGTGAAAGGCTTCGAGACATCCTCCCGACATGGTAGGAGCCAAGGCTTGGGGACCCCAGAGTGTGCGTTGAGGTATTGCTGGGGTTTCAACCAGTTAAAACCACATAGCTTGCCATTGATGTCATTGTCTGGCAAGCTTTCCTGCTGCTTGTTCAGCTGGGAACACCCTACTTATTATGGATTTGGATTGCAGGGTTAACAGGAGCTGAGTGGGATGACTATTTGCCCCCAGTGACTGGTCTGCCTTTCCAAGTCCTGCTGATGAGCCAGGCGACCTGTGAGGTCATTAGTATTACCCTGGAATACCACAGAGCCATTATTATATGAATCAATATATCAGCATTATCATATATTAATTCTTATTCCCTGATTCTATGAAGACAGCTTTGGCTACCGCATTCAGTCAATCTTTTAAAACTGAGTAAAATACATTGTTGTTGAGTAAAATACTGTGTTGCTGAATACCTTTGCAGGTGGGAATCTCTGCTGTCCAATATCCAGAAGCTCCACATTGCAGCCTGCCTGATCCGTGCAGTACAAACCCTTCAACGCAGGTGAAGTCACATGTTGAGGTGTAACTAAAATCTCTAATGGGATGGGAACAGTTCACAGCTCCTCGTTCAGGCTGCACCAGTGTCTGACAGTTTACAGCTGAAACGCAAGTTCACAACTTCAATGTAAATTTCAGTGAATTTTGAAGAGAAACTAGAGTTGGTTACACCAGAGCTAAGATGATTAACGATTTTACAAGTTAGGGCTCCTACAAGGTAGGATTTTATGTGGGATTGTGAAAGTAAACCCAGAACGATACTTTCAGACACACGCCAAAACAAGAGGATACAGTTTGCATTTGCAAAGGGCAATTTTTGGTCAGACACCAGAAAGTATATTTTTACCTGGAGGGCAAGAGAACAACTTTCAGCGAGTTTTAAAGAGAAACTAGAAAAGTTCGAGCTGTTTATACTAGAGCTAAGAATATAAACAATTTACGAGCAAAGGAAAATAACCAGTGCAGTTCTGATGGGCTGAATGGGCTGTTTCTGTGTTGTAACATTCATTGTTGAAAAACAATGTCAGCTTTTGTTGAAGGTTTTGGGGCAGAATTTTCAAACACCCAATTATACCTTTACAAGTGGGGGACTGGGCTGTCCATTGTCCAGAAGACAGGCACTGGAGAGTATCTGATCCTTGCAGAGAAAACCCTTCAGCGCAGGTGAAGTCACACGTTGAGGTGTAACTAAAATCTCTAATGGGATGGGAACAGTTCACAGCTCCTCGTTCAGGCTGCACCAGTGTCTGACAGTTTACAGCTGAAACGCAAGTTCACAACTTCAATGTAAATTTCAGCGAGTTTGAAGCGAACCTCGAGAAGTTAGAGCTGGTTATACGAGAGCCGAGAAGATTAGTGATTTCACAAGCTAGGGCTCTTCAGTGTTGAAAGGAGATGTCTCAGATCGGCACAGATACAAGAAAGTAAACACAGAACGATACTTTCAGACACACACCAGAACAAGAGGATACAGTTTGCATTTGCAAAGGGCAATTTCTGGTCAGACACCAGAAAGTATATTTTTACCTGGAGGGCAAGAGAGCAACTTTCAGGGAGTTTTGAAGAGAAACTAGAAAAGTTCGAGCTGTTTATACTAGAGCTAAGAATATAAACAATTTACGAGCAAAGGAAAATAACCAGTGCAGGTCTGATGGGCTGTTTCTGTGTTGTAACATTCATTGTTGAGAAACAATGTCAGCTTTTGTTGAAGGTTTTGAGGCAGATTTTCCAAACACACAATTATACCTTTACAGGTGGGGTTCTGGGCTGTCCATTGTCCAGAAGACAGGCACTGGAGAGTATCTGATCCTTGCAGAGAAAACCCTTCAGAGCAGCTAAAATCACACTTTGAGCTGTAACTGAAGGTAGTGATGGGGTGGGTACAGTTCATCACCCCTCGGTCAGGTACCATCAGCTTCTCGCAGTTAACAGCTGAAATGAAAAGTTTGCAGCTTCCATGAAGAATTTTGTATCAGTTGGTGTTGTTCAAAACTAGTGTACTTTTATTTTAAAAAACACACACGTGTTTCAGCCTGGCATTGTGATATCACTCTCGGTTCTGAGTCAGAAGGTTATGGGTTCAAGCCATACAACTTGGATTCACATCATCTAAGCTGACACTCCAATGCAGTTCTGTGGGTACCGTCCTTTGGATGAGACATTAAACGAAGATCCCATCTGCCTGTTCAGGTGGATCCCATGCCACTATTCGAGATCCCATGCCATTATTCGAAAGGAGAAGGGAGTTTCACTCTCCAATTTTTCCTGGCCAACAATCCCCAATATAAAATTGGTCACTCACTCAATACATAATCATTCCACTTGATAGTATACTGTATGAAGCACTTTGAGACATGTCAACAGCATGATAAGGCACAATATTTAATGCAAGGATTATTATTAAAAATCTCAGATTGCTCTTTGGCTTAAGATTCTCTATCAGTCTTCATTGCTGTAGCATCTGTGCCTCCATCCTGTCCTGTATGGAAAACTGGACTTCCTGTGTTAAGCTGTGAAACGCTCTGGGACACTACCCAGATTGAGGGGCACCATATAAATGCAAGTTATTATTGTACACTCACACACTATTCATCTGCACTGTCACACACTGTTGACCTGTATTGTCACACACTGTTGACTTATACTCTCATCTGCTGTTGACTTCTTCTGTGACACATTGTTGGGCTGCATTCTCACATGCTGATGACCTGTATTGATGTCTCAACAGTGTGTGAGTAAAGGTCAACAGTGTGTGAGCAGAGGTCAACAGTGTGTGAGTAGAAGTCAACAGTGTGTGAGTAGAGGTCAACAGTACATGACAATACAGGTGAACAGTGTGTGACAGTTAATCAAACTTGGCGAGTTACCTTCACAGGAGGGTTCCAATGCAGTCCATTGCCCAAATGCTCCACACCGAAGCCTGTTTGACCCATTCAACATGTAGCCTTCTACACAGTCAAAGTCACAGGTGGAGTTATAACTGTAGGGTCCAATCGGATGGGAGCAGTTTTTGAACCCATGTTTTAGTTTTCCTGGTGTTGTGCACGTCACAGCTAAAACATAAATGATAACATTTTACGTCAATTGAAATTTGCAAGTCAAATTAATTCTGGAGTGTCAAACATAACATATTTTATTAGACCTTTTTTCTATAGGTGGAATGATACATATTTTATATAGTCTGTATCAATACCTCACATCTATTTACACAATAACATTTCCCCTATTTTACTTCTTAATTTTGGGAAAGTTATCAGATTGAGATTGTGGGGTTTTCACAGATAACATAGGAAAGTGTGAAACAAGAAAAGGCTACTTGGCTGGGTAGAGGTGGATTATATTTCTTAGTATTGGGGAAATTAGCTCGTAATCTAACTGTGATGTTTAAAATAATAAAGGGAAATTGACAAACTAGACAACAGTTAACTCTTCCCTCGCACCTACCATTTTACCCATAAAACGCAGTCACTCCACTTTACTGTATATCCTGTGAAGAGCTTCGAAACGTCCTACCGACATGAACAACGCTGTATATTAGTGTTAGATCATAATATTGGTTTGGATGAAAAAGGCCCTTTGGCCCTTCTGGTCTCTTCCCACCAGAATACCCACCTTCTCCCATCACAGGATCAAGCTGCTTTTAACATGAGAGACCAGTGATTATTTACCCTCTAAGTAAAGAAAAACTCTCTGGTGTCTGTCCTAAAATTGCCCTTTATAACTCTAAAGCTATGTCCTCTTGTTCTACTATCCTGGTGAATCCTAAAGTATTGTTCTGGGTTATATTTTTTCAATCCCATTAAAAATTCTATGCACCTCTACGAGGTCCCATCCGAGTTATCTTCTCTCAAGACTGAATTGCAAAAAAATTAAGCTCAGACCCTGGAGCCCAGTGTTGTATTTGGTACAAATTCTGCAACAACAGTCTAGTCGCTATGAGTAGATTCTGAAGACATTGTGATACCTTCACAACTGGGAGTCTCCTGTGTCCAAAGTCTTGAAGCTTGACATTGGAGTCTATCTGATCCATTCAGTACAAACCCTTTGGAGCAGCTGAAGTCACACGTTGAGCTGTAGCTGAAGTCTCCAAAGGCATGACTGCAGTTAATGATCCCCGACTCGGGACTCTTCAGCAAAGGACACTGTACGGCTAGAATAGAAATTCACACAAATCACGGAAAACTCTTGCTCACCCCTTCCCCACAGCAGACAAAATCATGCTTTTTAAAAAAATATAAGTGGTCAAGTACCAATGTGGAACAGAACCAATTTCTCAACCATTTGTTGGATGCCCAGTGTTGGATTGAGCATTCCCAGATCTCTGATCACAAGATAATAATCCTTGCATTTGATCTTTCACGTCATTGAGATGTGTTAAAGTGCTTCACAGAATCTACTGTAAAGAGGATTGACTGTGTATTTTGTGTGTGAAATGTGGCAGCCAATTGCGCACAGTAGTGTCCCACAAACAGTCGTCGTTTGAATGACCCATTTTTTTTGGGGGGAGGGATTATTACCCCTGGAAAGTGATCCGCCAATTGAATAACATCCGGGTTCCTATTTACTGTAAGGTAAACAGAGGCATATGGAGAAAGCAAACTTGCCTAAGGTTTCACCCTACCTGGGAATCGAACCTGAGTCCTCTTGCTTGCGAGGCGAACATGATAACCACTATGCTACAGGACTCTGTAAATGGGACAACCAGGGGGAAGGAGCATTTAAAAAGCAGCTTGATGCTTTGTTGGGAGGATGGCAGGGTGGATATTCAGGAAAGCATTAGAACAATTGGACAAAAAGTCTTTCTTCATCTGATCCTCCTTTACGATCTATTGTGAACATTCACAGTATGTTTAACAGGGAATCTTCATAGATACTAGTCAGCTGCGCATTGTACCTTTGCAGCTAGGTATCTCTGCTGTCCAGTTACTAGATGCTTTGCACTCCAGTCTATCTGAACCATGTAAGATGAATCCATCTTTGCAGTTAAAGGCACATGTTGAGTTGTAACTGAAAGGCCTGAAGGGATGTTGACAGTCCATGAGGAGACTGTGAGAAATCTTCAACTCGTCACACTTCACAGCTGCAATAAAACAAAGGGAGATGGTTTGCATGCCCTTAAACAGACCCAATGGACCCCGAAACAGTTAAAATGTTTTGAGTTAGTAAAGAAATAATATCATTTTTATTGCACCTTACTGATTTGAGATGTCTCATAGTATTTTGAATTACTGTCCCAAGAGGTGATTGTTTTAGTAGGCAAATGCAGCAGCTAAATTTTGCCTATGAGGTCAAAAAACATTCTTGGGTTTGATATAGTGCATTTCAGGTCGGGAGGCTACCTTTAAAGCACTTCACATTCTTTAGAGCTGAACTGGCTCCAAGGTGGCAGGTATGATAAGGGAATATCAGAATCGAGCAATGTCCCACTGACAACTATAAAGTGAATGACCAATTTTAACTGGGAGATTGTTGGCTAGGGCACTTGTTTGAAATAGTACCATGGGTACTTCAACATTCACCTGAATAGGCAAACGGGACTTCAGTCTGCCTTTACAATGCGTTCCGAGCCCCGATATGGAGCTTGAACTCACAACCTTTTAACACAGAGGTGAGCCGCCTGACTCCTAAACTATAGTCAAATCATTACTAAAGCCGTAGAAGTCACACTGTACCTTCACATGTCGGAGCAGGGGCCGTCCACTCCCCAGAAACTCTACAATGAAGTGTGTCCAGTCCCTTTAAAACAAACCCTTCTTGACAGCTGAAGGCACAGGTAGAGTTGTAACTGAAATCTTCTATTGGATGGAAGCAGCGCATGGTGCTGTGGTCAGGTACTGCCAGAGCTTCACATACTTGGACTGCAAGAATCAGAAACAGCACGAGGGTTATTGTTTCACTGACAAAATGGTTAAACACTGTAACATAAACTTGGGTCTGCTGTACATCCCTCACACTCCCCCCAAACCCCCCCCCACACACACACACTCCCTTTCAGCCACTACACCGCTACTCTCTGTAACTTTTTCCCAAGGGTCACGTTTCCATTTCCCACCCCCTCTTACTGTTTTCAAAACTCAGCTAAACCCTGAAGTGCAGAATAATAATAATAACAATAATTCTTGCCTTAATTCTTCCCACTGATATAGTGCCTTATCTCGTCGTCAAAACACATCAAAGTGCTTCACAGGAATTACCTTGAAGTGAAATGATTGTGTATTTGTAGGTAAACGCAGCAGCCCATTTGTCACCAGGAGCGATCCATAAACAGCTATGAGGTGAGTGACCAATTTTATCTGGGGGATTGTCGGCCAGGACAGCGGGGAAACTCCTTTCTCTTTTTAAATAGTGCCATAGGAACTTTAATGTCCACCTGAACAGGTGGATGGGACCTATTTGTAACGTCTCAGAAAGTACCTTTGATAATCCAACAAACCCCAGCACTGCCCCAGACTGTGAATCTAGACTATGAAGTCAATATCCCAGTTTCAACTCATCAATGCCACTTTTGATAACATGATTTTACCATTTAGGAGTGAAATCACTAAGCATTTTTTCACACAAAGGGTATTATGCAATATGCATGCTCCTATAATGCAAACAACGTACCTTCACAGAAGGGATTATGTGCCGTCCATTTTCCAGAGGATAAACACTGGAGTCTGTCTGATCCATGTATCACATAACCTTCTCTGCAGCTAAAAGTACAGGTTGAGTTGTAACTGAAGCGATCAAGTGGGTGAGAGCAGTTCATGAAGTCCAGGTTGGAAATCTCTAACGTGAAACAGTTCACGACTGGAATTGATAGAGGAGAACAACTCACATTTAGACAGTGCCGTTCGGGGGAAGGAAACGTCTCAAAGCACTTTGCAAAATATAATTACAATGAATGATGTATATTTACACAGCACGGAAACAGGCAATTCATCCCAACTATTCCGTGTTGTTGTTTATACTTCTCATGAACCTCTACCCCTCCCTATCCTTCTCCCAATCCACCTTCGATATACAGTAGGGGAGAAGGGAATACAAAGGTATAGGTGGGAGTTGGGAGACTCAAGTGAAGTATAAAACCGGCACGGTCTAATCATGCCGAATGGGCTGTTTCTGTGCTGTAGATTCTATGTAAATCTATGTAAGACGGCGTTGCCTTCTCCCTCATGTGTGTATTAAGTTTCCTCTTAAATGCATTAAATGTAAATTAAATTAAAGTGAGGGTTGTTCTACAGGCAAATGCAACAGCTAAACTGAGCCAGTAACATGCCATGGACAACAATGAGATGAGGAGCTGATTTGAATTTGGGAATAAAAGTTGGGATGAGGAAGACAATGACTATGTTTCTTTCAAATAGCAATAGTAGGCAGTCCCTTGATGTCTATTTGAATCACAAGGCAAACAAAATCTAAATGATTAACACTATCCCAAAACAGGACAATGATCCAGAAATCAATAATAAAGGTGCAAATAATCCAGAACGATATAATGAGGCCAATCTGCGGAGGCAATGTCCCACATTTAACAAGTCAAATTAATTTGTAAATAGAACTAATAATAAAACTTTAATGTAGCATTTTTCACATCAGGAGGGTGTCACAAATCGCTTGACAGCATTTACTTTGAAGTGTGGTGACTGTATTTTATAGGCAAATGCAACACGTATGCTCGTACTGTACTGTACTGCGTGGAAATTAGAGTCCATTAAAGACCTTCTTAGTATATATCACAGCTTAAAGTTGTGACTGTTTCTGTACCTGTGCATTCTGGAGCGGGTGCAGTCCACGCCATAGTAGATGTGCACTGGAGTTTGCTAGTTCCTGTCATTTCGTACCCTTCCACACAGCCAAAGTCACACGTGGAATTGTAGCTGAATTCTCCGTAGGGTTTGGAGCAATTGACAACTCCTCTGTCAGGATTTGCCAGTCTTTCGCATTTCACGACTGAAAAGATTCATTTCAAGATCAAAGTCATGGTTACAAGCCTCTGCTCCACCCCCAACTGCAGCTCCATTTCTGATGCCTCACATTGTCCTCATCTCCCTCCCAAATTCCTAGGCTCTTTTGTGACTGCCTGCCTGATGCCTGATGTCTTGCCTCTCTCCAGCCACTGTTTTGCTGGCTAGGGCAGCAAGGAATAATAATAACAATAATAATAATAACCCTTGCACTTGATATAACAACAACATCAACAGCTTGCATTTATGTAGCAGCCTTTATGCAAGGTAGCATCCCAGAGCGCCACATCACATTGTCGAGACGCCTCAAAGCGATTCACAGGATATACTGTGAATTAGTTTCACTGTGTTTTTAGCGGGCGAAATGTGGTAGCCACTTTGCGCACAACAATGTCCCACAAATAGCCACGGAATGAATGACCGATTTTATTTGGGGGATTTGTTGGCCAGGACAACAGGAGAAACTCGCTTCTCTTCGTTTTCCCCAGCACTGCATTTGAATCAGCTCAAAATCCTGACATGGGGCTTGAATCCACAACTTTCTGACTCAGAGGTGAAGGTGCTACAAACTGAGCCAGTCTGAGCATCAAAATTCTGTTTTAGAGGCAAGGATTTGCATTTGATTGAGATCAGCCTGATTGGGATTAGGGGGTCAGTCTTTGGCCTCATTTACATCAGAGCACAGTTTTCCAAATGTCCTTCTGATCACAACAAGCCATCACTAACACCATCATCATCATCAACAACAACAACAACTTGTATAGCACCCCTCATGCAGGGTAGCATCTGGGAGCATTGAACAATGGCATAGTTTGATGCTGAGCCACGCAGAAAGAGGTGGAGATCGTAGGCACGGTCAAAAAGGACAAGTAGCATTTTGGCGGCAGATTTTTGTATTAGAAAGAAAATCAGTACAGACTCACCATGTTCACAGTAGGATCCGTAAAATCCTTCACTGCAGCTGCATTTAAAATTGTTAATAGTCTCCACACATTCTCCATGACCACTACAGGAGGTAGCATTGCACGAAGCTGACAAAAGATGGCAAAGGGACTTAATATGTTTTATAGCTATTTTTGCAAAACATGTGACTGGTTAATAATATTTTCACACAAAGGTATAATTTGCCACAAGTAAGTGAGCCTTTTTTAAATAAGGAGCCTTGTTAGAATTCACGTTGACCCACAAGACCTCAAAAAATTGATAACGACGGAGCTGAATTCCCACAGGATAGGTTTGACATACTTCCATTTACCAGAAGGAGCCCCATGTGGGACTGAGATTCTTATTAATGGGTTTCCCAGGGATAGGTAAACGATCAATACTTAATTCTCTAATAACCTGGTTGCTACCATTATCGGGCCTTGCGATAATGGGTTGTTGCTCACGGACTGTGGAACTATCAAAGAGCTTCACAAAATTTACTGAAAAGTGAATTGACTGTATATTTTGTAGGCGAAACGTGGCAGTCAATTGCACACAGCAGTGTCCCACAAACAGTCATGCAGTGAGTGACCTTTTTTTTAAGGGATTATTACCCCCATAAAAGTGATCCGCCAATTGACTAACAACCGGGTTCCTATTTACTAATAGGTAAACAGAGGCGTGTGGCATAAGTTAACTTGCTTAAGGTTTTGCCTTGTGTGGGAATCAAACCCAAGTCTCTCGCTTGCTACAGGAAACAATTACACTACAGGAAACAGTTGCTTAATAGACAAATTGCATGCACATTATTTCATCATTAATTAAAAATTAAATTTAAATTTTCCGTAAGCCTTTATATCCCAATTCCTTTGGCACAATAATATCCGGGATTCTATAGTCAATTGAGGTTAGAGTTCATGATTCCATTGGGGGAACTAACACAGTATTTGCACAAATTTACATAATGTACAACATGGATATAGGCCATTCGGACCAACTAATTCATGCTGGTGTTCATACTCCATATGAACCCCTTGCTTCCACCCATAATCTTCTATCCCTTCTCCCTGATATCCGAAGCTGAGTTCCTGCAGCTTGATGGGAATCCAAAGTTTATCTGTTAAAAAAAACCACAACCCAGACCTCAACTTTACAACTGACCTTCGAAACACAATGGCCTTTTCCTTTTCTTACAGGATTCGTCGTTCCATTTCCCAGCAAATTCAGATCGGATGGACTGCATTTCCACACAATGTTCGGTCAATCTTTTGTCATTGGGTTCACCAGGCGCCCAATTCAAGGTGAAATTTTCCACGGGCCGATGAGTGGCAATCCAGGTCCACTTGTCATTGATCTTCTTCAATCCAATCCAGTAGTGTTCGCCTTGTCCTGGCAGAGTATTTTTCAGATACGCGTTCTCCTCTGGGTTCTGGATTGCCACAATGTCAGTGTGGTGGGATTGACAATAGGACCTGGCTTTTGCCCACCTCACTGGTTTATTGGAGTAATGATATGTCCAGCCATGAGTTCCTTGCAGAAGCAGGATTTCTGTAGAGAAAATAGCTTTGGATTTATTATTATTAATACTATTATTAATTAATTATTAATCCACGGCTGATCACCTCTGGGGCCTGGAAGGAACCTGCATGTGGGCCTCTGACATTACTAATAATATTAATATTATTAAGAAGACCGAAAAGCGCTATATCAAATGCAAGGATTATTATTATATTTTGTGGGAGAAACATATCAGCCAATTGCACACAGCACTATCTCACAAACAGTTATGGATTGAGTGACCAAATTATTATTAGTTTAGGGGATTATTACCCCCTGGAAAAGCAATCCGCCTGCAAAAAGTAGCTATTTTAGGAACTTGGAATATACTAAGAAAAATAACATATGTAACGGGGCAGTGTTATTGGTCTGACTAACCATCACTGAAAAATACATAGAAATTACCTCTATAGAGTGATTTAAACTGTAATAACATAGTATAATATAACATAATGATAGTAATAATAATAATCTTTACATTTGTTATTGCTCTTTTCACATTGGGAGGAAGTCCCAAAGCACTTCACAGGACATACTGTGTAAAGTACTGTAAGTGTATATTTTGTGAGCGAATATGCAGGCAATTTGTGCACAGCAACGTCCCACAAACAGCCATGAAGTGAACGACCAATTTTTATTTGAGGGATTGTTGGCCAGGACAGTGGGAGAAACTCTCTTCTCAAATAGTGACATGTCTAGGCAGACGGAGCCTTGGTTTAATGCCTCATTTGAAGAACAGCATCTCCAACAATGCAGCACATCCTCAGTGCTGCCTTGAACGATATAAGATCCACGTGCCACTGTGGAGCTTGAACTCGCAACCTTTGTACTCAGAGGGGAGAGTCATACCAACTGAGCCAGGCTGACAAACCAGTAGAAATAACTTCAGGCCTCTAGAAACAATTGGCAATCAGCCAGTGGAGGTGAAAGTGCTTTTTTTGTTTTGTTTTGTAAGTTGTTTCTCTCTACATATACATCCGGACCATTCACAGCTGATCACCTCTGGGGCCTGGAAGGAAAACTGCATGTGGGCCTCTGACATTACTGCTTTGTAATTTTGCCTGTCCATTAAACCTCTTTTCTGCAATATTTATGTGCTCCCACTCAGCGGTTTCAAAATAGTGGGAAGAGGTGAGAAGGCACTGATCAGAGGGCTTCCATCTCTGACATTCAACTGGAGAAAGTTAGATTTCATCCAGGATTTGATGTATGACAGACAATCTTTCAGGACAGCAGTGATCCTGGAGTTGAGGGTGGTGGCAGAGAGGTAGAAGTGGGTGTCATCCGCATACATGTGGAAGCTAACCCCATGTCTACTGATGATATCACCGAGCGGGAACATGTAAATTTTATAAAGGAGAGGACAGAGCTCTGGGGAACACTGCTCTTGAAGGTATGAGGGCTGGAGGAGGAGCTGCTAATGCATACAAAGTGGAGACGATAGGAAAGATAAGATTGAAACCAGGCAAGGACAGAATCAGAACAGAGAGCTCTGGTCACAGATGGACAGACTGTCATGTGTAACTTTGACTAAGGCTGTCGCTGTATGGTGGGCAGCGCAGAAACCAGATTGGAGGGGTTCATACAGAGAGTGGCAGGAGAGGAAAGTGTCAAGCAACGATTCATTCCAGGTCCTTGGAAAGAAAAGGAAAGTTGGAGATGGAACGGAAGTTAGAAAACACAGATGGGTGAAGACAAAGTCTTTTGAGGTTGGGGGTGATGACAACAACAACAAAATGACATTTGTATATCGCCTTTCACATCGGGAGGACATCCCAAGGTGCTGGATAGTCAGTGTTTCGGACCCAAGCTGGACGTTGGGTTTGTGGAGGGTGGAGAGCAGGGGGGGAAGCTGGGTGATCAAAAGCATGTTTGAAGAGGAGAGTGTTGAGACGGGTCTTGAAGGAGGCAAGGGAGGGAGCGAGGTGGAGGGACTGCGGGATGGAGTTCCAGAGAGTAGGAGCAGTGTGGCAGAAGGCCCATCCGCCCATGATTATTTTTAAGGGGGTAGGAACAATGCCAGACAAAGAGCAGTTGAGGAAACAGAAACTTTCAGCATGGAAGGAGATTTTCTAGCCACTGCGTCTTTACCTATTTTACTAAATCACCACTTTTATTTGATTAATCTCACATTCCAGCTCTTTCCCCGAATCCCTTAATGTTTTTGAGTTGCATTTTGAGTTTCATTCAGGTACCCATCCAGATCCCTTTTGAACGATGCATTTGATGATTGTGGAGTCCTGTAGCTCAGTGGTTAGAGCACTCGCTTTGCAAGTGAGAGACCTGAGTTCAATTCCCGGCAGAGGGCGAAACCTTGGGCAAGTTCCCTTACTCCACACAGAGCCTAATAATAATCCCTCCAAAACAAAACAATAATAAATTGGTCATCTTTAATCTATGACTGTTTGTGGGACATTGCTGTGCGCAATTGGCTGCCGCGTTCGCCCACAAATATAGTCAATTCACTTTACAGTGTGTGTTCTGTGAAGCGCTTTGGGACGTCCTCCCGACGTGAAAAGCGCTATATCAAATGCAAGGATTATTATTATTATTATTATTATTATAACCTCATATACTACTACAGCCTCTATTGTGGTGATGAATTCCCAGCCCCAACAACAAAACAACAACTACCTGCATTTATAGAGGGCTCTACAACTTGCATTTATATAGCACCCTTCATACGGAGCAGAGTCTTGGAGTGCTTAAGGAGGGAAAGCACACTCTGAGTGAACAACTCTCTGAGTGAAGACATTTCTTCTAACCCCACCTAATTTTTTCATTAACAAATCTCAGACAATGCCCTTTGTCACCAATTCTATATTTTGATAGATTATGTCTTGATATTGGATGCAGGTATTAGGCAAGGGTGAGGCTAGCTTCCACCTTATCTTTCTTTCCTAACCTCTCTAATAAGGGTCTTGTCCCTTAATAGATCCTTTGACTTTGACTGGCTAATACTATAATAATGTTGATGATAAGTTATTTTTTGTAAGTGCTCAAATCTAGGCAAAGCAAGAAGATAGCACCAAAACCACAACATCAGAAAATGCAAGGGGACAAAGAAAGTGGAGTCTTACCGTAGCTGAACACAACTAACGCCAGCAGTTGGGGTAACTTTCTCAGTCTCTGCAGATATCCTTTGCTCTGGTAGCTTCTGTGAGATGCCTAAATGTAATAGAGAAGGGAAATCTTCAATCTAAATACAGATTTCCATACCTGGCGTTATTTTATTCGCTTCATCACATCACCGAATTGTCTCAAAGCCACTGGATTTATTGTAAAGTGTAGTCACTGTGTATTTGTTGATGTGTTTTCATCCTCAATCTTTTATCCCCCAAACCTTCACGACATTCACACAAGCAGGGATATGGCTGCCCAAGTTGATTACTTTGACCCAAGTGTCAATTAATAAAATAATAGTCCAAATTATTAACAATTATTATTACTAATATAATTATTAATAATAATCCTTACATTTGGTTATAAAGCCTTTAACATGAGAATGCCATCTTTGAGGATTTACAGGATTTACTACCAAGGGTAATGTTATTGTGGGCGAACACGGCAAGAAATTTGCACACAGCAATGTCCCACAAACAGCCATGAAGTGAATGACCAATATTCTGATAGATATTCACACCGCAGTGTGGGCAGTTCAGAATGTTGCCGAGTCTCTTTGTGTGGGAAGCTGGCCGAATCAATAAGATATAAACGCACCAAAACCTCAGCTGCCAGCGTCAATAGGCTTATCAATTGTATATGAGATAGCCCTGCAGAGACTGCCATTATCCAATGCACAGGTACATTAAATGCAAATATTATTATTACAGCTGTACTCATACATTGCAATTGACCGGTTATCTCAGTGACAATATTAAAAGCTTAATTTTGCCTATCATTCATACGTAAGTAAAACATCATAATAATTGTTGGTCAAGTAATAATAAGAACATAAGAATTGCTGGACGAAAGAAGGCCAAGGTCCATCCAGTTCGCCTTCCACCATTCTGCCAGCACAAACTATATACATGTCATGTCCCAAACTATATACTGTATCCCAAGATATTATTTCCTAAAAGGAATCTATCCAATTTGCTTTTGAAAGAATCAACACTTTCTGCTTCCACCGACTCCCTAGGAAGTCTGTTCCATACATTTCCTACTCGCTCACTGAAAAGTGATTATGCAGATGTCTTTTAAACTTATCCCCCTCTTTTCAAATAGTGTCATGGGATCTTTAATGTCCACCTCAACAGGCAGATGGGAACTCAGTTTAATGTCTCATTCGAACAACAGCACCTCTGACAATGACTACTGCATTGGAGCGTCAGCTTAGACTATGTGAGTTAAAGCACCAGACACAGAAATGAGAGTGCTACCGATGAGCCAAAATAAGATTAATACTAATAATCCTAGCATTTGATATAGTGCCTTTTATGTCCGTCTCACAGAGATTCACAAGCCTTTATACTGTAACCTTTATAACATGCAGTTATGCTATACCATGATGTTGTGAGCACTGCATTTGGGCTGTAATTCCGGTGCATATTCGTCTCCTAGAAAAGAAGGAAATCTAACATTCTTTCCTTTGCTTGCAAAAAGATACAGTAACTTCACTTTACAGTAAATCCTGTAAAGCGTGACGTGAAAGGCTCTATATCAAATCCGAGGATAATTTTTTAAATTTAGTAATAATAATCCTTGCATTTGATACCGTGTCTTATCACGTCTCAAAGCATTTCACAGAATATACTGTAAAAGGAATTGACTGCATATTTTTTGGGTGAAACGTAGCAGCCAATTACGCAAAGCAGTGTCCCACATACAGTCGTGCATTGAGTGACCAAATTATTATTTTTTGGAGGGAATTAGTAAACCTGGAATGTAAAGGTCGGGTCGTCTTTTGTCACTATTTAAAACGTTTAAGTAACTTCCTAACTTCCTGCAAAAGGCAGCAATCACCAGTGTTTTTAAATCTCTCTTAAGTCATCAGAAAAAAGGAATAATTTCACTAAATTATCTCACAAATTCCTATGGACTGCAATGAAGAATGAAAAAACGGGACTCACCATCCTGGATCTGCTCTCAACTTGAGTTTTACTCAACCTCTTGTGATCACTGTCGCAACTGCAATATTAATACTCAGTACACTGCATTTCCTGAATGTAGCAATAACCCATCCCTTTCCCCATTCTTTTTCTGTTCCATTAGCATTTGTTTGCAGTCTCTCCTGTATGTATTATCTACTGGGACCAAACTTCCTGCAGACTATCAATCAACAGTGTAAGCATGAAATATTGAATCATTCAATCTACAGCTGTTTGTGGGAAGTTGCTATGCACGATTGGCTACTGCGTTTCACCCACAAAATACGCAGTTGACACTCCAATGCAGTGCTGGGGTGGGGTGTTGCATTGTTGGAGGTGCTGTTTTTCAGATGAGACATTAAACCGAGGTCACGTCTGCCTATTCGGGTGAACGTTAAAGATCCCATGGTGATATTCAAAAAGAAAAGAAAGGGGAGTTTCTTTCCTGGTGTCCTAGCAAACAATCATCCAAATAAAAAATTGGCCGCTCACTCTAAGGCTGTTTGCGGGACTCTGCTGCGCATACGCATGAGTTCAACGTAGGGCTTGAACCCACAATTCTCTGAATCAGAGGCAAGAGTGCTACCAAATGAGCCAGGTTGACATACAAATGAGGTCCTGATGTGGGGGTGCCTATAACCTTCTTAATGCTAATAACACAGGTGTAAATTGTACAGAAGTTAAGATAATAATATAATAATAATAATCCTTGCATTTGATAGAGCGCTTTTCACGTCTTCTGGACGTCTCAAAGCGCTTCACAGAATATACTGTAAAGTGAATTGACAATATACTTGAGGGCAAAACGCGGCAGCCAATTACACACAGCAGTGTCCCATGAACAGTCATAGATTGAGTGACCTAATTATTATTGTTAAATAATAATAATAATGCTTGGTTCAGGTGTTTATTACACTGTAATTTTCCATGACATCTATCCAAAAGATTTTTACTAACAAGCTGACTTGCACAATTACAAAATTGCAGCAATATAACAAACTGCTAAGGCGTGAGCTTCCTACAAACTTTTCAGAATCGACGTTCAAGGATTCCTATTACTCTCTGGATAATTGACAGGAAGAACCGTGTTTACAATTATACCAACATATCTACAATGACAATAGAATGCTTGACAACTATATTTAGCTCGTCTTATCTATTCCAGTGCAGTTCTGAATTAATATTTTACATTCCATTTCCTGAAAACCTATAATGTGTTGGATAAATACATAGGTTGGATAAATAAATAAATAGGTTGGATGTCCAAGTGTCAACTTGGCTTAGTTGGTCACTCTCACCTCTGGGTTTAAGACCTATGTCAGAATTTGATCTCAAAATCCAGACTTACACACCAGCTCAGTTCTGCGGAAGCGCTGCATTGTCATTTAGATGAGACTTTGACCAAGGCCCCTCATTCATGCCTGTTCAGGTGGATATTAAAGATTTCATGATACTAGTCAAAAAGAGAAGGAAGTTTCTCTTGGTGTCCAGGCCAACAATCTTCCAGATAATTTTGCCCACAAAATATACAGTCAGTTCACTTTACACTATGTTCTGTGAAATGCTTGAACTTCTCGATGACATGATAAGGCCCTATATCAAATGCAAGGATCATTATTATTATTACTTATTATTATTATAAAACTGTGGTTAAAGCAAATAGGATTATTGGGTCTATGTCATGTTTGGATTTCTAGCATTTGGTGTCTGAAGCTCTCAAGTAGTAGATTGTTTCGAAATAGATTTGATATTTCTCAATATTGGGTTGGATATGATGACATTTCTCTTGCTACACAACTACATTTCCTCTGCAAACATGTTCTACAAAAACAAAATAAAATCTTATGTGCAATCTGTACAGGAAAAAACTTTAAGCTTGTGCTGTCCTCCATTGGAAAAGTTCAATACATCAGCCTTGCTTAATTGATAGCACCCTTTATTTTATAAATAATTAATAAGTAATCCTTGCATTTGATATAGCGCCTTATCACATTGTTGGGAAATCTCAAAGAAGTTCACATGATATATTGCAAAGTGGATTGACTATATTTTGTGAGCGAAATGCCAATTGCATTCAGCAATGTCCCATTAACAGTCATGGAGTGAGTGATCAGTTTTATATTAATATAAAAAAATGTGGTCACTCAATCTACGACTTTGTGGGACACTGCTTTGCGTTTCATCCACAAAAAAATAGATACAGCCAATTCACTTTGCAGTATATTCTGTGAAGTGCTTTGAGATGTCTCAAAGACGTGATAAGGCATTATATCAAATGCAAGGGTTATTATTATTTTTAGGGGATTGTTGACCAGGATATCAAGAGTAACTCCCTTCTCTTATCGAATAGTGCCGTGGGATCTTTAATAGCCACCTGAATAAGCAGATGGGACCTCGAAGGACTGCTTTCTGTGGGATGTGGCTGTGTGCAAGTTGCACAACGTTTATCTGCAATTATTTCTTTCCTTTCACTTTCAGATTAACAGTCCTTAGAATTACTCTCCCTTGACAACAACAACTTCCATTTATATATAGAGCCCCTCACACAGGGTAGTGTCCTAATATGCTTGACAGTGGCAGAGCTCAATGCTGAGGAGGAGGGAGATGACCGTAGGAAGATCTTCAGGCACAACCTGAAGATGGGGATGGGGATGGGAATAGGGATAACAAAGTGGAGGGATAGAAGAAGACTGTTCCAGAATTTCGGGGCATAGTAGCTGAAAATGCGGTCACCGTTGGTGGAACGAAGGGCACAAGGGACAAGCAGGATGCTGGAGCCAGTCAAGCGGAGGCAACAGGAAGTGGGTTAGGGAGTAAGCAGGTTGGAGAAGAAAGGACGTGCCAAGGCATGAACGGAATCTGTAGATGAGTGTGAGGATCTTGAAATCAACAATACCAGGAATCCTAATATGGCTCATTCGGCTTCCAGGTATTGTTGGGATGAGAGACAGGAGTTTGCTTTTATAAATAGAGCATTCACTTCTTTTATATGAATTAGAATAATGGAAAGAAAGCAAACATGAATGGATATAAATGACGGAGTGACATTTTTACAGCTGACGTGCATGTTTGATTCACGGGAATTGGCGGAAGTATTAATCATTGAAGAGATAAGCAGGTGTTTACATCCAGAAATGTTTTATTACCAGATAGCTCTCATCAACCTTCACACAATACTTTACAGGATGAGATAAAGAGAGTGCATCCCTCCAGGGAGAACTATTAAGTTCTGTAAATCACTTTGGGATGTCCACCCAGTATGAAATGTGCAATAATGTATCAAATGCAAGGATTATTAAATTCTTAAAAGCCATTGCCAATATTTGCCAAGCCCACAAAACACATAACCACTGCACTTTACAGTATATCCTATGAAGCACTTTGTCCCCCAGAGGTAAAAGGTGCTGCATGAAATGTAAAGATTTTTAATATTATATATTGCTTCATAATACAAATCAACTCGGGTCCTTAATTCTGTGCGCTTTACAAATGTAATTTTGTTGTTGTGTCCTGGCCAACAATCCCCAGATAAAACTAATCATTCACTTTGTGGCTCTGTGTGACATTGCAATGCGCAATTTGGCTGTTGTGTTTGTCTGCAAGTTCAGAGCGACTACGCCTTACAGTATAGCCTGTGAAGCATTTTGAGGTGTCTTATTGATATGATCTGGTGCTTCATCAAAACACCAAGATTACTGATAAACACAGGATGGCATTTATCAAATCAACTTTATCTGTGAACCCCACCTCTCCTCATCTTCTGCTTTTCCCACAAAGCTAGATTATTACTTAGATTGCAACATCTACAGCAGAAAGCAGCTGCTGTCAATCTCCATCCAGCCAGCAATCGCTGCAACACATCTCTGCAAAACTTGGCTACATTCCGTGACACCTCACTCTCTGCACTCTTAGCTTAATAAACACAAAACTCTCCACATTTAACCTGGAACTTTAAGCTTGCATTCTTTTTTATTTGTTTGGGTAAAACTTTTTATTTCATTCTTCTCTTGTGAAAATGCACTGCTGGGTTTCATCACAGAATCTTACAGCACAGACGGAGGCCATTCGGCCCATATGCCTGCGCCAGCTTTTTGAAAGAGCTATCCAACTAGTTCCACTTCCCCGCTCTTACCCCACAACCCTGCTATTTTTACTTTTTCAACTACATGTCCATTTCCCTTTTGAAATCTAATATTGAACATGCTTCTTCGCTGTTTCTGGCAGTGCATTCCGGATCGTAATAACTCACTTGGTGAAAACATGTCTCCTTATCTCCCCTCTGGTTCTTTGCCAATTATCTCCAACCTACTATCACCCTACCTACCTGCCCGTACCCTCGGTCTGCTCCACGTCCCCCGCCCCAATCGCCCTACCATCGGTGGCCGGGCCTTCAGCCTCTCAGCCCCTGGGCTCTGGAACTCTATCCCCCAGTGCCTTCGCCTTGCTTCCTCCCTCTCCTCCTTCAAGGCCGGTCTCAAAACCTTTCTCTTTGACCGAGCCTTCAGCTCCCCTCTCGACTCTTACCCCTCCTCGTTCCCTCCCTTCACCCTGACCATTTCCCCCCTCCTCGCTCCCTCCCTTCCCTCCCCTCACCCTGACCATTTCCCCCCTGCTCGGGTCCTGACCCAACTGTGCAGCGCCTTGGGACGTCCTCCTGACGTGAAAGGCGCTTTATAAATGGAATCTTGTTGTTGTTGTTGTATCGTAAATCTGTGTACTATGGTTACTGACCCACGTGCCAGAGAAAACAGTTTCTCCCAACTTACTCTATCAAAACCCTCATAATTTTGAACACCTCATTCTTCTGATGAGACACTAACCGAGGTCCCGTCTTCCTGTACCTTTAATTGGACATTAAAGATCCCATGGCACTATTCGAAAATAGAAGGAAGTTTCTCACAGTGCCCTAGTCAACAATCGCCCAAATAAAATTGGTACATTTACTTCAAGCTGATTGCAGGACATTTGCTGTGTGCTAATTGGCTGCTGCGTTCGCCTACAAAGTACATAGTCACTACACTTTAGAGCATATTCTTGTGTTGCAGTATAGCAGTGTATCAAATGTAAAGATTATTAATATTAGTATTGTAAAAATTCAATAGAACTTCCTCTAAATTAACAGGTAAATCTTCTCCGCGCCTCTTATTGAGTCTTATTCAATCCGACAAAAAAATAAATTAGTTTTAGCTCCAAATCTGGTAATGTTTTGGACATTGGTGACTAAGCGGACGAGTGCACCTGATCAAATAGTATCTATTTGATTGGCAATTGGGTGTCGCAAAATACATAGTCCATCTACTTTGCAACATATCCTTTGAATCGCTTTGAGATACAAATAAGATAAGAATCATTTCTGTAGAGTCTTGGCATGGGTCTGCTTCCTTCTGAGAACTAATTGCTTGACTATGACATATTCTTTCACTTTCAGTCGAATAGCTTGGTTCCACTCAGAGTCAGAAGTTTTTTGTGGGGTCATGTCCCAGGCCAAACATGTGAACTCACTGTGGTGGACGTAATACTTTTGAGTTTTCCTTCCAGAAAAATAAAAGCTACAGACTTTTTCACAGTCTCAAAGCTCTCGACACTGCTGGCTGGGCACCCGAGCTGGGGTTGGGAGCCAAGGAAGGTGGGTTGGGGAAGGAAAAAGTTATTAATAATAATAATACTTGCATTTGATATAGTATCTTATCACCTCTTTGAGACATCTCAAAGCGCTTCACAGATCGACGGTGTATTTTGTGGAAGAAATGCAGGAGCCAATTGCACATGGTAGTGTATTGAGTTACCAAATTTATTTATTTTTTCTTAATTTTTAAAGGGATTATTTACCCCACAAAAGCGATCCAACAGCTGACTAAAAACTGGGTTCCTACTTACTGCTAGGTAAACAAAGGCGTGTGGAGTAAGAAAACTTGCCTAAGGTTTCATCCCACCCGGGAAGATGACTGAAAGCGCGATCATAAAGTTAGGTCTTGACGAAAAAGGGGAGGGAGGGAACGAATTGGAGGGCCTCTGAGAGTGGAAGTCCAGGGAGCGGGGCAAAATAGCCAGATAAGTTTGATACCCCTGAGGATGACTCTAAAGATGCCACGCGCTATTTGAAAAGAGAAGGGAGTCTCTCTTTCCTGGTGTCGTGGGCAACTATCCTCGGGGCGAAATTGGTTATTCGCTTTGTGGCTGGTTTGTGAGATTTTGCTGTGTGCAAATTGCCTGCCGCATTCGACTATAATTTACACAGTCACCGCAAGTTGCAGGTTTGTGAAGTGCTTTGAGATGTTCCTGACATTATAGGTACTATAATAAACCTTGCATTTGATACAGCACCTTACCATGTCTTAACATGCTTCACAGAATATATTGTAAAGTGAATTCACTGTAAAGTATTTTGTGGGGGAAACAAATTTATTACAACAAATGCAGACTATTATAAACTTTGCACCATCCAGTCTGCCTTAAATGTTCTCCTTTTCTCAATTAGCTTTTGTATGTACTGTGGCCTGTTAATTAAAGCGCCGTGCGTCAAACATTGGATGCTAGGGAGACTCATTTCACAAAAGACCACAGGTCATCTGTCCGACTTATTAAAGCGTCCTTCACCACTAAATTACACTGTGTCCATCAAACAATCCACCTCATTTTTGTGGCCAAGATACTTGGGAATGTTTCCCTCAAATACCAGTCATGCCTGCTGCACAGATATTGCCACACAGTGGTCAAAGGTGATGAGGGAAACACTGAATGGAACATTTTGTGCCATTCTGGCTCAGTGGTAGCATTCTAGCCTCTGAGTCAGAAGGTTGTGGGTTCAAGCTCTATGTCAGGAATTGGAACTCATATAGTCTAAGATGACACTCCGATATAGCGCTGGGGGGGGTGGGGTGCTGCATTGTCGAAGATGTCATCCTTCAGATGTCCCGTCTGCTTGTTCAGGTGGATGTTAACAATCCATGGCACAATTCAAAAAGAGAAGGAAGATTCTCTCTGTGTCCTGGCCAACAATCCCCCAAATAAAATGGCTGTTTGCTATGCACAAATTGGCTTCTACATTTGTTCATGAAACACACAGTGACCACACTTTATAGTATAACTTGCTAGTTAACAAGTAATTATAATCCCTCCAAAACAAAACAATAATAAATTGATCATTTTCAATCCACGACTGTTTGTGGGACACTGCTGTGCGCAATTGGCTGCCGCGTTTCACCCACAAATATACGGTCAATTCACTTTAGTCTATTCTGTGAAGCGCTTTGAGACGTCTAGAAGTCATGAAAAGCGCTATATCAACTGCAAGGATTATTATTATTACTATTATTATATCCCGTGAAGCTCTTTTGGGAGTAAAGATTATTAGTTTCCCATTCCAGCATCTTGAGCCAGTGACTTTAATTAACAACAACAGGAAGGGAGGCTGTTTTCTTTCAAACCAAAGGAAAACACTCATCTTAATCAATAGTGGCTCTTGGCATCTTACCAGATCTGGAAGGATGAGTAGAGGTATGCAGCAGAGCCCGAAAGATAAATAACAAGGGTTGGTTTTCATTTGGTCGGTGGGCAAGCTCTCAGCTGTTGGAATCTGTCGTGCTGTAGAAATGATGGAGAGAAACTCCAGGAGCTTGTCTCACCCCTTAAGGGTTTCACAAAGGAAAAGCAAAAGTTCGTTGGTCAAGGAAGGCAATGCACGGAACAGGGGGTTGAGACCCAGGAGAGGACGGAGTCTCAGGGCAAAGGAGGGGAAGACTGTGCGGGAGGAAAGAAAGGTGATGCAGAAGCCTCAGGGTAACGCAGACAGCCAGGCTAAGAACTTGCTCGGAGCCGCTGAGCCCGTGACAAGGTCCACTGTGGTGGACGTGGATCATGTGCTCAGCTCGGACGACGAACAAGCAGCTCTTATGGAAATCGAGACACATGAGGAAGGTAAGAACAAGCGTGTGGGTGTGGGGAATTACATACATTTTTACTTTATAATAATAATATAATAATCCTTGCATTTGATATAGCGCCTTATTGTGTCTTCAAGACGTTTCAAATCGCTTCACTATCGCACTATAACAGTCCAATAGTCCGATGCGCTATATAATAATTATAATAATCCTTGCATTTGATGCAGCATGTTATCAGACATCTCCAATTACTTCACAGAATATACTGTAAAGTAAATTAACTGTAGATTTTATTGGTGAACCACGGCAGCCAATTGTGAACAGCAGTGTCCCACAAACAGTCATGGATTGAGTGATCGCTTCACAGAATATACTATAAAGTGAATTGACTGTGTATTTTTTGAAAGGATTATTACCCCCAGAAATCAATTCGCCAATTGACTAGCAATTGGGTTGCTACTTACAATAGGTAAACATAAGCGTGTGGAGTAAGGAAACTTGCCTAAGGTTTCACACCACCTGGGAATCAAACCTGTGCCTTCTCATTGCGTGGCGAGTACTCTAACCAATATGCTATTTAATCAGGTTTCAAGCAAAGAAGCCCAGGCATCTGTGAGTGGCTCCTGATGCTCCTCTGTGTGCTGCTGCTCCTTGTCTCATTCCCGGTCTCTATCTGGTTCTGCATTAAGGTAAGCATCTTGTTTGCAAAGGGATGGGGGCATCATGTCTAGGAACGCTGGTAGAGTGGAGGGGCCAAGAGTAGTGCAACAGGCCCAAGTTTGTGGAATAGTGGAGGGTGGTGGGGTGAGGAGGGGGTGATATTACTAGACAGGAGCTAGAATGGGGCTGGAGGAGGTTGCAGAATTTTTTTTTGATGAGCGAGGTTGCTCCCCACCCCTCCAGAAAGCTGAATTAAACCAAATCAAGTTCCTCAAACTGAAACTTGGGTTGGGTTGCCCACCCCACTGCAGGCAACACATCTCCCCACCCAAATCCGAGACCCAAATTGTCAAAGAACGACGCAGACCTGATTCTTTGCATCACGACCACTCGAGCAATTTGATTGTCTGCATGATCCTGCTTATTGAGAGCACTGTCTGGCAAGCTTTCCCACTGCTTGTCCAGCTAGGATTATCCTATCCGCCAGGGCTAGGGCTTCCAAGGTTAACAGGAGCTGAGACAGAAGACTCCCTGCTCCCAGTGACTGGTCTGCTCTTCCAGGTCCTGGGAATCGACAAACACATCTGGCAACAGTATCCACCAGAGTAACAATTGTTCTCTCTCTGTTGTGGTGTAGATAGTCCAGGAATATGAGCGTGCTGTGATATTCAGACTGGGTCGCCTGCTGCCAGGGAGAGCCAGAGGACCAGGTACATCACTGTGCATTCAGATCACTGTAGATAATTATAATAATCATAATAATAATCCTTGCATTTGATATGGCGCCTTTCATGTCGTAGCTCTTCACAGGATATCCTGTAAAGTGGATTGACTGTGTATTTTGTGAGCAAAATGTGGCAATCAGTTGCACACAGCAGAGTTCCACAAACAGCCATGGAGCGCGCGAGCAATTTTATTAGTTTTGTTGTCTAGGACCATGGCAGAAACTCCCCTCCCTTTTCAAATAGTGCCATGGGATCTTTAACATCCACCTGAACAGGCAGATGCAACCTTAGTTTAACATCTCATCCGAAGGATAGCAACACCAACAATGCAACACCCCCTCTAGCATTGCAAGCCGAGCTCGCAATCCAAAACGCTACAGAACTATTAATTCAATTTAATTTACGCTATGGGACTCCATTACGCTACAGGACTCCTTATGTTTCACTTTAGATCTGGTTCTACTTTCTGAATTATAAGAACCTCATATGGACACATTCAAGTAATAATACTGCTGATAACCTTTGCAACTGATGTAACTTTGAGAAATGCTTCACAGCTAAAATATATGCAAGTATAAGGACTGTATTTACAGGAAGGCATTCCAGTCAATATCCCATAATCAGCATGAATTGAATAACCAATTTATCTGGTGGATTGTTGGCCAGGACCAACATACTATGATAAAGTTCTCCCCTTTTTCCAGACTTTCATCCCTTGACTCTTGGGATCAGTTGTCTTATTTTTCTCTGCACTTCTTCTGACACTATATTTTTTATGTATTACCTTTGAGGAATTTGGAAGTGTGGACTGAAGAGAGGACACATAAGAACAGTGAATTCTTTTTTGAAAAAAACGCTTGAAAGCTTTTTTGAATTTAATTCTCATTCCAGGTCTTTTCTTCCTCTTGCCATGTCTGGACACTTACCGCAAGGTGGACCTTCGTGTCAAGACCTTTGAAATCCCATTTCATGAAGTAAGTGACAGCTTAGAGGCAGGAGGAAGGTTTATTTGGCCCTTTGAACCTGTTCTACTATCTTATCAAGTCCTGGAAGATTTTTTAATCATTGGCATTGTCTAATGGGCTAGTTAACTGGTGGTACTTTCTGCAGCTGAGTTGCCATGAGTGGTTTATTTCCGATTACATTCGATGGAATGATGCAGGATGGAAACAATACAATCTGCCCTTATACAGTGCCTTTCATATTGGGAGATGTCCCAAAGAGCTTGACAATTGTGGTTGGGTGGGGGAGGGGTAGTGTTGGCTGACAGAAGGAGACAGACCATTTGGCCCAACTCGCCCATGCTGGGATTCTTAACGAGAGAAATCCCTTTAAGAAACATTGCAAAACTGAACCCTTCTGCAGGACAATGAATGGAAGTGGTTTCTGGGCTGTTGGTGTTTAAATTCTTGGTCACTAATGTGAAATTGTCCCGGTAACTCAGTGCTGATCTTTATTTTACAGGTGGTCTCCAAAGACATGGTGACCGCAGAGGTGAATGCTATCTGCTATTATCGGACGGAGAATGCCTCACTCTCGCTCACGAGCGTGGTCAACCCCTCTAGTGCTGTCTCACTGCTGACACAAACCAACATTAAACGAATCTTGGCACATTGGAAATTCAGTGAAATTCTCCTTCAAAGGAGACATATTGGTGATGAGATTAAGGTGGGAACCATAAAAATGTTTGAACTCCAGATGTAGGAGTTACATGGTTTGCATTGTACCATTCCACGAGCACTTCCAAAGATCCTCCTTCAAATGAAAGAGCAGATAGCTGAGAAGACAGATAGCTGTTAAATGATCAATTGAGGCACTTTAACAGATCCAAATTTTATTAGGGTCAAAATTGGTGATAGTTATCATATCGGCCAAAAACTCAACTCAAAAGAAGTCAATATCCTTTATTTGTACATGACCTAAAATCCTTTGGGCATGTTGCAATTTCTGCCTCCTCCTGATATGCCTAATCCCATGTTTTTTCTGTAGGTGGCATTGGATGCAACAACCTGTCACTGGGGAATTAAGGTGGAACAGGCTGAAATGTAAGTAACATCCAGTGCAATTAAGAAGGGGTTTTACTACTTGGAACCCTTAAAGAGGCAGGGGGAAATCTTACCACAGAAACATTTCACAAATACTTCAATGTGTCAATTGAACTGATATTTGTAACTAAAGGTAGCCCAGTAGTAGTCCTGCAATAACTTTTAATTCATTTACTAAATGTACACATTTTTGTTCATAGTGATGCTGCTTTTGACGTTAAAAACATCTTGTTTATCAATCCCTTACTGATAACAGTGATAATTGCCATCCAATTCTTGATCTTGGGCATCAAGAGGGCTTTGAATCAAGAAGAAGAATGCTGCATTTGATATTGCACCTTGAATCGTAGAAAAATCGCAAAACACATCAAACGATTTTACTGCAGTATAGTGACTGTGCATTTGTAAGCAAACACAGCAGGCAATATTGCCTCTGAGGCTAAGAAAGGTGTAGAAGCCTGGATTTAAGATTATTTGAATGGTTGATAAAGTCAGGCTTCTGATGAATATGTATCTCTGGTTACAGCAAGGATATCCGTCTACCAGCGGAACTCCAGCACTCACTAGCAGTGGAAGCAGAGGCAAATAGACAAGCCAAAGTCAAGGTATGGGAGCCAAACCATCTGCAAAAGCTCCACAGCCAAGCCAATAGCATGAAGGCAACTCATCAGATTGTCCTTTTCAATCTATGAACAGAGATAGATACAGTAGAACATTTTTAAACCAGAAATTGAAGCTTGGGTGCATTTTACCAAATTGCCACCTAATTCTAAAGGCTGCAATGGAAGTTACCTACATACTGGCTGGTTCCTAGTCATTGTTTCTCAGTCAGCTTCTTGTCCTGGATATAGTACAGACTCCTTTTGATTAGACAAATAGAACACGTAACATCCACCAGAACAACAGATACCTTGGTTCTGATTGTCAGCCTAGATACAAAAGTGTAAGAGTTAAGGACTTTTACATTGGAAATAAAATTCATTTGTGCGAATCTAACTTTGCCATCTTTTCCAATAAATCTCAGGTGATCGCAGCAGAAGGAGAGAAGCAGGCCTCAGAAGCACTGAAGACCGCGGCAGACATTCTGTCTGTATCTCCAGCTGCTGTTCAGCTCCGTTACCTTCACACACTTCACAACCTCTCCACTGAAAAATCACCCACCGTCATCTTGCCACTGCCCTTTGATCTCTTTAACATCTTGTCCTCCTCTCCCCATAAACCTTTAGCGGCCAGTGGTGCAGCAGCAGATGTACAGAGACCTGCAGAGCCTCAGAACAAAGAAACAAAAACCGACTCTCAAATGTTGTAGCATCTGGACCAAAGCAGTACCCGATAAGACAAAAGCTATGATAATAATATTCCTTAATTTTGTATCGACCCTTATCACGTCAAGAAGGACATCTCAAAGCGCTTCACAGCAATTACTGTGTAGTGGAGTGATTGCGGATTTGTAGGGAAATGCAGCAGCACAATTGCGCACAGCAATGTACCAGAAACAGCCATGGAGTGAATGACCAATTTTATTTGGGGGATTGTTGGCCAGGACACCAGTATAAATCCTTTTCTTTTTGAATCGTGCTACGTCTACCTGAACAGTTTAGTCTCATTCAAAGGTTGGCACCTCCATCAATGCAGCACACTCTCAGCACAACATTGGATTGTCAATTTAAGACTATGCGAGTTCAGCTCCTGACGTGGGATTTGAAACCATAACCTTCTGACTCAGAGACCACACCTTTCCTTGCAGTAAGAGCCTATGATACAATTTTGCAACAGGCTTTCCGTAGGTTAAGACACACATCTGGTTACTGGCAGTCTTTACTATTTGCAACTCCAAGTCTTTACTATTTGTAACTACATTGTGAGTAGTGCATTTTCAACCCCAATGAAAACCTCCAAAGAAACTTAAATCCTTAAATGCACAGGTGGCAGGAAAAAAATTACTTACTTTGAAAGGTTTTTTTAAAAATTATTTTGGAGTGATGAGTGCCAACTAGCTTCAATGCTTCCTCCCTGATCATGCCAAGCTGTTAGCACAGATACCCACTTCTGACACGCATCTTCATTTGAAACATTGAACTCAGGAAGTCTGGTGTTATGTTGCAAAGGCTTTCAAACAATGCAAACAAGTCAAAGACTCTTTATTGCTAAAGACACAGTATGAAGTCAAGTGACAGCTATGGTTTTTTCAAAGTCTTGAGTACTTGTTTAGCAGGTTTGGTAGTCTTAGATTTTGAACGACTCATCTTTACGCTTGACTTTAATTGCTTAGAGCTCTCCGCTGTGGGCACCTCAACACCTAGAAGAAAAGGGAAATAAACTTGATGTCAAACATATTGTCAGAATATTGGTCGAAAGGCAAGATTTCCAACTGCCCATGCATCAAGTGTGACAAAACATTGGATAAACCTGTTTCCTGTGAAGCTTAAAATGCATGCTTGGAAACCCAAGCTTTTGAAGGCCACATTAACAAGGTAAACAAATAAAATGTAGAGAGTAGCCATGTTGTAATAAAGGTTTGTTGTGCACTGAAAGTACAAATACTGAATTCTTTCTTATAATGTATTGAAATAATGATTTGTTGCTTCGCATGAAAGTGGATATGAAAAAGGTCTCTGCAATCGTTGAATTATTATAACTTTTATTGTTTGGTAGAGGGTATATATTTAGGTTACCTTACTTCTGCAGAAAAGAAAACTGGGATATCGATGATGTGTTATCAGGATCAAATGGGTCATTGGAAGTTCATTGATTTTAGAAGTTAACGATTGCAATGTAGAATTCAAGTTGTCAGGACGGGATATATAGCTTAGATTCATTAGGAGTTCTTTTACCCTAATTTGTTGACAACAACAATACAACTTACTTTCATTGAGAGCACTTCACATGGGGTAGTGCCTCAAATCAAACATAGATCAAACATCAAAATGCATCAAAGGCTCAATTCCACTTTGTCTTTAGCCTCTAACTACATTCATCCTAAAGTCGAAGATTACACAAAATTGTGTAATTTTTAAAAAATATTTCAGTTGGGAGAACCAGTTTTCTGCTATTCTGAGCAATCTTACATTTTAATATAAAAATGTAACTGACCAAGTGGAATTTCAACCTCTGCAGTAGCCCACCATCCTTCCAAATGAGACCCTTTTTAATTTTGTGCTAAGTTAGTGAATATTGATGAGGTCTTCATTCCTATTGTTAACATGTTTGTAACCTGTAGTGACACATCTCACATCACCCTCAAAGGACATCGTTTAGCAATACGTCTCCTTCCCCTGAGCATTTGGACATTTCCTCTTCATCTAGACTCCATTACCTGCATCTGTTGGTTTCAACTTCTTCCTTCGCTTATTCAGTCTAGGTTTTGTGTTCTGTTCGTGTGTCTCTAAGATCCCCACCCAAAGACGATTCAACCTCCTTCGCTATAGCTTTTTACTTGTAACTATATCCCATTGTCTGTGTCCCTTGGTTTCAATTTCTTCCTTTGCTTATTCAGCCTAGGTTTCACTGTTCCTGCTTGTAATTTTTCTAACTTCTCAAGTTCCTTATCTCCTGATAGATTTTCCTGATAGAACCTGCCTTCCCTCTCTTGTCCATCATCCAGAACTTGCAATAATTTGCTCTAATTAACTGGCAACAACACAGGCACACTTCATGGTTCCCTTGTGGCTTTGCATTCATCTCAGTGCTGCCACCAGTATGACATCTGCTGCACACATTACTATTTCTTAAACGCTTCGTATTCTAGCAACAATTCCTCCAAGCGGAAATCTTTTCCTCAAGGAGTGGGATTGTTTCTGTTTGGAAAAGCAACCTCTGTTCTTTCTGAAATTTCCCATGCAAAATATTTCACATTCAGGATTTCTCCGGAGTCTCATTTCAAACATCCGAATTCCCTTCAAATGGTGGACGTCACCACACAAACTAGGAGTTCACAGAACTGAAGAAAACTACCACATTTATTTTAGTAGACAAGAAACATAGTAAAATGCAAAATCAACTTTAGCAGGTGCAATATTTTGTAGATTAGGTTTGTTATTGGTCTGAACAACTGAATGCTTATATTGAAATTATTCTGGTAATGTGAATTTGTTATTGTTGAAGCATTCAAATTGCATTGGGAGCTCATACAATTTGCTATAAAATAAAGGATAGTAAACTGGTTAAAAGGTTGTCTTCCCAGAGGTCCTACCTATCAGGGGTGCACGATATACAAGTGCAGCATATCAGGATTAATTGTGAACAAGCAATCTTGCAAAGGAGATTTTTGTATGAAAATGATATTATGTTGAATGCTTGGTGGCAAAGTTGTTGTATTTATTTACCCTGTCATTTATCTTTATCTGCTTTGTCAGCACAATGATGTTGCCATTACATTACACAAAACTACTATGATAATTCGAGGTGGCGGCTTCTTGACCATTATAATAATAATAATAAATAATAATCCTTGCATTTGATATAGCGCTTTTCACGTCGGGAGGACGTCCCAAAGCGCTTCACAGAACACACTGTAAAGTGAATTGACTGTATATTTGTGGGCGAACGATTTGTGGGCGATTATGATCTATGTGCTCTACTCCCAGGTGGACAGGGAATTATTTTATCAGGTTTTATATGATTTTTAATCCCAGAGAACAAATCTAAAATCAATATTCATAAAACAGCATTGTCTGAGAGGTCACTAGGAAATTTCGATCATAGTTTTGATGCAAGAATGGAAATAGCATGAAGCAAAAAGAGATTTTGACTGTTTAAGATTTGGAGCAAATTGATCTCACCCCAAGTCGCTACTTGAGTCACAATTTCAAGTGGAAGAAAGGAGATTCCTCAAGAAAGACACCAACAGTGTACTAAAGGATGCATGGACTGAAGACTATATGTTTTAGAAGGGTAAAATGACTTTCCACTTGAGTCAATGGTGATCAAAGATAGCAATCCTCCGCTCTTCAGTTACTGTACCAAAATTCTCAACAAGAGGTAAAGCATATTTCTGGTTAGTTAACTGGAAATGTTATATAACTATTTGTATTGGTTATCTCTTCTTTAGCTTGCAGTGATTGAGTTACAACTGTGAATCCATAAGTGTGAACATCAGAGTGCGTCTACAGCACCAATCCGCTCTCCAATGACGTCTACCTCGACGCCCACTAAAGGCACAAAAGTGAAAGCAAGTGAATTAATCACTTAGAGACATGGGTAAATTTTAAAGTTGATAAATGCACGGCAATCAATACTGGAACAAGACAGATTAAGCAGATAGAGCAGGGTTCAGAATAGGGAAGAATGAACAGGCTTGATCAAAGAAATAACGTTTTCTCATTCCATGCTTTCTTACATTCCTGCTGAAAATTGATGACAGTGGCAAAATTAACACTAGGGAGAAGGCATTTGAACATCACTAATAGGGATGTTTATGGGGAATGTAGATTTGCTCGGAAGGTATTAGGGATGAAAGGATATAATTAAGATGAAAAGCTTTAAAAAGCTGGGTCTATATTCACTGGATTAGAAAGGGAAAGAGGTGAAACAATTTAAATATTCACAATTTTAAAATGGTTTGAGAGGGTAAATGTACCAGTTTATTTTTTTTACTAATTGGCGATCAGCAACAAAAGGAACACAAACTCAAGATTATGACCAGAACCACGAAGACGATATAGCCAAAGCAGTACTAATTACTAACGTGAGACTCATTATTGAAGCTGAGTGATTGAAGATATTAAAAAAGTTTGTGGAAAGGGAGGGGAATGTGATTAGAGCAGATATGTGAGGTCGCTGGCATTGTACAGCATGGTATAGCACAGTCGACCAAACGATAGTTAAGAAAGCAACTGCAATGTCTGTGATTGTAAATGCACTCACTCAGCTCAGAAGTCGGCGATGGCGTTTCAGCTTTGCTTTCTATCTCTACTGTCATATCCTTTATTTGTTCCAAAGCGGATCGCAGCTGCTCATCCAGACCAAGCATGCCCTGCTCTGCAAGCTGTGCGCGCTTCTCCGCTTCCCTGCCAAAGAATGCCAAACTAAATTGCTCATGAGATAAAACTTGATGACATAGATTGTTACTAAAGAGGCTTTCTGTTCATTGAGAAAGCTGACCAAGCACTCAGGATCTTTATAGTAAGCATAAAGGATCGTTCCAAATCTTGAATATACATCTGTAAGTTCATGTGGCTACGAGACTAGGAGGGAGGGAAATAATTGCTGTACTCACAGAAGTTGTCCCTGCAGGATTTCCACAACAGCCAGTGACTGGAATATGTGTTTTGATTTGGAATTTTCAGGTCTGACAACCATGGTTCCACCCTGTTGCCAAACAACTGTATTAGGTGAATAATTGATACAGGAAGTATCCAGAAGTCTGCAGCTCATGTTCTGCACTAGGCTCAGCGAGCCTATCACGTCATCTTCAGCCATCTCCACTGGATCAAGTTCAAAAATCCTTGTCTTAACCTTTAAATCACTCTAATGTCTTGCGCCATCCTACCTCTGTCACCATCTCAAACCCTACCAACCCACTCCTTTGGTCCTACCCCTAGCTTGGGTGAAAGCCCTGGACTGTTCAGCACCTTGGGAAGTCCTCCTATTGTGAAAGGCGTGATATAAATGTAAATTTGTATTGTAAGTGCAATGTTCTCCACTGGAGCGTAGAATCTCATATCTGCAATGCTTTCTTGTTCTGAATAACTTCTCCAATTTGGTGAACAGTGTGACTTGTGTTATATTAACATATGCTGAATATATTGGAATACCAGTTTTCCCCAATCATTTGGTTAGTGGAGCTGGGATATAATAAATAATAATATTTCATATTATTATAATAATATTAAATTAATTAATAATAATATTAGGATCTCACCAACTGGCAATCCAATAGCCTGATCTGCAAGTTCAATGTCTGTCAGGCATCTGAGTGCAAATATGATAGCGAGTTGGGGAAGCTCAATTGCTCCCTCTGACTCACCAATTCTGAAAGCAATGACTGATATTGAGATAATGGATCCAATGAAGGTAATAATCATGTCTTCTAGACGTCTCAAAGCACTTCACAGAATATACTGTAAAGTGGATTGTCTGTATATTTGCGAGCAAAACGCTGTAGCCAATTGCACATAGCAGTGTCCCACACACAGTCGTGGACTGAGTGACCAAATTATTTTTTTAAAGGGATTATTGTCCCCAGAAAAGCGATCTGCCAATCGACTAACAACCAGGTTCCTACTTACTGCTAGGTAAACAGAGGCATGTGGAGTAAGGAAACTTGCTCAACATTACACCCTGACAGGAATCAAACCCAGGTCTCTCACTTGCGAGGTGTGTGCTCTAACCACTGAGCTACAGGACTCCACTTAAGGTAACACATTAAGCTGCTGCTCTTTGTACATGTTGGAGAGTTTTGATGAGCTGGTTGACTCTGGGTGTATCACAGCTGAGCCCGTTTAAGGAGCAATGGTCCCGAAGTGGGATTTCTAGTCAACTGACCCTCCCTCTCTCACAATGCTAAAGCTAACTGCCCCATGTCAGATCAGATCTCCAAGGTTCTTAGTTTGTAAAGCTTTCTTCTATATTACACATTTACCCATTGAGGTTTTGATCACCATGCCTGTAATGCCTTGTATTTGCCGTCTGTGACATGAATAATGATGGTCAGTCATATTCTTACCTGTACAACAGGCACCAGAACATCAGTCAGATCCTTTGCATGGATGTTATCATCAAGACCTATGTACCTCACAGTGTCCACGGAGGGCTGAAAAGATCCCGAAGCTGCTTCAGTAGAGTGGCCAGCATCCTATATAGAAGCAATACTTCAGCAATTCCCTTGACAATGTTCAGACCATAATACAATCCCATAATGTCCACCACTATTTCATCTCTGGTCTTCAGTAGACCTGGTGTGTAATGGCGTGTCCAGCTAAGCAATACTGCTTTAGACTCTGTCTCCTCTGCTACCCCATGAGAGTGGATTATTGTGCAACTGTTCTTTGCCTATTTTATGCCAAACTCTTCATTCAGGGCTTTGGCTAGCAGGATTTAGAACATGTCTGCACTTCTATGTTGCTTTGGGTTACCAAAGGTTTGCAATGACATTACTAGTCATGCCTCATTCAAACGGAGCTCTCATTTTATTAACCTTAAAAGAGTGAAAGGCTGAGAGTTAACAGTATTGCCCATGAATCCAACTCAGATCATCTGATCTACTGTAGCCCTGTGATGTACCATGTGCCAGACTAGTGGTGGAAGCTCTATCCTACAGATTTATAATAATTTAAATAACAAATAACACAGTTGTTTCCCCCAATTGACTCTGAAGAAATTCATTATAAAGACGCAGTTGAAATTTTGTGTAGGAGATGTGGGATTAAAAAGCAATGTGTGGTGCAGCCCAGCTACTGAAACCACTTTGAGCACTTTCCTTCATCGTGATATAATAATAATAATCCTTGCATTTGATATAGTGCTTTTCACGTCTTCTAGACGTCTCAAAGCGCTTCACAGAATGTTGTAAAGTGAATTGATTTTATTATTTATTATTATTTTTATGAATTGATATCAACTCATCCTCCCTGCAGTGCAAATACACAGAATCCAAATTGATTCAATATCTTTGAAACATGACCCTTCAAAAGTCTTTTTTCAATCTTATTAACACTCTTTAAAACATATAAGATTACTTAGCAGAGCTGGGAGTGGGTGCAGAGAGCTCTCCTCAGCCTTAGTAAGTTTTTTTTGAGCAGAATGTAAAATACCCACCATGCATCGCCGAATCTCTTCACTGCTGAAAACAAGCTTGTATTCCAGCCGTATAAACTTGGAATAAAAGATACACTCTAAGAAATGGATTTCTAGCTCTACCGTACCTCTACAATCTCAGAAATCTGAGTCTGAAGAACATCAGCAGTCTCAACTAACATCTCAGTTAGCTGATTGGATTCCTTCTCCGATAACTCTGATAAAAATTGCTCAAGGTTTGGATCCTGCAATGATGAGGAGAAATCATGGTGACTGAAACAAATCTGCAACAGTAAATTCATGATACAATTGACCACGAATTGATCACCAAGTCCCACTAGTCTCAGCCCTTGGAAAAACAAGTCTTGGAAAAACAATAATCTAGGAAGCCTTACTGTTTGGACAGAGCAGCAAAATATACTTTGCCAAGATTCTCTGACATCAGACACTACATCTGTCATTTGGTTTCAAAATTTGAAGTAGTTGGACCACAACTTATTTTGGCTTCGCATTTAATTTAATTACAATGGACTATTACGACTGTTGTGGTTGAAGGTTTTTTAAATTATTTATCTTAACATTAAGCCTTTTCCTAATCTCCCGCCAAGTTTTTCTGCTGAATAAAATAACACACAATCTTATTTCCTTACAGGATGACTTCTTGGCATGTCAAATAGGATGGGGGCGGATTAAAGAGTAAAAGAGAGAAGTGCGCATCATACCTTAAATGGTATGCTTGACAGTTTGACAGAAATAATAAGGGCCCCCTTATTCACGTATTCACTGATAAGACAGTGAACATTGTCTTCAGTGTCATTTCCAGGCAATTTCAATTCAACACATCCAAAAGGTTAAGAGGTTAATCCTCTTTTGTATTATATAATAATTACTAGCTGTACCAGTTGCAGCTGCGCTTGCAACCAAAGGATCCAATATGGAATGTAGATTTCAGTGATACCACTCACAAACCATTTAACATGTCATAAACACTGTGTGTACATTTTAAGCAAAACTGCCAAACTTGTGCGTTGAGCTTATTTGGGTCATAGCTCATGAACGATAGAAGATCCTATCAAAGGGTCATAGCTCATAAACGATAGAAACTCCTATCAAAGCTACGCTAACCAAAGGGGTTTACTGTGTGATCTGGCAGGTCCTCGAGTTATTACAAGGCTTTTGTGTAGACAACATTTGAAGTTTTTACTCCTTTGGCCACTATGTACACATTTTGGGATGAACCCACACGTGAGCATCCAACATAAAATTGTCAATGGGAAAAGCAGGGTGTAATCAAGAACAGGCCAGCAACCTTTAAGCTCTGCCCCTGTGCCTTGTTAATTGACATGGCAAAGCACATTCGAACAAGGAGTTGGAGCCTTTTGAACTCAAACAGGCAGTCACTTGGGAGCAGTGGGATGTGAGGAATGAATACATCTTCCCCTTTGAACTGACCGATCAGAATAGTTGCTTCTCTAACATGTGGCATCAACCGCTTTACCACCAACCTTGTGCCATTGCATAGCTTCACTGTATTTAGATTCCTCAGCAGCATGAGTATCCAACCTTCAGTATGAGTTTGTGTGGCGGGATATCCGATGGTGCCAAAGAGTTTAAAAACTCAGTTAGGTAGTTGATAGCATTTTCAATGTCAGGAACAATATCTACAGACTTGTACAGTTTCTTGGCCAGGGATGTCATTGAGTAGCTGGGAACTGATCTCACTGGCAGACTCATTTTTTGGAGTAAGGATTGCTCGTTCACACAACCACTTATGATTTGTGTAGTTATGACTGAGGTTCAGGAAAACTTTGGTTTTGAGCTCTGCTATATCTTGTACAATGTTGTTCTTTGAGTGGGCAATTCAGTTTTCTGTGTTCTTGCATGCCTTTCTGCGTCAAAGTCCAGTCATGCTGTTGTTTGAGCGGGCAATTAATTTTGCTGTGTTGTTGCAGTCGTTTCAGCATTCAAGTCCAGCCATGGTATTCTTTGTTCTTGTTTCATTTAATCGGCCTTCTCTTTTTTGGCTGGCATTTTTATTTGTCCTTGAAAGGCTTGATCTTCACTTAGGTATGTTTATCCCTTAAGATTAAGAACATCTGCTATTGGGAGGATTCCTGGTTGGGAGGACTCTAACTTCCATGACAACCCAAAAAAACTGCTGTACATTTGTTGTAGAATATATTAGTATATGTATCTCTCTAAAAGGGTGTGTACTTTCCTCTGTCACTATTGTTGCAGAATACTATGCATACCTTTTTGGGGGCTTAATTAAAGCACTTTTTAATATTTTTTTAATATAGCTCATCAAAGATAGGAGATCTGAAAAATAATATGCACATGACACTCCCCCATGCAATACTTTTCCGATGAGGTATAAATCATGTCTCTACATCAATCGCTTATTGCGTTATTGGCAGACACAGACACTTTGTCTTTATTAGTATATACTATAGTAATATGACTGAATTCTGATTGGGTGATGTGACTTGCAGCTGGCTGGGATTTTATACCATTGTTGATGGAGAATTCTGCGTCTCCCCAAGAAGGGGGATGGTGGAATTAAATGTGCTGACCGACAAATAACTACATATAACTACACCCTTTCATTATCTGAAGTTAGCCTGGATTCATAACGCCAACCCTAAATTCAGGGTAGTTGGGACGAGTGAACTGTTTCCGTGTCCTGCCACTATGTAACAATACAAAATTACATTTGTAAAGCGTCTTTCATGTTGGGAGAACATCCCAAGGAGCTGAACAGTTATGGATTAGGATCCAAGCGGGGTGGAGGGGGAGTAACCGTTTCAGTTGCCAATTTTAGTGTTGTTCAGAAATAACATGTATTGTCGCAAGTTATTTTGTTGACATTTTTTGTCATTATACTGGATGCAACACCCTAGAGCTTTCACTGAAAACAAACATGCAGTTTGCTAACTACAGCAATGTTTTCACTGTGCAGCTGAAACTTGGCTGAAACTTGTCAACATGGCATGCTAACCTCAAAACTCCTTCTCAAGAAAATGTCCGTTGCATTACATTACCTCCATACTAGCAACCACAGAGGAACGTATCCCTGGTTTCAACAGCTCCAAGATTCGTGGGTCGTGTGAGCTAAGGTTGGTAATGCTTGTCCCCTGTGATATGAAGGGAGGCAGAAGAAGGAGCAACAATAACACAGCAGTCTCAATAACTGGCATGGACAAATAAATAGCGTCCAGAGGGACTTGGGTGTCCTTGTACACCAATCACAGAAGGTTAGTCTGCAAGTGCAGCAACAATTAGGAAGGCGAACGGTATGTTAGCATTCATTATGAAAGGATTAGAGTATAAGAGTAGGGAAGTCTTGCTACAATTGCATAGGACCCTGGTGAGACCACACCTGGAATACTGTGTGCAGTTTTGGTCTCCTTATTTAAGGAAGGATGTACTTGCCTTGGAGGGGGTGCAGCGTAGATTTACTAGGTTAGTACCAGGGATGAAGGGGATGAGTTACGAGGATAGGCTGACCAATTTGGGCCTATATTCTCTAGAATATAGAAGAATTAGAGGGGATCTTATAGAAACCTATAAGATCATCAAAGGGCATGATAGAGTATAAGAACATAAGAACATAAGAATTAGGAGCAGGAGTAGGCCATTCGGCCCTTCGTGCCTGCTCCGCCATTCAATAAGATCATGGCTGATCTTCTCACCTAACTCTGATTACCTGCCCTATCCCCATATCCCCTAATCCCTCTATTTTTCTAGTAGATAGTGGGAGATTGTTTCCCTGGTTGGAGAAACTAAAACCAGGGGTCACAACCTTAAAATCAGAGGCCAGTCTTTCGCACTGAGTTGAGGAAGAACTTCTTCACTCAAAGGGTGGTGAATGTATGGAACTCACTACCACAAAGGGCTGTTGACGCTCAGTCCTTGAACATATTCAAGACTGAGATAGATAGATTTCTTATTGCAAAAGAGATTAAGGGATATGGGGATAAGGCAGGGTCAAGTTATTAGCTGGAGTTAGATTAGAAGATCAGCCATGATTGAATGGCGGGGCAGGCTCAAAGGGCTGAATGGCCTACTCCTGCTCCTACATGTTATGTTATGTTAAATAATGTTCTGAGGTACATAATACAGAAGAAACAGCAACAAGGACATTCTTCATGACTGTACATCAATATGAACATCAAGCTGAGAGTCAGGGAATAAAGTAAAGAAGGGTTTTATTGTGCACAATGTGTACCAAAGTGTACAAACTTCACTTCTTGTACATAACCAACCACTCTCCACTTAATGTATGGAATTTTTGTACTTCTTAGCAGACCACTGCTCAGATGAAATGCACGGGTCTTGCATTCATAACAGGGTCCCATCACACGTGCAATGCTAATGCCTGCAATCTTTGCGTTGCAGACAGACCTCAGTACCACAGATTGCTGCCTCAGTGATGGTTGGCAAATCATATACAATCTTACAAGCAATCTTACACATACTATATAAAGAGTTTGTGAAAGCAAACAGGACTAGTCGCCTGACACTACCTCTGAAGATTCCACTTCCATTGTGATGTCAACATTTCCAGGTTCTCTGGATGGAAGATTGTTGAGCGAATCCAGCCTCTGCAATTAGAAGAAGGTGATGGGAAAGAGTAACATGGTTTAAGCTGGTGGCCAGGACATGAAGTAAAGAATATGCAAGGTCAAGTAACTTTCCCAGAAACTATTGATCAATAATTATGTTGAACTTGTACAGTGACTGAAAAGGAAAGGAAGCAAATACAATGAGAATGCTGGTCTTCTTCACAGAATCTAAATTGTTCAGGCTACAGACATTTTTGTGGTTTGTGATTATGTCACTTTAGTACACCGATAGATATTTAACGCATGGAATTGATTCAGATTTGCATGCTGCAGACCTCCCTCTCAAACACTGATCTCAATCGAGAAGTACATGAAACTAGTCCCACAGCATTGGGTGTCCCAAGATTGAGGCAGCCTATGTCAGAGGCTGCCAAACCCATCCAAAAGATCATTGTTAAGTATTTGAATACATTACCTCATATTGTTTTGATGGAGTATCATAGAAAGCTTACAGCACAGAAGGAGGCCATTCTGTCTGCATTTGTGCTAGCTCCTCCTCCTCTGAGCTACTTCAGCTATGCTTACCATTATACATGGGCCACACTTGTCTAGCATTGTGTTTGGGATGAATGTTTCTTCTTGGGCACTTCCAGTTGGCAGTAATTGAACTGGATCACTTTTAACGTCTGAAAGCAGAAGCTCACAATTCCTTATCCAATTTGTGCGCTCCACCTGATAAATGGAAAGAGAGTGAAAATTATTGTAACCAGCTAATGGAATAACTAAGACCTCACTGGGCCCGAAACCAGTATCATTCGACTCATTGGATTACCGATTTACCTCAACAAAAAGGGTCCAATCCAAGAACTGGCAAGTCCAGTTGTGGCTAGCTTTGAACCTAACTATTAATATGAATTATTAATAATCTTTGGAATTTACATAGTGCCTTTCATATCTGGAGGATGCCTCAAAGCACTTCACAGGAATCACTAAAAAGTGTAGTTACTACTGTTTATACAAATGCAAGGAAATTGCAAGGATTATCTTTGTAGACAAATGCAGCAGACACTTTGCCCATAGCAAAGTCACACAAACAACTTTGAAGTGAATTACAAACTTTACTTTGGACATTGTTGGTTAGAAGACCAGGAGAAACTCCCTTCTTTTTTAAATAGACAAATGGGACCTCGAACTAACATTATACCTGAAGGACGGACAACATTTCCAACAATTCAACACAGCCCAGCAATGTATTGAAGTGTCAGTCTAGACTTACCAACTGAGTTTATTACCAACTGAGTTTATTACCAACTGAGTCAGGTGGATGCCTGGAGTTGGAAAGATGAACAATATTCAAGCAAGTGTTGTAGTTATCAAATGGCTGCATTAAATACCTTTACCATCATTGTGAGAATTATTCCTGCTGTCAACTAAAATATCATAGGTCAGAATATTCACCCCAGTTATTAGACAGCTTATACCATAGTGAAGAAGGGAAGCTTCCAGCAACTTCTTAAATTTCATAGTAACATAGAACAGTATAGAGTCTGATTAGCTCAAGGTGTCCTCCTGGCTCAGTCTGTAGCGCTCTCGCCAGTGAGTTAGATGGCTGTGGGTTCAAGCCGGAATGCATTTTAAGATAAAATGGTCTTCCAGGTTAAGACTAGGTAGAATCTCAGGCCTTAACATATCACTCTAATAATGCATTGTCTTTTACCTGTCTAACATCATTCCTTTCAATTTAGTAATGAAATGTACCTTCATTTTTTCCAGCTCCTTCAGTTCATGGTCTGGAATCTCATCATGCATTACCATCCGTTCCTTAAAAATGGCTTCAACTATGTCACTGCACCAACTGTTAAAACAGACACAATGCATAAGGATATGATCATGCCAATAATTCTCTCTCAACAACTTGGATTTATATAGCGCCCTTCACGCCGGACGGCGTCTCATAGCGTTTTACAGTAACGGATCCCAGGACAAAGCCAGGGGGAGGGGGGGTGGGGGGGTGAAGGTGACCAAAGGCGTAGTCGAAAAGAAAGGTCTTCAGCAGAGACTTGAAAATGGGAAGGGAGGGAGTGAGATGAAGGGAGTGAGGAAGGCAGTTCCAGAGCCTCGGGGCATAGTAGCTGAAGCCACGGTCGCCAAGAGTGGAGCGGAGGACTCGGGGGACGAGGAAGCGGCCAGACCCGGAGGAACAAAGGCAACGGGTACTGTTTTGAGGAGAGAGGAGATCAGAGAGGTAGGGGGGGTGTAGAGGAGTGTAGGGACTTGAATACAAGGGTGAGGATCTTGAAATCGATCCTCTTTGGGATAGGCAGCCAGTGCAGTCTGGCAAGGATGGGGAGCGGAGTTTCGTGCAGAGTTTCTCTCATCTTTTCTAGAGATTTTTCAATATAACAGAATGAGAATTTGGTCATATCTAATTATCAGAAAATATTCAGAATTAGTATATTTATGGAATTGAGTGGAGCTTATTGGATCGAGGTGGCTGCAGATAGAACAGGGAAAAGCAGGGAGAAATGTAGCTGTGACTGGGAAGAAGTAGCTTAAAGTTCAACGCATTTAGAATGTGGAAAAATAAGAACTAACATTGGAAAAATTGGCCACCAGGTGGTTAATAACTGGCTTGAAAGGCTAGTTTTTTTTATTTCTTCAGCCAGGCTTAACTGCCCAAAGATACCATGGTTTCAAAGTGCTAACAATAGCTGTTATAAAAACTCTGCAGTTGATAAAATTATACTAAAATAAAAGTCAGCTGTAGCTCAAATACCCTGTTTGAGGTCAGTTAACTTAGCACCTTCCTAATGATTTGATAAACTTTCTGAACGAGCTCTATCTATCAACCACTATGGCCCCAAACTCTGGAACTCTCTCCCTCAATCCCTTTGCCCTGCCCCATCCTTCTCCATTTTCAGGTCATGCCTGAAGACCTTCCTCTTTGATCGTGCCTACAGTCACCTCTCCACGGCTCGGCGTCATGCACCGGCACTGTCAAGCATTCTGGGATGCTACCCTGCATAAGGGTGCTATATAAATGCGAGTTATTGTTCTTTCTAAACAGTTAGAGACAATAATAATAATCCTTGCATTTGATATAGCGCTTTTCACGTCAGGAGGACGTCCCAAAGCGCTTCACAGAACACACTGTAAAGTGAATTGACTGTATATTTGTGGGCGAACGCGGCAGCCAATTGCGCACAGCAATGTCCCACAAACAGTCGTAGATTGAAAATGACCAATTTATTATTGTTTTTGGTTTTGGAGGGATTATTATTAGGCGTGTGGAGTAAGGAAACTTGCCCAAGGTTTCGCCCTGTGCCTGGAATTGAACTCAGGTCTCTCGCTTGCAAAGCGAGTGCTCTAACCACTGAGCTACAGGACTCCAGACAAGTTATGCATGCCAGTCCTTTCATTCCTACTTGTACATATTTGTGGTGTAGGCATCCATCTGCGGAGCTACTTTTGAAGCTTCCTCCTCTAGTTTAAGGAGTATAGATGTGCTGGATAGGTTATTGAAGTGGTTTCCTGAGATGGCACCGGCAGGGTCTGGTACCAGGTGGAGCAACATATCCACCATCCAGCGAGTCAGTTGAGTATGAAGGTTGTGAACCTGGAGATATAAAGCAATAGAGGACCCAGTGAGACTATCTGTAGACAACAATGGGAATGCAATCATACTCTGGGCAATCCCTTTCTCTGATCTCTTCTTGCCTGCCCGCTAGCAAGCTGATAAGGCTTGGTGCGAGAGCTGCTGAAAGGTGTTATGTTTAGTCCGAGTTTGTGAACACAAGTTTGTGCTCCTATCCTTATGTTCCCTGGCACAATTTTATTATGTGCATGTACAGAGAATGTGCAGGAGGAAAAAACAGCAACAAATTACATTTGTGATATCAAACTGGGAGAACCGCCTAAAGCGCTGAATGCAGGAAGCAAAACAAAAATCAGGAAACTGAACCATATAAAGGGAAAACATTGTGGTTTACGAGAAATATCAGATCATAATCTGGGCTTTCTTGGTACTCCATTTCGTTAATAATACAGCAGAGCATGCATATCCTGCGCGACATACCTCTGTAATTTGGTTGACGTTCACATTTTCTATTAATTCGATTACCCCACGCAGCCAAATGTGCAGACTTTGATTAATTTCTTCTAGTCTCAGCCTGGAAACAAAAAGTTTATGCAAAATGTCTTTTATAAATAGTGCATAGAATAATAATAACAAGTAATAATAATCCTTGCACTAGACATAGTGCCTTATCACATCGTTTAGACATCTCAAATAGCATCACACGATATACTGTAAAGTGGATTGATTGCATTTTGTGGGTAAAATCCAGCAGCCAATTGTGCACAGCAGTGTCCCACAAACAGCCACGGAGTCAGTAACCAATTTTTTATTTGGGTTGTTATTCATAGAATCATACAGCACAGAAAGAGACCATTCGACACATTGTGTCTGTGCCGGTTCTTTGAAAAGAACTGAAAAGAGCTATCCAAATCAATCCCAATTCCCCTGCTCTCTTCCCATAGCCCTGGAAACTTGTCCTCCCCAAATAATTATCTACTTCTCTCTTAAAAGTTGATATCAAATTGGCTTCCACCAGCCTTTCAGGCATTCCAGATCCAAACTTGCTGTGTGAAAAAATTCTCCTCACCTCCCCTCTGTTTCTTTTAACAACTATTTTAAATTGGTGTCCTCGGGTTACTAACCGATTCGCCAGTGGAAATAGTTTCTGTTTGTTCACCATATTGAATCTCCTCATAATTTTGAAAGTTTCTATTAAGTCTCCTTTTAACCTCCTCTGCTGCAAGGAGAATAATCCCAGCTTCTCTATCCTCTCCTCATAACTGAAGTCCGTTATTCCTGGTACCATCCTGGTAAATCTCCTTTGCATCTTCTCCAATGCCTTGACATCCTTCCTAAATTGTGGTGCCCTGAATTGAACACAGTACTCCCTCTGCCTCCTCGTCCTCCTGGATCTCTCTGCTGCATTTGACACAGTCAACTACGCAATTCTCCTCCACTGCATCTCCTCCTTCATCCACCTTAGTAGGACTGCATGGTTCGAGTCCAACTTAACCAACCGCCTCCATTTCATCTCGGCAAATGATTTCTCCTCCCACCCCCGGCCAGTCACCTGTGGGGTACCCCAGGTCTCTATCCCTGGCCCTCTTCTTTTCCTTATCTATATGCTCCCTCTGGGCGATGTCATCCACAGACACAGGGTAAACTTCCACATGTACGCGGATGACACACAAATCTACTTTCCTCCTCCAGTACCAACTCCGGGTCTGCCAATGTTCTATCAGCTTGTCTGGCAGACATCAGGACCTGGTGAGTGCAAACTTCCTGCAGCTGAATGTGGACAAAGTCATACTCCTTGGCTCCCGTCAACATCTTCACTCCTGTGGATCTGAATATTCCTTTACTTTCCTGGGCTCTCCCTCAGACTCACCTAACCAGTGCGCAATCTAGGTGTCCGGTTCGACCCCCAGCTGTCCTTCCTCCCCCACATCCAGGCCCTGACCAGAACAGCCTTCTTCCACCTCCGCCACATTGCCCGCCTCCAACCATACCTTACCCCAAATGCAGCTGAAACCCTCATGCGTGCGTTTTGTCACCTCCACCTGGATTACTCAAATGCACTCCTCACCGGTCTCCCCAGCTCTACTATTCAAAAGATCCAGCTTGTTCAGAACTCTACCACCTGCATACTGACCTGGACCGAACTCCATACCCACACCTAACCAGTTCTGGCCAGGCTCCACTGGCTCCCCATCACCGAACAGATCAACTTCAAGATACTAACACTCATGTTCAAATAAATCCCTTCACTCTCTGCCACCTCCCTACCTCTTCGACCTTCCCACTTCCCAGTCTACCACCCAGCACCACCACTCGACTGACACCAGCCTCCTGCTCGTCCCTCGCACCCTTCCCCCCTACCAGCAGAGGTCACGGTTTCAGTCATTATGCCCCAAAACTCTGGAACACTCTCCCTCAATCCTTCTGCCTTGCCCCCACTCTCCCCTTTTTCAAGTCCTGCCTGAAAACCTTCCTCTTCGCCCGTGCTTACGGCTACCTCCCTCCACCGCAGTTTGAAGTCAGGCTCCGCCACTTTTAAAGCTCTGAGATGCTCCCCTTTGTGTAGGGCGCCATATGAATGCAAGTTATTGTTGTCCTCCAGTTGAGGCCTAACTAGTGTTTTATAAAGGTTCATCATAACTTTCTGACTTTTGTGTTCTATGCCCCTATTTATAAAGCCTAGTATCCCGTATGCATTTTTAACAGCTGCCCAGGACACCAGGAGAAACTCGCTTCTCATTTTGAATAGTGCCATGGGATCTTTAACAACCACTGAACAGGTAGACGGGACCTCAGTTTAACATCTCATCCAAGGGATGGCATCTCTGACAAGGCAACACGCCCCCAGCACTGCATTGGAGTGTCAGCTTAGACTGTGATTCCAAGTCCCGACATGGGGCCTGATCCCACAGATTGGAGCATTACAGACAAACCCAATCCTGCGATGCAGGGGGAACTTTAGATATTGCTCAGAAGCAGGACTCCCGACTGATTTTCCCTTCTTTAATCCAGTAACTCGGAGATCAATTAAACATAACAACTGATGCGCTCAACTAACTCTATACAGATATGAAGCTATTCTAGCCTTCTCCACTGGGTCACTGGAAACCTAATTTAACTACTTTTAAAAATAGATCAATACATTTGTGAAGTTGACGATACCTTATGGGAGGCAGTTTATTCAGTCTAGTACGTAAGGTGTCAGCTGAATCAGGCATTTCCAGAGCCTGTTCCATCAGGTTTATCCAAGTGGGAAATTGGTGGAATAGTTTTAACCAGTCAAATTCTGACAGTCTTGTACTACCTCTCTGGGTGCTGTCAAATTTAATTCGCCAGGATTCCACCATCGTAGTAAAGGACATTAAACTCGAAAGTGAACCTGTTAAAAACAAAGTGATAAAAATCATCCCAGGATTGTCAAACCACGCAATTTGAAGAGTGGTCAAAGACTGAACTGGAATCACCTAAGCTCACGATAGAAAGGAAAAAAGAGTTTGTGCATATATATGACTACAAATTGTAAATATGCTTTCAACATTCTGGGAGAGTAGATATTTGACACCGACTGAGATATTGAATGGGGAGAAGAGAGGGGAAATTCAATTAATCTATAATAATAATATAATCCTTGCATTTGATATAGCGCTTTTCACGTCTTCTAGACGTCTCAAAGCACTTCGCAGAATATGCTGTAAAGTGAATTGACTGTATATTTGTGGGCGAAACCCGGCAGCCAATTGCGCACAGCAGTGTCCCACAATCAGCCGTGGATTGAAAATGACCAATTTTTTATTGTTTTGTTTTGGAGGGATTATTATTAGGCGTGTGGAGTAAGGAAACTTGCCCAAGGTTTCGCCCTGCCTGGAATTGAACTCAGGTATCTCGCTTGCAAGGCAAGTGCTCTAACCACTGAGCTACAGGATTCCACTATATCATGCGGCAAATTTCTACACCAGCATATATATATGACTACAAATTGTAAATATACTTTCAACATTCTGGGAGAGTAGGTACTTGACACCGACTGAGATGTTGACTGGGGAGAAGAGAGGGGAAATTCAATTAACCTATATCATGCTGCAAATTTCTATCTAATTATGACATTTCATCAGTCTTGTGTGTCACATCAACCTGAGCTGTTTATTTGCTGCTCTTAGCAGCTGGTGTGACAGTGGTATTGGCAGATAGCAGAACATTGTCCTATCCACTGGCTTATTCTAGAATCAAAACCTCAGAATCTATTTGGCATCTCGTGACCAGATTCTGGAAACATGCAGGAAATCAAGCTATCCCAAAATGCTGGCAAGTTTTAGCACAGAGTTCTAAATCTCAGCTGTGCTTCTCTTGAGAAATGCCAAGGAGAACTTCTCCAGCAATGAATCATGTTAGGGTATCTCTATTTGCAATTCTCAAGACACTGGCTATAGAATAGCACTGGTTGAGGCCTGGGGAAATACATCCACCTGCCTGAGGTTCACTTGGCGAGTATAATCTGAAAAATAAAGCAAAAATACACTTTCTCCCTTCCGACTTGTCAGACCAATAATGTTCATGTTCTGCAGTCCTCCGGACAATTTTTTCTCAGTCTTTTTGATACCGAGGACCAGATCAGCTTATTCTTCAAATGTTGCAGACTGCTAGTACATGAGTTGATCAGGCCACTCAATTTGAAGGGATCTCAGTTGAGGACTTGCCATTAAGTTATCGCAGACCTTTTGCCAGACATTAGGAAACACTGCTCTAAACTAATTTGCAGGAAACTGCAGTCCTGGATTGGCACGAATGACACCTAATATTATTCACATTGTCTGGCTTTTGCTGCACTTTTCTCTGCTTCAGCTCATGCAAGCCAACACCTTAATGGGTATGGTAACCCCAGCTAGACAAGCAGAAGAAAACTTGCCAGACAGTACATTCTATGGCAAGCTTATGTATAGCTGGTCAAACTGCAGCAGTATCTGGTACACACTCTGGGAGACCCCAAGCTCTTGCCAATTGTACCTAATTCTCTCCGGGAATTAGGTAAGCAGGGTGTGTTCTTCCAGGGAGAGAATCAGCATTGCATTCCAGATGCAGCAATTTCCATATTTAGGTGGCATTCAAGGAACTCTCAGTCTAGACTGAATACTCTTAATTCAGCATGGTGATGTGATTCCGTCTGTGTCAGACACCCGGCTGACAAAACAAAAAAGAATGATCCAATAATTAAGGTTGGTTAAAGTTAGTGGAGTCCTATAGCTCAATGGTGGGAGCACTCACCCCGCAAGCGGGAAACCAGGGTTCGATTCCCGGTAGGGTGAAATTTTGGGCAAGTTTCCTTATTCCTTACACGCCTCTGTTTACCTGGCAGTAAGTAGGAACCTGATTGTTAATTGATTGGTGGATCGCTTTTCCGGGGGTAATAATTCGTTAAAAAAAATTGGTCACTTCAGTCCACAACTGTTTGAGAGACACTGAGGTGCGCAATTGGCTGCTGCGTTTTGCCCACAAAATATACAGTCAATTCACTTTGCAGTATATCCTGTGAAACGCTTTGAGACATCTCGACGACATGAGGCGCTATATCAAATGCAAGGATTATTATTATTATTATTATTAGTTGAGTGATTCCTGCTGAGGAAAAATCCAAATTGGATTCTTACCTTCATCATTGGACACTATATGGTTTTGAGTGGGAAATGAAAAACGTAAGGGAAAAACACTGTATGTAAATAAAATAGGTCTACTGTTACCATTTTTTCCCATTATCCTGGCTTCATACTCATTGCAGAGTTCATTTATAACCATATTTATGTCATCCATTGTCTTCTCCTCAGCAAAGCGAGCCGCATAAGGCTTCTGGTGCCGTCCAAATACAGCCATTGTTAAATCTGTCCATTCCTTTTCTAGGTTGAACAGTTCATTCAGAGCTTCCTGGCTGTCTAAGAGTAATGATCCCTCATACCGCTCACAATCTTGTATAATCATCTGGAAAAGGAACAATACATTCACAATATAATTAAGATTTATATAGCGCCAGTCACACCTCAAAGACGTCTCAAACTGCTTCATACTGCTGGCTGGGCATCCGAGCTGGGTGCTGAAGAACGGGATGAGAGGGGAAAGATACCAAAAGCATATCCAAAGAGGTAAATATTGAAGTCGGCTTTGAACATGGGGAGGGAAGAGGTGAGTCAGAGGAACTCATGGATGGAGTTCCAGAGAGCAGGGGCAGAATGGCTGAAAGTTTCCCCGTCAATGATTAGGTGGATAAGGCAGACCTGAGTTCATTGAGGAAAGTGAGCCGGCAAGTCAGTTGGATTGCATGACGTAACAGAGATAGGGTGGGATGAGGGCATGGAGGGAAGCTGGGAAGCCAGTCATGGTGTGTACATTGGGTCAAGGGAGCAGATTGTGTTCTCCATACAGTAGATGAAGGAGGAGAGGGTTGAGGGGAAAGACAAGGTTGGAGATCCGATAGGAAGGGCAAGTGGGGCCCATGTGGAGGGCGGGGAGGATTCTAGAGGCAGTGGAGAGGGTGGAGACAGTAACGAAAGTGGGTATAGCGGTGGCAGTTGAGTGAATCTTCTTGATGATGGACTCAATGCAGGTAGCAATGTATTATAATATTATTATTATGGTGTCATAACAGAAAATATGTACCAAATAGTTCACCTAATAAACATATGGAGAACAGGAAAGTGCATTAGGAGATTCACTAGAGTTTGAGTGTTACAGTGAAGTATGAGCTACAGAGAATAACTTGTAAATATTAGTCTAATAATAGGAATAATGAGGATTCAATGACAGGAAACTATGGTCTTTTCTAATATTTTTCTGCCTTCCTTTAATCCTTCCTCATTGCCTTCCCCAATTCACATGCCTTCCAAAAATATTCCCAGGCAGTCCAGGAGAGACTGATCTTTTGTGGTCATAAAGCCTGGGAACTGAATCTCTTACCTCTTGCCATCGTATTAAATCAGCATGCAGTGACCGGATGGTATCGGGGGATAAACCTTGGAATCCAATCTGAGGGGGCCTGAAAGCAAATAAAGAAGAAAGCTCAAGGTTGTAAAGCTCACTCGTATCACTCGTATTCCCACAGTGGAGCTACTTCATCAGACCTAGATGACCATGCCGTGGTCAGCTCATTCACAAGGTGAGTCAATTTTCAGCCCCGTTAAATTCAAATGGAATTAGTAGCTTTCCTGCTCCAGACATTAAGCATGAGGGTTGGGCTCACACTCTGGCTGTAATGATCTTTTCAGCTGGATTCAAGGACATAATATTCAGAATGAGGAATTACACCAATCTGTGACCAGCCAACGAAGAACCCACTAGATAGATCTTTTGTATGGTCAGCCGGGAGTCTGACACACGTGAAAACCAATCACTCCACTAAAGAGCAGATAAAATTGAAAGTTCCAAATCTATATGCCACTTACAAATGTAGGTGGCTCATTGGCAGGATCTAGAAGGGCAGACCAATCACTGAAGGCAGGGGTTTACCACACTCAGCTCCTGTTAATCCTGCAAGCCAAAGCCCTAAAGGGTACAGTGGTCCTAGCTGGAAAGCCTGCCAGACAGGGATATCAATGGCAAGCTACGTGGTTTTAGCTGGTTGGACTCCAGCAGTACTCCTCCCCACCAAGAAGGATAATCACTCGTTGGTCATTTGACATCCAGCAAGCATGAACTTGAGCCCTCGCAAAGTCATAAAACATAAGAGCTTTTGCTGTTTGATGCATGAACATAAAACTGAAAAATATGCAAGCAAATACAAATACTAATAGGCAGGAAACTGGAATTGTTTAATCCCATGTCCTGCATGACTTGTTAGCAATGTACCCTCCAATACACCCTGAAATACGCACAGGATTTTTTCGGAAAAATATTTGTGCCACTTCTGAATCTCCGAAAGAACCAGCTTCCGTTTTTCCATGCTTGAGTTCTCAAAGTGTTCCAACTTTCCAGTGAATTTTGACATCAGTTCCCTCCAGTGCTCAATAATTTTCTGGATCACCCCTAAATCTTCTGTATCCTGGCAATGAAGAAACAAAACTGAGAAAGATTTTGGATGTTTTTAAAGATGATTGATTGGTGGTTGGTTGGTAGATGCCAATTTTTGCCAAAAATTATTTTTTGCCAATTGGGTGGGGTTAGGCCTGAAGTCTCTGGGTTGATAAAAAGTTTACTTTTTGGTTTAGGAGAGTAATTTTGGCCCTCTAGGGCAAAAATAATATTAATAATGATCATTCTTGCATTTCATATAGTGCCTTATCACATTGGCAAAATGTCTCAAACTGCTTCACAGAATATACTGTCAAGTGAATTGATTGCATATTTTGTGGATGAAAGGTAAAACAAATATATGCTGGCAAAGGAAAATTAAAGATCCAAATGTAACGTACAACTTTTTCCCCTCACTCTGTCCCTATCTTGATTATTTCACTTTACTACTTTACCCATTTACCTACTTTCACTTAATTTAATCCCAAATGGCATAGTTCTTCGGCAGTCACCAAAAACCATGATCAGCATTGAGAATAGCGGTGGAGAGGGGTTAGGTCTACCATCGATACACCCAGGTAATTTCTATTCAATATTTTAGGAACTTTCAAGTTAAATCAAATTATTGATTAGACTTCAGTGTGTACCCCAAAGCTGTTTCTCTAATTTTAAATCCATCCTGATTGTGACCACAGGGACCACAGAACACCTTCTAGACAGAGTTGTGAACACAAGGCTGACCCATCTGAATTAAAGATACCTATTTTGATACAGCTTTTTATTTTTAAATGAATTTAAAAGATGACAGGTTAAGATGTATATCTACAACAATTGTCCAAATAAATTGATCATTCAGCTTAAGGCTGTTGTGGAACCTTGGTGTTCACAAATTGCCTCCTGAATGCACCTTTCGAATACATATTCACAACACTCTGCAGTCTGGCTCAGTGGGTAGCACTCTCACCTCCGAATTAGAAGGTTATGAGTTCAAGCCCCCGCGTCGGGACTTGGAACTCATATAGTCTAGGCTGACACTCCAATGCATTGCTGCATTGTTGGAGGTGCCATCTTTCAGACAAGACATTAAACTGAAGTCCCATCTGCCTGTTCAGGTGGACATTAAAGATCCTATGCGTTTTCAAAAAGAGTAGGGAGTTTCTTCCCATGATTTGGTCTCCCTATTAAAACTGGTCATTTACTTCATTGCCGTTTGTTGGATACTGCTATGTGCAAGTTGGCCTCCAAGTTCACTCACAAAACACACAGTCTTTACAATATATCCTGTGAAGCGAAGGCACTATATCAAATGTAAGGATTGTTATTATCATAATTACCTACAAAGCACTTTGAGATGTTGATATAATAGGCATGATAGCATATGCTAGTATTATTCTGATTATTAAATCAAAGAGCTACCTTTAAGCTGAGAATTATGGCAAAGTGTTCTCCAAGTTTGGACCAAGACTTTTCGCTGACTTGGAGTCTGCGAGCCAGCTGCAGCCTGTTATCTTCAATCACCTGAAACAGAGCCCAGATCAGGAATTAAAAAACTCAGGCTATATTTGCTTGTGGAAGTTCCAGGGGCTGGCTGGCATCCAACACTGGACAGTGGAGTCATTTTCTTTGTACATCAGCAATTAAACAGTACCACAAAACAAATGACAGTGACAGAATGAGTGCTACAACTAAGGCTTTGAATGGAAAAATCCTGGGGTGCTGACAAATCTCAGCCATGTTGCATTTCCACTTTCATGTATCTGACAAATATTGCAACATTGGAATAATAGTCAAGCTTCACAAGTGGTTCCAATGAAGCATACACTATTGCTACTTGGACAATTTGATGGTTGCATTTACCTGAGTAAGAAATGGCGAATGGGTCAGTAACCCGAGGACAAATGATATAAAATAGTTGTTAAAAGAAACAGATGGGAGGTGAGAAGAAATGTTTTCACACAGTGAGTTGTTTGGATCTGGAAGCATTACCTGAAATGGTGGTGGAAGCCAATTAGATAACAACTTTTAAGAGAGAGAGGTAGATAATTATTTAGGTAGGACAAGTTTGCAGGGCTATGGAGAGAAAGCGTGGAAGCAAGGATAAAGTATAATATGCACTGTATAATATACAATGTAACTGGTTACCTTGAGTGCTAGGCTATAGGCTGCTGCACACCACCAATCCCTTTCCTGGGTTAGACTTCTTATTTGTTTATCTAATCTCCGTCTTTGCAGCTCATATAAGACGTGAAACTCTTCCACCAAACTGAATTAAAAAGACAATTAAGGTATTGTTATTAGTTAAATATTATGTTATTTCTCACCTACATTTGTACAATGGTCAGCTACTGCTGTACAGTCGACCATCTTTATGTATAATGAACCCAATAGTTCTTCAACCATTTGTTAGACAGTGCACTGAGTATTTGCCCTTAGAGATAAATGATTGACAGCGCCAAGCAAGCTGAGGACAGGGCTAATTTGCGGTAAATTTGTGAAAGTCTGTGATCTGGGCTGCCATTCTTCCTGTAGGGAACAAAAAGACTGAATGAAGAAGAGGAGTCTAACCATATGAACACCCAAGTAAACCATTATCTAACCTAATTGGTGCCTTAAACTGGAGGTTATTTGGTACATTAACAAGGCAGATAAATTAGTCTCTTCAATATCCGATGAAATATCTCAGAGAGGGTATTATGAGCTATACAAAACCCCAGACAATTCTTTCAGCTCTTCCAGGGCAACAAGAGTTCACCGGCTCAGGTATGCTGTTGTACGAAAAAGGCAAGTTTAGTATATTGTAAGTTATTTCTTTACATGGGAATGGGTTAAGAGAAACAATGTTTGCAGCCAGAACATTGACTTTTTTTTAAAAAGAAACCACTTGTTGCTGTAATGAAGGCAGTAGGATTTGTATTGTGAAAGAATGAGATTCAAAGGGTCTTCTTCATGTCTTGATCCCAACCTCTTTTGGGATTTAGTCCTGATTAGGTAGAGATAAATTGGTAATAGGGAACAACAACAACAACAAGATTATATTTGTATAGCACCTTTCACGTCAGGAGGACGTCCCAAGGCGCTGGACAGAGTACAGCATTTCAGACCCGAGCTGGGGTTGGGGGGGGGGGGGGGGGGGGGGGGAGGGGAGGGGAAGGGGAGTGGCTGATGGCATGATCGAAGAGGAGGGTCTTGAGGCGGGACTTGAAGGAGGCTAAGGAGGGGTTGAGGTGGAGTGACTGGGAGATGGAATTCCAGAAATTGGGGGCAGAGTGGCTGAAGGCTCTCCCACCTATTGTGGGGCGGGTGGGTCGGGGGACGTAGAGCAGGCCAGAGCCGGCTGAGCGTAGGGAATGGGTGGGTTGGTAGGGGGTTAGGAAGTCACAGAGGTAGGGTGGGGCGAGGCCATGAAGGGCTTTGTATGTGAGGACCAGGTTCTTGAACTGGATCCTCTGAAGGATAGGGAGCCAATGGAGTCGTGCAAGTGTGGGGGAGATGGGGTTGCGGAACATTTATTTAGATACCAAATTGTCCTCTAAAAGATTGACATGGATCAAGGTTGGTTTATTTTGGAATTGCTCCTTGATGTGGGAATCCTGGTCAGAGCAGCAACTAGATCCACTGTTGGATTAAAACAATAACTCATGCATTTCTGCCCTCTAGTGGGAAGAATCATAGAATCATACAGCAGAGAAGGAGACCATTCAGCCCATCATGTCTGTGCCGGCTCTTTGAAAAGAGCTACCCAAATCAATTCCATTCCCCCGCTTTCTCTCCATGGCCCTGCAAACTTGTCCTCCCCAAATAATTACCTACTTCTCTCTTAAAAGTTGTTATCTAATCGGCTTCCACCACCATTTCAGGCAATGCATTCCAGCTCCGAACAATTTGCTGTGTGAAAACATTTCTCCTCACTACCCCTCTTTTACATTTAACAAATATTTTATATCGTTGACCTCAGGTTACCGACCCACCCGCCAGCGGAAATAGTTTCTCCTTGTTCACCCTATCGAATCCCCTCATAATTTTGAAAACTTCTATTAAGTCTCCTCTTAACATTCTCTGCCCCAAGGAGAATAATCCCAGCTTCTCTAGTCTCTCCTGATAACTGAAGCCATTCATTCCTGGTACCATCCTGGTAAATCTCCTTTGCATCCTCTCCAATGCCTTGACATCCTTCCTAAAGTGTGGTGTCCAGTACTGAACCCAGTACTCTGGCTGAGGCCTAACCAGTGTTTTATAAAGATTCATCATAACCTCCTGACTTTTATACTCTATGCCCCTATTTATAAAGCCTAGTATCCTGTATGCTTTTTTTAACAGCTTTATCTACCTGTCCTGTCGCCTTCAAAGATGCACCATCAGCTTATATTGCCTCTCCTCATTCTTCCTCCCAAAATGCATCACTTCACATTTCTCCACATTAAACTTCATTTGCCACATATCTGCCCATTTTACCAGTCTGTCTATGTCCCCTTGCAGTCTGCTACTATCCTCCTCACTGTTTACTACTTTTCCTAGCTTAGTATCATCTACAAACTTGGAAATTGTACTCGCTATCCCAAGTCCGGGTCATTTATATAGATAGATATGAATCTATAAAATGTGGGAACTATGATTAAAATGATTAAATGTGGGAACTATGTATGGTATCATTAACCCTTGTACTATAGAATCTTTTGTGAAATTACATGTTAGCAATGGCTCTGATTAGCTTTATTAGAACATTATACACTTACTTAGCATTTTTCCGGGACTCAAACAGTGCCTTGGCCAGCTCATCCTGTGCTGCCTCTGTCTCCCTTGTCACCTTCAGGTCATGCTCTCGAATCTCACTGAGTTCACTGGGGGCAAGGGACACCAAGCATGCTTCAGCGAATTGAGTCAAAGGAGCCACCTGTGATCTGCAAACTCAAAATAATACTGGCCACCCTCAACAGAGAGAGAGGAACAGGGCCAATATATTCTGGCAAATGTTTACCAGTTATTTAGACTACTTTTATGTACTTATAGTAGTTATGACCATTTTTGAAATAGATGCTAAAATCCTTCAGCATTTTCCAAACTGAGAAAGTTTTCAGGAAAATCTCAGGTTCCGTCTCTAGCTTGGGCTGGGTTAGTTGACCTCAACAAGTAAAATGGTGAGAGTGACAATTTGGTATTGTCCATGAACTGGGAACATTCAGCGAGAATTCTTACCATGAACCACTAGACCTTTCTGGGAAACAGAGCCCACCACCTCACCCCCACACATGTGCATACTAATACACACAAACTCAATCAGTCATTGGTACTTGTGCGCTCTCTCCCTGGAAGTGTGGGTTAGGGTACTATTAGAGTTAAACCATATAAAACTGCATAGCTTGCATTCAAAGCACCATATGCCAAATTCCTACTGCTAGTAGGAATACAGTAAAATACAGTAGTATTTTACAATACAATTTGCATTTATAAGGCCCCTTACATGTCCGGGGGATATCCCAACACTGCTGGCTGAGCACCCGAACTGGGGTTCAAAGTCAAAGCAGGTGGGAAAGGAAAGATGACTAAATGTACGGTCAAAGAGGCACATCTTGAGATGAGGTTAGGGAGGGAGCTTTTCCAGGTAGAACCACTATACCAGTCAAGACTTTGCACTGCAGGGTTAACAGGAGCTGAATGGGAAGAATCCTTATTCCCAGTCACTGGTCTACTCCAAGTCCTGCAATGAGCTAGGCTGGCTGGTCTGTCATTACCAATGCTCTGGAGTATTGTGGAGAGTAACTATTGCTAGGGAGAGGAAGTCACAAATAGGCATTCTGAGTTGCTAAATACTATATAGCTACAACTCATTGGGTGTGGTGGATACATCTTACTTAAATCCAAATTAGCATTGCGTTTAATTAAGTGGAGAAAGATGTATTCTTAGTGATCTAAGTAGAGGGCTTGTATCCAGTAGGTGGTTTATGTATAGAAACAATCAATATCTAAGAGTAAATTACAGGCCAGAATCTAATCATGGGATCCAGATAGTTCAACAAGATAGCCAGTGGAGCATTCAATGGTTATAATCTAATCCAAAGACACTAAATGGTTATGGATGGAAAAAAAAATAACGGCCAATCAAAAGTGATCATAGGCTGCAATGCAACCATTTCACATTGTTCATTGTACTTTGACCTCCATCGAGTGTTTATTCAGTTCCTGGTCTGGATTCTGTTTTATGTTGTGCCTCCTAATCAGATTGTCCATTGATGGATCACAATTAATGTACAATAAAACTCACATAAGTCTGATCTGTATAAATCATATTATTGCTTAAATCACACATCTGTTGAAGTCCTGTTCAAGAGTTTATATTCAATGCAAGTTTGACATAACTCATACTTTGCACAATTAGTCATATTAAATATATGGTCCCAAATGATATGACTTATGTGAGGTTTACTGTACAACAAAATACCTAAAATTTTAGCAAGTGATGATCAGCAGCTGGTTCAGTAAATAGTGTAGACAGTATATGTTGTAAATATAGTACAGTAATGCCCAGAGACCCTATTCTACTTTATGAAGCTGTCACAAATAACATCAACAATGCAGGGAGCATCTTATGGCTTCAATGTTGAACCTGGATAATTTAGAAAAAAAATATTGTTTTGCAAACTGCCCACACATTTACGGACTAGTGGATTGTTCCCACAATAAAATACCCAACAGTCATTGTGCGTTACCCGCTGAGTTCTTCAATTGCCGTCTTGAAGAGAAACAGTTCCTGCACAAGATATCTGTCCAGAGCCCGTTGCATCAAGATTTCATCATGTAGGCATTTCACATGGCGAGGGATGCTGTCCAGTAAATTCACATACCTTTGTCTGAGTCAGAAAAAAAAATCAGAAAGTTAGAGCAGTAGTATCTTTATTATAATTTTAATTATTTTCCCCATTTAATTCTTCCTTCCGAAAAATGCTTCATAATTCACTTTGTGTACCAGCTATCCTTGTGGCCAATAAGTGGCCAAATTGGGAACTGAATTGAAGCTCCACAAAATAATTTCAGATAGGACCATTACAACCATCAGAGAGGAGATTGTAGTTCTATCAATATAAACACAGAAGTCACTGGGAAAACGCAGCAGGTCAGGCAGCATCCATGGAGAGAGGAAAATGAGTTAGGGTTTCAGAACCTATACGCAGAAGCTGAAACGTTAACTCATTTTCCTCTCTCCATGGATGCTGCCCGACCTGCTGCACGTTCCCAGCTGGTTCTGTGTTTATACCGGATTTCCTGCATCTGCAGTACTTTGCCTTTTGTCATTCTATCAATCTATACTGGATTTGAAACCTAGTCTCAGCACAGTGTGTTAACCCACTTTAGCAACTACAGAAACTTCCAATAATATCTTCAGCCTCTTTGAGGAAGGCTGCTTATGCACTCTGGATCAAATATCTCCAATCTTCTGGGAACAATAAAGGAATAGGGGAAGATTATGACTAAAGCTACAAATGTCTTGATGGGAGAACCCTCTGATTATTCTAAGAAAGCTTTTAAATGGGATTAATATTCCATAATGGTACATACTAATAAGCTGTGGACTGCATTTTTTATTTAAAATGCCACCACAGAGATCGAATATCTGTCCTTTGCCTACCTCTAACTAGCAATCTAAAGGACTAAACAGAGTAATAAAGTGGCAGACAAACCAGTAGGTGTATAAGTTTCTCTCTCCAGCAGAATTCAGTAGAATATAACTCCCTATTAATGAGCTCTAGTGGTGACTGACCTGACTTTGGATAGCAATTCTCCTCGTTCTGCACAATCTACAGTGATCTGTCGGATCAGCTCGTGGAACACAATGTTATAAATGTTCTGCTCCTGTTTCACCAGCTCCAGCAAATGATGTAGCTGTGCAAATGGACATTGAAATAGTCTCAGGGTTAGCCTTGGAAGTTCAACTGAGCACAGAATGATTGATATGTAGGCTGTTTAACTGGCAATTTGACACAATATCACAAGAGGTTTGGGTATAGAAAGTCTTTTAATCCAATTTGACTTAATCTTTCCAAGATATTACCCTACCATGTTTCCATTCGAGCATCAAGCGTTTCTGAAATGAGTCCAGAATGAATTTAGCCTATAGCTCAGGTGCAAAACCTTGGGAAGTCCTCCCGAAAGGCGCAATATATACTGGATTAGTGTGTTTCTGTTGAGTCGTGGGCTCAACCACCCTTCCACTTAAATTATTCTAACTATTGATTACCCTTTTTGTAAAGAAATACATCCGGCCCTCTAAACTTGTCCTTCACAAAGTTTCATCCACCTTCATCCCTGCCTTGCCCCCAACAAAGCCAAAACAAACTCTCCTGCGTGCCTTTGTTATTACCAGACATGATTTCTCCAATTCTCTTCCCACTCAGGTTTCTAGCTAAAACCTCTATAAGCTACAGGTTTTCCAGAACTTTGCAGTCTGTATCCTCTTGCAGCTTGTATCCACGAGTCCCAACATTCCCATCCTCACAAGTCTTCACTAGCTCCCTATTCCCTAGTGGAATATTTCTAGGATCCTCATTCTGATTTCCAAAGACCTCTGCAGTCTCCTCTTGTCCTATTCTCTTCACTCTGAAAACAATCAGGCCTGCTGCACATCCCCTCCCCTTTTGCCCCATCATTGGCGGCTGAGCCTTCAGCCAAATGTTCCTAAGTTGCTTCCAAAATTGCTCTACACTGATCTGTCCCTCCCTACTTTAAAACACTTGTAAAAAAAAACAACTTCTTCAAATATGGATCTGATCACCAACCTGCCCCATCTCCCATTTTACTCAGTTTGCTATTCTCTCCCTGTAATCCACATAAAAATATAAGTGTGTTCAAGATGCTAAATAAGTATATGCTGCTGTTGTTGCTGCTGCTGTTAATAAAAAAATATCTACACATACCTCACTACATAGGCAAATGTACAGTCAATTTGTCCAAAGGAGGTTATTGGTTTTCAGCTCCTTAAGCCTACCTAGAACTTGTAGATTTGACATTGCTATTGTCAAAGCCCCAAACTAAACATCATATCTCATTTACAACAATGATGGTTCCACATCATGCTTCCAGTACCTCAGTCTCCCCTTTCACTTCCAACTTCGGATCATTAAGCCCAGCCTTTTCAAACATTGAGTCCATCACTTTAGATAGTTGAATGACTTCAAACTTCTTGTTGGGTTTCCTAGCATCAGATGCAAATCCTAAAATTACTCAATTGTCTTGAAAGACAGACGCCAAGGTATTGTGAAGTTAATGCAATGCTGGAATTTAATAAACTTTACATTTTATAAAGTACCTCATTATGTCATTGAGATGTCTCAAAGCACTTCACAAGAATTACTATAAAGTGCAGTGACTGTGCATTTTGCAGGTGAACACTGAAGATTTTGGTTTAACATGTCATGCAAAGGACAGCACCTCCAACAATGCAGCACATCCCTAGTCCTAGTGTCAGCTTGGACTATGAGCTCAAAGGTTTGATGCAGAGCTTTTGGACTCAGAGACGAGAGTGAGACCAATTGAACTAGGCTGACATAGTTACAAGTGCAACTTATAAGTCTGAGTAATCTTCCCACCGTTTGTCCAGCTAGGATTCCACCCAACTGTTAAGGTGTTGGGTACAAAATATGTTTTGTATCCCTCTCCAACTCCCAATGATAATAGTAATAAATAATAATTTGATAATGGCATCTTTTTACATCCGTGAGATGTCTCAAAGCCCTTATCCCATAAAACAGGCAATTTTATCTCGGACACTGTTGGTCAGGACACCAGGAGAAACTTCCATCTCTTTGAGTAGTGTCATGGGACACTATTCATCTGTTTACTCTCTCCACAACTGTTTGCAGGACACTGGTGTGGAGCACAATTGGCTGCCATGTTTCTCCCACAAATACACAGTAAATCCACTTTACAATATATTCTGTGAAGCACTTTGAAACATCACAACAATGCAAGAATTATTATTCTGATTTTTTTTTACAGGTGTGGGTCTACACCATCAACTGGATACTGAGTTGAAACTTCCCGAATTCTTTTCATTTATTGCACTGACAAGTTAGATTTGCAGAGAAATTATTTAAATAACCTGAAAAGTCATGGGTTGGGGCAAGTCCCCAGAAAAGTGTTCCTGATGTTTGCAAAGATTTGCAGATAATTTTGAGCAAATTTGTCAACAAAACAAATAACCACTGCATTTTATAGTGTATTTTGTGAAGAGTTTGGGGAAGTCCTTCTGACATGAAAGGCATTATGCCAAATATAAAAGCATTATTAGTATTATTATTAAGCGGACAGATAATTAATGCAACAAAGAAGCAGGTTGAAACTTTCACAGGGTTTATTTTAGAGTTTAGAGTTTCTCATTCCTCATGGTAATCGGTTAATACCTCTACTGTTGACAAGGCTTTGTGATTTCACCAAACCCAACAGCTGATTGAGTTCATTAAGGCAAGTACTCACAAAGATGGAAACACCCTCAGTTTCTGCTCATCATCCTGCAGCAGGGTTGTGTATTTACTGAAAGAAAGTTCACGTACAGATCAATGGGTATTCTGATTAGCTTCTTAAAACCATATTCACTTAGATATCAACAGGATATACATACAGTGCAAATTAGTTTTTAAAAGATGACTAGATGATACTTGCAAAAATATACTGTCATTACATACTGCAGGTTTTCACAACACATCAGAGCTTCAATATCTCTTGGCAAGTTTGCTCTCCAATGAATCCTTTTCTTCCTTCTGACTTGGTCATGGATTGCTAAGTACCCCATAGTTGTCAGTAGATCAGGCAAGGCCCTTTCTTACATTCCAAATCCCACTGGCTAATTTGGGATTTAGTGGACAGGCACCCACGCTCAACTCTAGGAGGGGTTACTTGATTTGCGATTATTGTGTTCAATCCTGCTCACCCGAGGTGAAGAGATTAAGCTGTGATCAGAGGTTGAACAATACTGGTTTATATTCCACACAGCTGACGAGGTGGTCTGACTGAGGTCTTCAAAATAATAAGGATAATGCATCTTTCCTCTCGTTGGGGAATCCAGAATAAAGGGATTATAATTTTTCAATTTGATCTAAACAAGCTAGAAGTGGAGAGGGATAAAAACTTCATATCAATATGGGAGATATTAGAGGATTACTCACTCTTCATAGTATTCCAATGGCACAATTCCTTTGTTCTTCACAATGTGATATTCCTCTGGTATCAGACTATCGGGCAACAACAATTGTTTCTGTCACATGAAACCACAACATCAGCACAATTCAACTGAACTGAGAATTGGTACAGCATTCCCAGACCACCTAGCTTAAAAGTTATAGAAGAAAGAACTGGTATCTTGATAGTGCTTTATCACATAGAGATGCCTCAATGCGCATCAAAGGTAAATATCTCATCCAAAAGGTTACACATTCGACAACACAGCACTGCACTGGAGGCTAAGCCTAAACGCTATGCAGGAGATTTCAGCCCACTGATGCACTCAATTAACAATGTTCGCAGACTGATGCAAGTCTGATTCTAAATGTACCAAAAAATAACATAGTCACTCCACCTTACAGTATATCCAGTGAAGCTCTTTGAGATGTCCCCCTGCCATGAAATGCACTGCTCAAATGCAAGGATTATTATTATTGTGAGGAGCGCACCCCCCCCCCCCTCCCCCGAGGGGGATCAGCTCTGTGACCTCCTGCAACTGTACGAATCTGGCTGATCCTTTCAAAGCAAATACTGGCCTGGTTCATGATGACCCCCATCCTACCTCCCTAACCAACAGTGGGCAAGCGTTCAGCAATCCTACCCCCACTCTCCAGACATCTGGTCTGATTTACCTCCTCCTTCGCCACTTTCAAAACCCACCTCTTTAACTGCACTTTCGTTCATCTTCACCCCCTCCCCCCACCCCCCGCCCCAATCTACCCCACTAGCTATGGAAAGTGCTTTGAGACATCCTCCCAAGACGCACAAATTGCATAGTATGCTCACTCTCTCCCTAGAAAGAAAGTATTTTTCTCATTAAATTCCTGAGTTTAAATGAGTTGCAAGAGGTGAGGCTTGGAGACCCAGAGAGTCAGTTGAGCTACTGAACATAAGAACATAAGAATTGCTGGATGAAAGTAAACCAAAGTCCATTCAATTTGCCTTCCACCACCCTGGCAGTTGCATGCACATGTCGTGTCCCAAACTATATACTGTATCCCAAGATTTTATTTCCTAACAGAAATCTATCTGATTTTTTCTTGAAAGATCAAAATTTCTGTTTCCACCATCTCCCTCGGGAGCCTGTTCCATACGCTTACTGCTCGCTCATTGAATTAGTGTTTGCATTAACCAGCTAAAAGCACACAACTTACTATTTCTAACAGTGGTAAGTTTCCTACTACTTGTCCAGCTAGGCCTACCCTACTCATTGGAGCTTTGGTTTGCAGGGTTTGCAAATGGGAAGAATTCCAGCCCCCAGTGCCTAGTATGTTACCTGCTCTCTTGTGCTTGGGCTCAAGTTCATTGCAGGCTAGATAAAAGCAAAGATAACAGCTTTGTTTCTAACCTGTTTGGTCCATCCAAATCTATCACTTACTCACAGAGACAGATTCCTGGGACCGAAAAGCTCTTCGTAATACAGGGCGCTCCAACTTCTCCGAATATTTGGGAGCAAGTGCATCGTATATAAAGGAGATATCCCTACAATAAGATTAAGAATTTGAAAAGTTATAACAAATTGATCAAACTAAGTTATAAAAAAATCTACCAAGAAACAGATGCTCCGTACCGAACTACTCAACTGCTTTGACGTATATGGAGGTTTGAACAAAATACATCGATGATGACATTAACCACATTTCATTTACAAAAGCATGTTCCCTCTTGTTTCAATGAATAAAACTGCATTATTTTAACATGGGGAAGCATAAGCAGGAGACTGGAGCCAGTCAAGTGGAGGCGACAGGCATGAAGGGATTTGTAGACGAGGGTGGGGATCTTGAAGTCGATCCGTTTTGTGATAAGGAGCAGTGGAGCCTGGCAAGGACTGGTGTGATGGGGGCATGGAGTTTAGAGCAGATGAGTATACAGGTGGAGGAGTTCTGAATTTGTTGGAGTTTGTGGATAGTGGAGCTGGGGGGATTGGAATAGTCGAGGCGGGAGGTAATGAAAGCATGGACCAGAGTCTTGACCGCATTGGGTATGAAGTACAGTTGGAGGCAATGTGACGGAGTTGGAGGAAAGTTGGTTAAGGACCAGATGTGGATGCGAAGGTCAGCTGGGGATTGAACCGGATGCATAGATGACATATGGGTTTGGTAAGTCTTAGAGAAAGGCCAGGGAGGCTGAGGAAGTCAGAGCATCAGGAGCGAAGATGTTGATGGGGATCAAGGAGTATGACATTGGTCTTGTTGAGCCTTGGAGGCTTCGCAGGTGACCTGGTGGGGATGGCAGGAAAAAACGTTTGCAGAGACAAAGTGATGGGGTTGGTTAAACAGGACTCGAATCAAGCGAGTGCGGTCACACTGAGGGAGATACTGGATTTAAACCCATCATGGCTATCAATAATAAAAACACTTTTTATAAACAGTGGAGTTTCCCTGTAAAGATGCACTCTCTCATCATCCTTTCACTTTTCCCCCAAATCAGTTACCTTCCAGCTGAAGTAAACGAGACAGGTTGATCTATTAGGAAGTTCAGTTTTGTCCTCCGGGTTGTGTGATGCCATACAGCATCAGCTGGTCGGATACCTCGTATCTGGGAAGGAAGAGAATGTGGTTCATTTGGATGAAGGAGATTGCCCTGAACTGCTGAAAATTCAAGGAGGGCTGTCTTTATCCTATCACTGCCTGTGAAAAATAACATCCCCACATGTAAGGTTTTAAAATTTAAAAGTATGTGAAGTAAGCCAAAAATATTCTGAATGTCCAGATGTCTCTTATTGGAGACATTCCCAAAGATGTAGAAACAAGTTTTTATTTTTAAAACTTACTTTAATAGAACAACCAGCTAGTTGCTGCTTGGTTGAAACCAAGGTGACAAGCAATAAGGCTAAAGTGAAGCAGCATGTTTCCTATCAAACAGGCTACTTGTGCTCAGTGGGATTGCTATTGCAGAGCAAGTTATTAAACAGTCACCATTTTTCTAAAGCACTTGCAAATTTATGAATTTGGAAGATATTATCTCCTTACCTTCAAGTCTTTTGGAGTTTTTGTTAGTTTGGGTGGTCCAATGTAGAAGGGACGAGCACCCTTTACTGATGCATTTGTCAACTCTTGCAATATTTCATCAGGGATGAAGTCACTCCGGAAAGATAACGGAGTCTTCAATTGATTTTCGGGACAGGAAGCAACCTCTATTTCTGCAAACAAAGGTGCAGAACTAAACTAAATTGTGCGACATTTTAATTTGCAAAATAGTCTGAAACTGTATAATGGCAAAATGTGAAACAGTTATTTCTAGTTAATTAATGCAGGGTGATCTCATGTCGAGACATTTTTAAAATTACAGTATTTAAAACATCATTTTGGCCAGTCCACTGACTATCAGGAAAGACAAAAACAAATTGGAAAAATTCTTTGTAATACTAAATAATTATTTTCAAAGGACACGACGACAATGAATTTTGACAAATATGTCATTCCATTTGTTCTGCATTTACCTTCGCTTTTTGTTGGTTCTTCATTGACTTCTGCAACTGTGGGCACTTTCGTTTCTTTGAGTTTTGCCCACTCAGATCCATCCACTTCGTTAGTAACAGTAAGTTCACTAATATCATTGGATATTCTAATGACCCCTTTGTTAGATTCACTTAAACTTGGTCCTAAAAAGCACACAGCATAGCAATCAATAATTTTCAATTACCATTGTACCTATTAGATTATTGTAGTACCTATTTCTACACATAGACAACACACTCAAACACAATATATATGTGAAACAAAATTTTCCAAACCATTTATACCCCTAAATACTTCTTACTAAGTCCTAACTCTGAGAAAGAAAAAAGCCATACATCAATTATGTACTCTACCTGACCCACCCAATCCAATCACCTAAGGCCAGATCTCTCTTACGAAAGGAAAATTATCCACTGCTCCAGAAAGTCTATTTGACTTCAGACGCAACATTATTCAGCATTTTCTTTCACTTCTATTTACTTCTATTCAGACCATAGGCTTTTTTTTAAATGAAAAGTGTGTGGGAACTCCTGCTGTATAATAAAATTATTTTTAAAGCAAATGTTATAAACTCTGTAATCTGTAATTTGTACGATAACATTTAAAATCTAGTGCAACACTAGACCACAGTTAAATTTAGAGTTGGGAGGGGGAGGAGAAAAATCAGCCAAAACCTCCTGCTTCTGATTACAAAATACATAGTCAATCCACTTTACAATACATCCTGTGAAGCGCTTTTAATATCAAATGCTAGGATTATTATTTACAAAGGTGACCATGTGTTGAGGGCTGAATTTCAGCATGATTTGAAGACCATCCATGGGATGGGACCCCCTCCCCCCTCAGAACTCCATATACTTGATAGTTCAAAGCACTGATGCTGCTAACACAAACTCCAACCATCAACTTTAATTCTTCCATCTCCGGTCTGCCACCTTCAATAGTAGCGAAGGTATTGGGGAAGCTGAACAGTAGCTCAGAAAACTATGTCACAAATGATTTAGCCTTATGAAGCTGGTAATTAAATAAAATCGATTCCTAAATAAATATTGGGGAGGTGGGGTATTGTTTTTGCACAAATCCTTAATTATCTTTCATGTCAGTCTGGGGAAATACCCACACTCTGCGGATGCTTCTTGAAAACCTTTCTCTTCAACCGTGCTTAAGGCAACCTCCCCCAACAGGCTTCGCCACTGTTAAGCGCTCTGGAGGACGCTATATAAGTGCAAGTTGTTGCTGTTGAACAGTGTTTAATACACAGTCTTTTCTTTAGAAGATAAAGGCACTGAAAATAAAATTTCAATTAATTTGCCTCATTTTTATTTGTGGGACAATTACTAGTGTAAATATATTAATCCTTATATTTGATAGAGCTTAGAACCATAGAAATTTGAAGGAGCCAGCACAGCACAGAAGGCCATTTGGCCCTCTGTGTCTGTGCTGGCTCCCTCAAGAACCATTGGTCTAGTTTCTTCTTGTTTGGGTTCTCCATCTCAAAACTCTTCCCAAGACAAACTGTAGAGTGTAGTGACTGTATTTTGTGGGCAAAAGTGGGCAATATAATGTCTCACAAAGAGACATGAAGTGAATGATCAATTTTATTTAATTAGATTGGCTGCTGGGTTTTATTTGAGGAACAAAATTCATATACATATTACTGATCATCATCCTTTCATGATTATGTTAATAATTTAAGTTCCATCTGCTCTATAATTCAGTTGAGCATAAAGGGACCCAGCGACTCATACCTCTCCTCCCACCACCACTATTTCAAAGCAAATTGTAGTTTTTCTCTTGATTATTGTGACTTTTATTGCCTCCTCATCCTCAAATTACATGAATTCCGTTTCTCATTGTTTCTGGGTTGTTGTCCAGAACATCTACTTGATTTGCCTATTTAATGGGCCTATTTTGTAAAATGCTTTAAAAGACGTGAAAAGCGCTACATCAAATGCAAGGATTATTATTATTTTACAGATAATGCGCTCTATCATAGAAACATACAGCACAGAAGGAGGCCATTCGGCCCATTGTATCTCTGCCGACTCTTTGAAAAGAGATATCCAATTCAATCCCACTCCCCCGCTCTCTCCCCATAGCCCTGCAAACTTGTCCTCCCCAAATAATTATCTAATTAACTATATAAATGCAAGTTATAGCTGAATCTTTTAAAAGATTTAAAAAGCCCATGATGGTGGCATTTGCACTTTGAATTCCAGCTTGGTCCTTTCAGTCTTTGCCCCACGTTTACCTGATGACAAGGTAATGTCTGAGCTCTGACTAGATATTTCATCTTCAGATTTTGTCTCCTCATGTATGATAGCAGATAGTTTCAACATGTCTAGTAAAACCTGCAGTTAAAACACATGTAACCATTGCTCATTAGTTTCCAATTCAACCATAACCACCATTTGCACATATAGATCGCATCATCCAACACTGCAGATCTAAATCTAAATGTTCCTGAACTTTAAATCCTAAATATCTGAAGCAAAATGGGAAAAGTCCTATCCATCATATCAGTACTTTTCCCAAACCGTCTGATCTCCCGAGGAAAGAACTTCAAAGTTTCTCTCTGTTCCTGATCTCACAGAAAGGTAATTAAGCAAAACTTTACGAGATGCATCTAACTTTGCGCTTAACAATTTTCATCCACTACATTTACGTTTGAATTCGGGTCCAATTACAATTTGTTTTGAACAAAACCTTTGCTTTGTGACTAGCTTTCATATTTTAGAAAACAAAAGGGCTGATGGGCTCAGAACTGCAAGTGCAGACCATCTTCCACACCATTCTTCACAGCGAGCGCGACAGGTTATTTGACGGTGACGGCTAAACACAACGCGTTGTCCTTCCCTCACGTCCCTGCATTCACCTTTTGCAAAAGGGAGGCAGCTTTCCGCAATACCAGGCAGAGCCTTCACCGCAAGGCTTCCCGAGGGTACAGTATAACCTTCGGCGTAAGAGAACGCAACCGTTAATTGTGCTTAAAAAGTGAAGAAGAAAAACAAACTGTGCTTGATGACAACAGGCAAGGCGATGCCCATTGGTTTTGTTCGGCCGCTGAACGCAGCAGAGATTAGGTCTCGCGCTGTTCAACGTTCTCCTTCCCCGGAGACGTATGTGATTTTCTTTCTCCAGAGGTGTGGGTTGACCCTCACCCTCACCCTCACCGCCGCAGTGTCCCGCAAACAGCGGTGGATTGAAAATGACCGATTTATTATTGTTTTTGTATTGTTTTGGAGGGGTTGTTATCCGGGGGGGGGGGGGGGGTGGGGGGGGGGGGTGGGGGTAAGGAAACTTGCCCAAAGCTTCGCCCTCCCGGGAATTGAACCCAGGCGTCTCGCTTGCAAGGCGAGTGCTCTAACCGCTGAGCCGCAGGAGCGAGGCGGACACATGTCAAGAAGGAGATGGTGTGGTGGCTACGGCGCGGGTTAAAGGCCAGAGAGCCGAGAGAGAGACGGTTACCCACCTGGTCGGTGTCCGCGACCACTGCGCAGCCGCCCAGACCGGGCGTCTCCCCGTTGCTAAGCGCGGTCGCTAAGTTACGTGCCCGCGTGGCCCCGTCGCCACGGCAACCGACCGACCGTTTGGAATTTCAAGCCGTTTCAAATCCCGGCGCTCGCTCTCGCTCTCGTTCGCGTTCCGTTCGCCCGGGAAGAATCTTCTCGAACGGCCGCGCGAAGGATTCGGCGGCGTGTGGGAACGGATCGTGGAGTCAGTCGGGCGCGCTGCGGGAGACCGGGGGACAGGGTCCTGCTGTTGCCTGGCGACGTCGGTCGCACGGCGACGGCGTCAACACAACACTGCAACGGGAGACGGCGAAGGTGAATCCCCCCCTCCCACATATACTCCTCCCCCCCCATACTTACACAGCATATGCCTCCCTCCACTCCCCCCCAAATGTATACACAGCATATGCCTCCCTCCACACTCCCCCCCCCCCATATATACACAGCATATGCCTCCCTCCACACTCCCCCCCCATATATACACAGCATATGCCTCCCTCCACTCCCCCCAAATGTATACACAGCATATGCCTCCCTCCACACTCCCCCCCCATATATATACACAGCATATGCCTCCCTCCTCCCTCCCATATATACACAGCATATGCCTCCCTCCTCCCCCCCCATATATACACAGCATATGCCTCCCTCCTCCCCCCCCATATATACACAGCATATGCCTCCCTCCTCCCCCCCCATATATACACAGCATATGCCTCCCTCCTCCCCCCATATATACACAGCATATGCCTCCCTCCTCCCCCCCCCCATATATACACAGCATATGCCTCCCTCCTCCCCCCCCATATATACACAGCATATGCCTCCCTCCACACTCCCCCCCATATATACACAGCATATGCCTCCCTCCCCCCCCCCATATATACACAGCATATGCCTCCCTCCACCCCCCCCATATATACACAGCATATGCCTCCCTCCTCCCCCCCCATATATACACAGCATATGCCTCCCTCCTCCCCCCCCCATATATACACAGCATATGCCTCCCTCCACCCCCCCATATATACACAGCATATGCCTCCCTCCACCCCCCCATATATACACAGCATATGCCTCCCTCCACCCCCCTCCCCCATATATACACAGCATATGCCTCCCTCCCCCCCCCCCCCATATATACACAGCATATGCGTCCCCCCCCATGTATACACAGCACATGGCTCCCTCCACCCCCCATATATACACAGCATATGCCTCCCTCCCCCCATCTTTCCCTGTTCCCCCCCCCCATCTTGTTTTGCATCACACCGGCAGGTTAGTTTGCCATATCAGTGACTTAAAGCTGGAGTCACAGGCACCCACTTTAAAAGAAATGTTTCTTAAGGAGGTTCAAGGCAAAATTGAATTCAGAGAATTCAGACTCTGTGAGACGTCAAGTGATAAGACACAACTAAGTTTATTGGGAATTTTAAAGTACAAGTTACAAGAAACGATTGGTATCAAAATATCCTGCCCACTTCACAGCAGCAACAGGACAGGTTTCCACAGTGACAGTACAAATTGGAAACTGCTGGTACAAGGAGTAGCTATATTTTTGTGCCACTTGTATGGAGTTCTATTGCACTTCGCCTGACAACATAACATGAGCAAAGCCCGACTCAGGAACAAAGAGATAAAGAAAAATAAAAGTTACAAAACAATCACCATGTAACCATATCAGTTTTCCTCAACTCTCCACTTTGTCTACACACAGTCGAACAATCAGGGTTCGCCAACATGGAAAGCACAATCTATATAAAGGAACTGTCTATTCGGCCTAATGCCATCTTCGCATGGTGAGTTTTTGTGAGGCAGCATGCTAAAACATTGCTCCAGCAGTTCTTGGGCAGAATACATTTTTTTTATAAATTGCACAAGGCTGCACACTAAAAACTCTGTATAACAGGTGCCAAAAGAGCAATTCATCTGCCATTATTGGCAGAAAATTAAGATCTTGCAATATCCACAACATAATTTTGCTCAACTGTAGTTAGATTGGTAAGGATGATGCTGTATACTCTCCTAGTCTCTGACTTTGCTTGTTTGACTGAATTCCCAACGAGATCTAGCTAGCACAAACATTTCACCCAAATATTTATCTCCTAGGCATATTTATCAGAATGTAATACTCTTATGTGTGGTTCTATGGAAAACTGACAAAAAGTGGCACAGCACAAATTCGCAAAGAAATGAAACTCCTGCACCGAATTAAGTTTGTAAGCCCATTTCTTATCCAGTTGTACACAAACATTTGTCTTCAACCAATTACCCACTGTAGCTTCTACAGACGTATGTCACAGGTAGTAGAGGAGTCTTCAGTTCACTGGAATATTGGTTTGATACAAAAGAGTTTCTTTAAACAAATGGACATGTTAAATTCTGAAAACTGAATCATTCAATGATCCACATCAAATGGCAGTATGGTGCAATGTCCAAATTAAAGTAGTCACTTTATAACATCATAATTTTGTTTCATTTCAGTTATACATCATTATAAAAGGCAACAATTAAGAACTAGATATGGTACAGGGTATAACTAATGCAGAAACAGGTACTTTACTGATCAAGTGCCTATAAAGACAACTACTGACCCCCGTTCCGTTTTTCAAATTCCACTGAAGCAGACTTTAGTCACCATTCCCAATGGCTTCTGCATGTACAGTGATAATTATTTCTGACCTTATCTTATATCTAAATTAGTTTATCCCCAAGAGGAAAACCTGCTCTTGAATTTCACAAACAGAAAAATCTATCCTCAACAAGCATTAGATGATGCACTTTGATTCCTGTCTAACTAGAGTAAATTACCAATGCGTAGAAGATGCTATCTTAGGATAAACACTATGTAGTCTCAATGATGGGGTCTAATTTGCAGGTTGTGCTAACCATGGAAATTTCCCTGCACCAGAAATGGAATGCATATTCTCTCCCTGGAGAGATGTCATCTGCTTACCTTATTCCAAAATATTAGGTGCAGGTCGGCAAGAGCCAAGGCTTGGGGACTCCTGAATGTGCAATGGGGTACTGCTGGACTTCAACCAGCTAAACTGCAAAGCTTGCTGTTGGTAAATGATGTCCATCCTACTCAACAGGGTTTTGGCTTGCAGGGTAGGAAGAATCCCTGCTTCCAGCGACTGCTCTATCCCTCCCACCGCTACAAATCCTGCCGATTATCCAGACAATGAGGAGGATTAAAATCACTGCAATCCTTTACAATGGCTAATTACGGGCATCTGCAATTCTTCTTTAGACATAATTAGCAGAAACTGCTAAATCAGCCCCCTATATCTCCTTCCTTTTCCCACCCAGGTTAGAAATGTTTGTTACTCTTGCATTAAAAAAAGAAGATCATTTTTAAAAAAACATTTTGGCACAAAATAATAACCTTGGCACAATTCGCTTAATCACAATGATTTGGAAGGACAGACCATATACAGTATATATCACATTAACATCCAGACTGGGGTGTAGATTGGGCAGGGAGGCAGAACAAACGAGATAAAATCTGCATAATACAAGCAGCAGAAAATAGATTCAACAATTCCTCCCCTAAATCATGGAAATGGGAGTGCATTTTTCAAGAACACAGACATTTTAGGCAAGGTCAATCTCTACAGATAAAAACATATCCTAGCCTCCTATAAAGAATCAACGAGTTCTGGTAACACATCACACACAAGTCAAAGGTTTAGGTTACCATAACATTGTATCCGTTCTGTTTTACATTACTCTCACCCTTTTCACATTGGTTCTGTCCTTCCCTCTATGTCTGATGCACAATGCAACACAAGAAAACAAATGTATGATTATTGTAAAATACAAGATCTGTGTCAGTGAAGTGCAAGTCGCAACTCAATCCTTTGGTTCTTCTGATGTCCATAAACCTCTCATGTTTATTTCTTGTAGTTTCTCATCAGAATCACAGTATTCAACTGAATCACTGCCTTACAATTCTCTGGCAAGTTATATATCTTCCATAGGTATGCATGAATTTGCGTGCAAATGTCCGCACACTGGCTGTGTGGTGCAAGGGTCAAGTAAAACAAGTTAAATCAAATATTCAAGTAATCTAACCTCTCCCCCAATTCATACACCTGTTAAAAAGAACATTGATACAAGAATCTGGTACAAATACGGACTGCATATCGAGCCAGCTTTATATATTTTTAATCAGATATTTCTGCCTATTCATGCAATAGCCTGTCTTTCACAAGGGCAGCAGGGACATTTGTTCTGAAAGAAATTCGTCAATATGTGGCTAACAGTGAAAAGTATTTTCTACGATAGACTCTTGGGCAGTGAATGTTTAATATTTAAGTCCAAAATGGAAACTATCCATAACTGAATAAAGTACAGATTTTTCCATGAGATGACACTCTTTGAGATGGAAGTGTCCCATATGTACCTTTGCTGACAAAGGTCCAAGACAACACATTACACAAGGACATTAATATATTGCAGACATTGCGAGACAAACACTTGTGGCGTCGCATATTACTTTCAATTTGTTACTTACTACAGAATAGAGAAAGGAACAAAATGTTGAGATAAAGAAGTTAGAAATGTGCAAGTACCAACAGCCTTTCTTTCCCTTTCCCACCCCTCCAAAAATCATGGTTCATGTAAATAGCACATGAATAAAAATCCCTGCTCTCGCAGTTCAGATGTATTTAATATATACAATTAAATTGCAAACAAGTATAACGGAATTTTGCTAGTCAGCAAAATGCAAGCAACATATGTTTGAGCATTTGTGCTGTAACACTATGAGGCCTCACATGAAGCTCCCACCTGGCAGAACAACAGGGATCCTTCATATCAAAACAGCTCTGTCGCTACAAATCAGGATAAGTGAAGTATGTGAACGTGCACAATAAAGGATAGAAAATCAATGCAATTATAAACCATAATCATTTTTTTACTTCAAATGTTTTTCAGTTGGCTGGAATATACAAGATATACAATTCAGCAGACTTTTCGTGCTCTCCAGTCTGCAATTTTAAACCAATCAACCTATTACTCAAAATGGTTACTAACGGTGGCCTCATTCTGCAGTACTTGGGAGCTGCAAAACAGACTCAAAATAACTTATTGCCTATTCAGTGTCTATAACTCACAAATTAATCTCGAACAAAAATTTTACAAGGTCCCTTTCATGGACACATTCAATCTTCAGTTAAAAGATAGCAACAAACACTGATTTACTGTGTTCCCATTTTACACATCTTTGGATAACATAACTGTGTTACATGTTTTGTATAAGATGTAATTCACATCTGATCTGTGCTCTTTCTCTTAAACCGAGAGCACCTTACTGCGTAATCTCATATTGAAAATACTGCAAGTTAGAACTGAATTATTCCCCCTCCGCTCAACCCCAAAGAGGAACAATATATACATGTTTAAACAAATAAATTGGTGTTGAAATTGAAGATTTCTCTATTGGACAAATAAGTGACTAAAACCAGTGAAGCAGTATACATCTAAGTGTGTGTGGGGAGGGAGGGAAGGTTTCAGAGCTTAGGGAAGTAGCACTTTCATGAGCATCATACATTTTGGTGGTCAAGGAGACATTGACATTAATAATGAGCAGGGACAAGTTGTACTAAATTTACTTAGCAATGCTGCATCCCCCGACCTACCCAGCAATATATATCTTGACTCCAACTTCTTTTATAAGGATTGCAAGGTAGAGTTCCTTCAGTTTACACAATTCACACCTTCTGTTTGAACACGCTATATTGTTTGGAGTTAGACACAAGTCCCAACAAGATGCTCCCAAGAGATCTGAAATGTAGTGAAGTCTTGGTCATTTTAAAGCCACAGCCCTTTCCAGAATTACAGTTATAGTAAATATTTGGTGTTATAATTATTTATGTAGCACTCTGAGAAGAAGGGAGGGCAGGAGAGGTAATCGAATTCGGTTCTAACTTTTACATGTCTCAGTAAATATGCAAAACAAGACTAAACTGATCCCAAACGTTTCATATTCCAACACAATAAAACATAAACTAAATGTGAACTGTAATAAGCAGCCACCTATCTGGAGCAAAGTTATTGCATATGAAATAGTTTTAAAATCCCTACAATTCTAACAAAACCCCACTGGCTTCTCATTATTTAAACTGAAACCACTGAAGGAAACGTCTAACTTATCAGCTACTAAACTGATAGTTCCAGAATGGAAGCCTTGTTCAAAATCCTGAAACTACTCCACATTAAATGCATTGTTAAAAGTAATCGCGCTCCTTTGTGCCTTGTGTCATGGACGGATGATGAAGGCAGTGGAGCTAGAATGCAGCCCAGGATATCAATGGAACAAGCCCTCGATTGCAGGGGCCTGTAGAGTTTTGCACATTGACCTAAACGAGCTAGCATGGATTTTTCTCAGCACCCATTCCCTGAGGCGCTTGGACCTTCATGTAAAACCACCAGTGAGAGGACATTGCAGCTTAAGGCGTGATATGAGAAAAAATAATAATCCTTGCATTTGATACAGCACTTTTTATGTCTTCTAGACGTCTCAAAGCGCTTCACAGAATAGATTGTAAAGTGATTTGACTGTATATTTGTGGGTGAAACTCAGCAGCCAATTATGCACAGCAGTATCCCACAACAGTCATGGATTGAAGTGACCAATTTATTATTGTTTTTTTTCTTGAGGGATTATTATTGGGCGTGTGGAGTAAGGAAACTTGCCCAAGGTTTTTCCCCTGCTGGGAATCGAACCCAGGTCTCTCGCTTGCCAGGCTCGTGCTCTAACCACTGAGCTGCAGGACTCCACAGTGTGAATTACAGACACCCACCAGAATGGGCGCTGACAAAAATCCATGTTAGCTCATTTAGGTCTATGGACAAAACTCTTCAGGCCTCTATAATCAAGGGCTTGTTCCATTCGTGTCCTGGGCTGCTTTCTGGCTGCACTCTACAGGTTTAACACTCATGATATCTTTGTATTGAAAACTCAAATCTTATCAATACTGCATTTTGGTTTGTTCCTTTTAAGCCAGAGAAAAATAAAAGTTGAAATGAGGCTTTTTAAAAAAAATTCAATTGGCACTTCTGCACTCAAGTGAGAATATCTATTGTGTCTAGTGTCTATCGAGAGTGGACATGTGCTTCCAAATAAACAAAAACCTAATCAAAGTTTTCATTTGCACCTCATTTCTTTTACTCAGAGAAAACATTTCAGACCTTCTTCCTTCCCCACCATCCCTTTCAGTCCCCCACCCCCCCCCCACCAACCACCCCATAACCCCAGCATCAGTATTTTGTTTGTAAAACTTTTTCTAACCACCACTGCAGGAGGTGGCTGCTCGAAACAGGCTGCACAGCATTAACTTCAAATACAGCCTGTGATTGACGGTTCAGGGAAATGCTTGGCTCTTGGACCACAAAACCTAATAGAAGACACAAGCAGGCACTATCTGGTGTGACGGAAACATTCATTTGGTTTACGAAGGGCGTTTCCACAGTCCAGCGGACATACATTCCCAAATATCCGCAAGACGAGGGTGGGGGTCCTCTGGTCGGATCCATTAAGAGTGTGAACGGCAGGTCCACGACCGAGGCTTCAGCAGGTCTAAGAAGGAAGGCTGCAGAGAAACAAACAAAAAAAATCCCCTCAAAATTCTACAAAACAGATTAATTGTATTGACAGCGATTAATAAATAATCCTTGCATTTAACATAGGCTCTTATCAGAGTATCAAGACATCTCAAAGCTCTTCACATGTTTTAAAGATCTCATGGCATTATTCAAAAAGAGAAGGAAGTTTCTTCCGGTGTCCTGGCCAATAAATCCCCTCCAAATAAAATTGGTCACTTATTCCACGGCTGTTTGTGGGACTTTGCTGAGTGCAACTGATTGCTGCGTTAGCCCACGAAATAGTCAATCCATTTTACAGTACATCTTGAAGCGCTTTGAGACGTCTTAACAACGTGATAAGGTGCTATATCAATTCAAGGATTATTGTTATTTTACTGTGAAGTGTATTTGCAGGCAAATTAATACTATAGTCCACGTCAGTGATCAGTATCTGGGTCCTCCACCTATCTCTGTGTGAACTGCCAAGAGATGTTACAACTTTTTTTTGCTCATTCACCTCCAAGTGGCTGGTTGAGAGCAGCAATGGCCTGAGAGACGGTTGTCCGGTCAGAGAAGAAAAATGAGATGAGATCTGTATTCATCTATATTGAAAATCCGTCATAGGTAATAGGTCATAATTCATAATACAGTTGCTCACTTCTCTTTTTAACCACTGTCCTCCCCCACCCGTTCATCATAGTGAGTCAACCCCAAAACAATCTGCCTCAATTGTGAAATCTATTGCATCAGACATTTTTTAAAAAATACAATCGAGAGGAACCTTGATGCATGAGAAAGTAGTGAATAAAATAGTGTAGGAGCTTGTTTCAGTGCTGTACGGTCGATGTAGTTCTACGTAACAATTCTTTCAGTCACTAAAGATGTTTGTCTAGACGTAGGCAGTCATTAGACTATTGAGACGTTTTGATGACACGATAAGGCAAGATATCTTTGAACCAGGTATCAAATGTAAGGATTATTATTGTTTATACAATCTACCGTAACTTTATAAGACAGTCCTCCACTCGTAATTAACTTTGCAAACTCAGTTTTGTCGATGAAACTTACATTTTCAAGTGGGCAGTGCTGCTGGGCATACCACTCCTGAGAGTATAAACACACTAACATGCCCTGACCCAGAAACAGTGACGTCCACATCACCACGTTCCACACCGGTCCTTTCCGGCGGTCATGCAGCACAAAATTGAAAGCCACTAATAGATAGAAAAAAGAAAAATGATGGGAGACATAAAACCACAAACACTCAGCAAGAATTTTCCAACATCAGCCCCACAAGTTCTTAATTTATTTCATTGGAATACACAATGGATACCCAATTTTTGTCTCAGATAAATCAAGGGTTGACTTAATTAAGCTGCATTTAATGACCTTTTTGAAATATATACATTTTGCTTTAATACATATACTGATCCCTCAATCACGTCTTAATCCAATATAACCAGACGAACAGCATAATTAGAAGAGAAAAAAAGATACTTACTCCCAAAGCACATGAAGAGGCAGAAAAGGACTGGATAGAAAAACCCAAAACAAACAGCCAACACGTACTCGTGAACGATAGCAGACACCGTGAAGACGGACAACATAGCAGCAGCTTAAACCGGTGAGTAAACAACTGTAAATTGACAAGAAATTCAACAGAGTTAAGTCAGAAATTCAAAACGAGCACTATTGATAAAGTATTCCTTTATAGGCAGCTGGGTAGTCAATGGTTATAAGGTTTACCATTGACCTTTTGATTCTGGTATACTCCAACCTATTCAATTTCTTGTTAGGTAAAAAGATTAGTCTGAAATGGAGGTGGTTTTGCTGGTCTGAGCTGATCAGATCATCTCAACCAAGGTGCTTCTATCCAATGATAAGAGAAGGAACATCAAATCTAATAAACAGCAAACAATTTGCATTAATACAGTGCCCTTCGTGAAGGACAACATCTCAGAATGCTTCACAGTGGTGGGGTTGGATACTAATTGGGATTTGAAAATCGAAAAGAGGGGGTGAAGCGGAGAGTTCCAGATATTGAACAGCAGTATGTGGCAAAGGGTGTTGTCCAGTAATACACCTATGAGCTATTATACACCAAGGCCAAGTGGGTAGAAGACACATACGGAGTCCTGTAGAGTAGTGGTCAGCACACTCACTGCGCAAGCGAGAGGACCTGGGTTTGATTCCTGGACAGGGCAAAACCTTAAGGCACATTTCCTTACTCCACATACCTCTGTTTACCTAGCAGTAAGTAGGAACCTGGTTTTTAGTCGACAGGTGGACCACAGCTGTTGGGACACTGCTGTGAACAATTGGCTGCCACATCTCACCCGCAAAATACACAATCAATCCACTTCACAATATATTCTGTGAAGTGCTTTGAGATGTCTCAACGACATCATAAGGCGCTATATCGAATACAAGGATTATGAAATATTATTATGTGAGAAGAGTTTGAAAGGGTCCGTGAGGAGAGGTTTAATTGTAGAACATTTTTTGATCCGTGTATTTTCAATGACAATTCAGGTTTGATTTTAATGACACCTCAGAGCTTTAAAATGATTGTTAATTCCCTTACCCAAAGGAAGTCCCTGTACGCATAATAATACAGCCAGTCATGGACCACAACGTTCCAAGTGCGGTAATAGTTGGCAAAGGATGTGGAGTTCCACCAGTCCTGAATGGAAACGTACAAAAAAAGAGCATTTATATCTACGTTCATTTCAATTTAGCTCTCACTGTTTGAAAGAAAATATATTCAGTTGAAATGCTGCATCATCGTAATAAGTGGTATAATGGGAAACCTCTCTACACACACCGTTTTTCTCAGTCATACTGGAGTAGAGATTGCACCCTAGTCAAGATTTACTCTGATTTTTCTTAGCATTTCAGCACACCCAGAATTTGGCAAACTCTTCAAAAAAGAGTTAATCTTGAAGTTGGTTTTCTGTAAATTCTCACAAAATTATACTATTGGTTTGGATGAAAAAGACCCCTTGGCTCATCTGATCCAATCTCTCCAGAACATCCATCCTACTGTTCCCCCATCGCCCCAATCACAGCATCAAGCTGCTTTTTAAATGAGTCCAGTGTCCTGGCTTCAACCACCTTTCTGGGCAACCTGTTCCAGTCATTAATAACTCTGAGTAAAGAAAAAGGTGCTGGCAACTATCCGGAAATTACCCCTTTTTCAACTCTAAACCATAAGAATCTCAGGAAAAAAAAAGCTTCAAAGTTAAAATTTAATTAAACAAATTACCAAATTCTGCCCTCTTTGAAACGTCACATAGAGTATATCGAGACTCAGGTGGAAATTCTTCCTCATTATGCTCATTACTGGGAAAGAGTTTATTTATCAGAGAGAAAGTGAGAGAAGGAGATATCAAAATGCTTTCTCAACTTAAAAGGTCAAGACTAAAAAAAACTACCTTGTAGAACATCCTGTCAGCGAATTGTAACATTTCGGCAAAAGCATTCAGCCAGCAGTGGAGGAATGAAAAGAATGCGAGGAACAGCACGAGCACACCTGAAATACAAACCCCAAAAAGGAATCAACAGTGAGGCAAAAAGAAAATAAGTTTTACAAAGTTTGTCATCTTCTGCTCATTTTCTCTTCAGGTCTCCCGCAATCTCAGACAGCTATGTCATTTCGATAGATTCACGGACTTAACCGCATTAATAAAAGGCATGTCCATTCACTCCCTTACATAATTTGCTTCTCACTGAATGTTCCAGATTCCTGTCTGCCATAGCTCTATATAAAAAAATTCTGTGCTCCAAGATATCTGATCAGGAGACAGTCCCGCAACCAATTATCTCTCCTGAATTTTCTCTTACAGAGAGCAAGGGTAACAAAGGGAACAGCGTTGCTCAATGAAGACATATCAGACAGCAGGCAGTGAAAGGGGTTCCCAGTGGACTGGGGGAAACCAGAAAAAAAATTGAAACGTTAATGTCAACCTATATATAAACCTCACTTGGTGTAGTTGCTATCACCATGCAAAAGCCAGAATTAGAGAGGGGTAAATGGATAAAACTCTTCTTAAAGCTAACATGGATTCGGCTTCAACACAGCTCCCGGCCGGGCATTCCATATCCTAATGACAGTGCATGAAAAAATTCTCCTAACCTCCCTATCTGCTAGCTTGCTAAATATTTTAAATTGATTATTATTATTAATAATAATAGTACAATAAGCTTTGAGAGCTGGCTCTTTACAACAACTTGCATTTGTATAGCGCTCCACATGCTGGGTAGCACCCAGAGCGCTTGACAGTGGCGGAGTACGACACTGAGCCGGGGGGAGGTGACGGTCGGAGAGGAAGATCTTGAGGTGCAACCTGAAGATAGAGAAGGGGGTGGCAAGACAGAGGGATCGAGGGAGAGTTCCAAAATTTTGGAGTGTAGTGGCTAAAAGCGCAACCCTTTCACCTCCCCCGAAGATGGGGGTTGAGATGCTAACCTGGCAAGATGGAGTTGAAGATACAAAGAACCAGGACTTTCAGACTGAATGGCTCCCGGCTGATATTCCGAAATAAAGGAATGCAGAGCCGAACAAAAATATAGTAGGCATAAAACAGGCACCCCAAAACCTGTAAGAAACCAGAATCAATGGTCAGCAGAGGAACATTTTTTTCTCTGTATCACGACACCGTGGTTGCTCTTACATAAAAGCATAAATGAATAAAATAATAATCTTTACATTATAGAGCCTTTCATTTTGGGAGGACATCCGAAAGCACATCACAGGACATACTGTAAAGTGCAGTGACTGTGGGTTTTATGGGTGAAACGTGATAGCCAATTTGCACACAGCAATGTTCCACACACAGCCATATAGTAAATAAATAAATTTTATTTGGGGGATTATTAGCCAGGACCTCAAAATAAAGTCCTTTCTCTTTTTGCCTTGGGATCTTTAAAGTTCACCTGAACAGGTTTAGTATGTCATTTGAAGGATGGCACCTCTGACAATGCAGTAGACACCCAGCACTGCACCTGAGGTAGAAGGCTGGAACCCAAAATCTTCTGCCTCAGATGCAAGAGTTCTAGCATCTGAGACAAGCTGACATAACATGGAAAGTTTCAATACAGAGAGGCTATTCGGCTTTTTTTTATTTTTTGTTCGGTACATTGCGGCTTTTTATTTATATTAGCCACCTTGATTATGAATTCCACCTTTCAGCTCTTTCCCCAAGTCTCTTCATGTGTTTTGCAAAAGAAGAGGTCATTTCACACAGTCAACGCAGCATGCAGATTGGCCATCACTAGCAGGATATTTAGCAGGATATTTCCATTACTGTTTTACACCTGCCAACACACTGTGCCACTTTGACAGGCTTTTTTTGTCAGGTTGCCATGAGGCAAATTTCTCTTTGGCAAAAAAACAAGTTTCAGTCAGCTGACAGCAGAGTGCAGTGAGCTGGCATTCAGAATAATGGGGATGGAGAGAAAAAAGGAGGCAAAGGACTTCATGTACAAACAACCTTTTCCTCACAATAGGGCAAAATATACCAGATGAATACTCAATGCAGCGGGGAAGGCACTGATAGTTACAGAAGCATATTGCAATAAGCAGATCTCTTAAAATAATGCACCTGTTCTTCCCTCTCCGCGCCTCATCTTTAACTGGATGGCATTTTGCCACAACTAAGTTAGGGAAAGGTCGCAAGGTTACAGTGACTTTTATTGTAAGAAAATGATTACCTGAGCAAATTTCGTAACAACATAGCCCCACCTAATTGTCGGGTTCCTGTAACATATGAAGAAGGCATTAGCACACATCTATGCAGAATTCAATCATCTAATCTTAGTTTTGATGAGTTTTTCCCTTTGCAAACAAATATACTGCTCAGGTCTTAAAGAGATAATTTTTATTCCATTATAAAATCAAAGGGGTCCGATAATGAAATCTAGTGTGCCACATACGCAAAGACCCATACAATATGGTCACTATTTCCAACGTCACTGCATCTTATACCAGTTATACCAGTTAGTGAGTTGCCTCCTCACTAAATAATAAAATACTTGATTTTGATGTAGTGGCTTATCGAGACATGGCAAAACCCTTCACTGATATCACCTTGTATTTGTATGCAAATGCAGCAGCAAATTTGCACACAGCAATATCCCACGAACACCAATGAAGTGAATGAACAATTTTATTTGAGTAATTGTTGGCCAGGACATCGGAAGAAACTCTGTTTTTGAATAGTGCCATGGGATCTTTGACACCCACCTGAACCGGATGATGATATCTCAGTTTAACGTCTCATTTGAAGCACGTCACCACCACAATGCAACCAGCACTAAACTGGAGTGTCAGTCTAGGCTACAAGTTCAAATTCCCAACTTAAACCCACATCTCTCCGAGTGCTATCAACTAAGCCAGGTTGGCACCTTGTGGAACGTGTTATCCTTGCTTACCTTGGATAGTTATCCCTATAGATGAGAGTTGGAGCGAAGAGGAAATACAGATATTGGGAGAAGTGCGGGACCTGCTGCAAACCAGCTGAAACACAACATAAAGATAACTGTCAAGGAACTGCAATTCTATTAAAACAAACAAAAGAAGGAACACAGTTCTCTGCCTTCAGTGAGGAGACTTTACCAACAACATCACCCCTCCACCGTAAAATCTCTCCATTAGCAAATCTAATGGCACAAAATGGGTTTGATTCCTGGGTTGGGTGAAACCTTAGGCAAGTTTCCTTACTCCACATGTCTTTGTTTACCTTGCAGTAAATAGGAACCCAGTTGTTAGTTGTTTGTGGCATACTGCTGAGCGCAACTGGCTCCCACATTTCACCCACAAAATACAATCAATTTACTTGGCTGTATATTCTATGAAGCACTTTGAGACGTCTTAATGACATAAAGTGCGATATCAAATGCAAGAATTAGTATTTTTATAGCGCAATATCAGATCATTGAGGTGTCTCAACGCACTTCACAGAACATAATCACACCGTTAAAACACTTATATCTACCAAGACAATTCTATTGTGTAGGGTTGGCACCTTTACGTTCCAAATGATTTAAAGAAGTTAAATCTTCATTGTAAGGGATAAAGTGGTGTGACTATGTTTTGTGGGAAAAATGCTGGGTTCCTTCGAGATGTAGAGGGGAGACCAAGTGATTCTACAATTTGGAGGGGGCGGGGGGGAAAAGAGGAGGAGAGTAGTTGTTAAAGTTGGTAAGAAGAGGGAAGCCTCCAAGTGGTGAGTAATGCGTACATGCCTTTGCAACACCTTCCCCAACAGCAAATACAGTGAGCAGACAACTTTATTGCTCAACTAACTGAGAAAGAGACTATCTGGGCAGTTTTAGAGTTCTCTTTTAAGCAGAACACAAACAGAAGATGCCTTCACAGCACAGAACTATTTGTCTTTTTCTAGTTTGTATCTGCTTCCCATCCCACCAACACCTCTTTCCCCCACAACACCACTGACAAACTCTAAACTCACAGTTCTTTTCTTTAATCGACATCACTCTGGATACATTCTCCCGTGTGAAGGAATGTGCTTTCATGATCAGACGGACCTGAATGAGATCAAAGTATGAGAGTGTGAGTCTAATTTGCATAGGATGCACCAAAAAAAACCTACTTGCATTGTGCTGAACTAATTTCTAAACTGCTGACCAAAATATTCCTGCATAGTAGTGTTACAGCTGAAAGGAGAGGGCGCCATAAAATCTCGCAGCTTCAGAATTAATGCCACACTCGCAGTCATGCCACAATACAAGGACACACAGGTTCACTTCACAAACTCCCCAAGACTTTCAATTTTAATTCAAGACCAGTCGTCACATCCGGTTGTCCTTGAATTGCCACGAAAATGGCAATTCAAACACAACTTGCTATCTATGTTCTCCAAAAGCATTTCGGTCACTCAATCCACGATTGTTTGTGGGACACTGCTGTGCGCAATTGGCTGCTGCATGTCACCCACAAAATACACAGTCAATTCACTTTACAGTATATTCTGTGAAGGGCTTTGAAACATCTCAATGCGCTATATCAAATGGAAGAATTATTACTACTACTAAGGGAAAGCAGCTGGCAAGATTGTAGCAGCTTTCTTAAAGGTTGTTGCAAACCAAACCTTTTCTGCGCTACTTTCTTGGCATTACAGGTGGACCTCAAGAAGTTGAAATGGAAATTTCTGTATCATTCAACAACAACAAGCTTCCATTTATAGAGCTCCTTTCACGTCGGGAGGACGTCCCAAGGTGCTGGACAGTTGGGTCAGGACCCGAGCAGGGGGGAAATGGTCAGGGTGAGGGGAGGGAAGGAGCGAGGAGGGGGTTCCTCACTAGTTCAGACTACCGTTGCATCTGCAGTGATATAGACTAAGATAAAAGAAAACCCTCAGACAACTCCTCAGTACACCTGGAAAGGTCACGTACCTGTTCTAATATAATAATAAACCTGGAGGCTGGAGGTAGATTGTAATGGATCACGATGTAGACTGGAGCGGTCCCCAAGCCCAGCATTTGAAATGACATGAATAAAAGACCAAAGCACACCAATCGCAGGACTCTGTGCTTCGATGCACGATGTCCGGACTCCCATTGGTAAAACAATCCATAAGGAACGAGGAGAGTGGACAAGAACATGCAGAGCCAGCTGGAGATGACAATCGGAAACCTTCCAAAGGCATAAACCAACAGGTCGAAATCGAGGACCAGCCTGCAAGATTGAAGAATGCCAAGTCAAGGCAAATGAGTTACGTGCACCGGCGGCAAAGGTATTAAGGCAGTAGTTGTAGAAAATGGAATTAAAAAGATTAAGAATGATGGATCTGATGTAAAAGAGCCCAAAACTCATCATTACCTTCCTTCGTCAATGAAATCCATCACCAGGGTGCTGATGATGAACACGATGAGTAAAGCGATGAACATGTGATAGATGGTCCGGATATGGTTCACTTCAAACAGCTCACTGAACGAGAGAGAGAGAGAGAAAAAAACTTGTCAACTCTCAGGACCAACCCAGTGCAGCGTCCTGTCCTCAATGAGAGGTTACAAACGGGTTAAAATCTATACGAATGACTAAACGTTGCAAACCTAAACTGATAAGTAGGAAACTTACTCCGCCAGCTGGTACAGTCAGTATTGAGAGAGACTTAGAAACAAGCCTACATCTTAACTGGTGAATGGTCTATGACTAAGTTCCACAATCAGCACACTTTCAGCTTTCCTTCTTCGTCTAAGCATTGGTATCTCTATCTTCACGTAATGCATTAAAAGTGCCTGATGGTAAGGCTCCGTCTTAAGCTCTCGAGTAGATGAATTTGATTTCAAGAGCAGAGTTTAAAAACACACAACCAGACAATATTTCCCATCAAGTGCTGGTTTCAGAAAGAATTTGACGTCTAATTCGAGGAATCCACTTCAACTCAAATGAACACAGCCTGATGCGGAGCAATGCTCAGTCATCACAGTAAATGCTGTAACATCTCTCCTTCCCACCACCAGCTCCCCTTATATTACAAATGTCAAACAAACTGACTTTTCCAGAAGGTGATTCATTTAATGTGAAGAAATAAATGGCTGGGCTCCCAATGGGATGACTTGTACGTTCCCTAAAATCGGTGAGGATTCCTCCGCTTTGGGGTTCAGGTTAGGAAACCCGGCTTAAAGAGTTATCTGCACCGCCGGCAAAGGTATTAAGGCTGCCCTGCCCCCCGTTTACTGTGCTAGTGACAATTTCAGGGTTTCAATATTTGACCAGAAAGGCAGTCACTTGTTCGATATTCTTTTGTGTTCAGCTGATACTTACTCAAGCAGCGATCGTCGAGCCATGAAGTGTTTTCCCTTTTCTGGGGGTGCCCGCGTTTGTCTGTAATCAAAGCAGAACTACCAATACCATCTTTTAACAGCACCCAAACGTTTAACACTTACTCGGTATTTCTCCAAGCTAATGCAAAAAACTATTTCCCTAAAGATACACCAATTGCATCAAAATTGAATATATGCCTGGGTAAAGATGCCACAAAAATTAACTTTGCTGTGATACTTTGAGATACAATCAAGTGTAACATTCAACACACGGTACCTAATGTGTGGTATCATAGAGGAATTCTATCTCCCACCATGAATTACAATCATAGGCACAGACATTATGTTCCAGGTTGGACTGACAACAATTTTATTCCACATACAAAGGTCAATGGTGAAAAACCGTATCAAGGTCACAGGCAGAGGATCCTGTTACCCCCCGTTTTTTTTCTTGCAAAATTTTTTTATTTTTTGTTGCAAATGATTCGAGTGTAACAACGTCTAATACCAGTAACTTCCTCACCACTCCATCCAAGTTATAGAAGATGCTGCACTGAACATGGCAATGGATCATTATCTGCCACGAAAATGATGGTGCTCACACACACCTATCCTCTGCACCTCTAAATACATTTAAAAACTTGTACTGAATACAATGAACTACTTCTAAATACAATTATCATCATTCTTCCATGCGTTTCAGTGTGTAAAAAAAAAACATGGGGGTAACAGGACTTTGTGAACACCCTGTGGAGTAGTGATAATGAGAAACTCAGTGCCAGTACTGCCAGCAGTGCTCCATTGCAATGTATTCTGCCCCCAATGCATCCCTTCATCTACCTCCAATGTTAATTGCTCCCCAACACTACTTACTTGTGAGCTGTAGTTGGCGGCTCTTTATTCAAGAGCATTGCAGGTAAGGAAAGGGCAGCTGTGGAGTCCATCACAGTTGTCTCATCGATCAGCTTGTCCACAAACTCACTAAAATGAGAGTCGAACTGCTTCAGCAAATTACTCTTCATTTGCTAAGTTAAAAGAAAATAAAAGCGGTAAAATTTGTGAAGCTCATCACTAGAACATTCTCAGGACGTTTGGTGCCAACATTGCAGCAAACCAACAACAAATCTTGGCTCTTGCCAAACTGTGCCTAATATTCTTAGGAATTAGGTAAGCACCCCATAAGGGTGGCATACATATGTGTAACTCTCAGTCTGAATAGGATACTCTTAAGCATGGAGATGAGTTGCTACATGCGTCAGACACCCGTTTGACCAAAAAAAAAAAATATTAATAATCCTTGCATTTGATATAGCTCCTTATCATGTTGCAAGATGTTTTATTTGTGTCTGATACATGGAGTAACCCATCACCATGCTTAAGAGAATCCAAACCAAGCTGAGATGTCTCAAAGCACGTCATGGAGTATACTGTAAGCGAATTGACTGTATTTATTGTGGACGAAACGCGGCAGCCAAGTGCGCACACAGCTGTGTCCCACAAACAACCGTGAGTTGAGTGCCCAAATTAATATTTTTTTCAATAAGTGATTATTATTGCTGGAAAGCTATCCACTAATCGACTAACAACCGAGTTTCTATTTACTGCTAAGTAAACAGAGGTGTGTAGAGTAAGGAAACTTGCCTAAGATTTTTCCCCACTTGCGAATTGAAGCCGGGTCCTCTCGCTTGCGATTCAAGTGCTTTAACCAATACGCTACCGGACTCCACTAAATTTACACGAAAGGATCGTAGACCACATGAATACTGCTGGAACCCTGCTGACTCAAGTAGAAGGTGAATTCAAGGAACCAGTCCTAATTCAGAAGGTACAAATTGCACTGGGCTCATTCTGGGAACATCAAATGGGTAACTTTTGATGCTCTTAAAGGAGCAGTTGGCTCTTTAAAAAACAATGAAGCAAACGTGCTATTTTAGTGTTGAGTGGATGTGTCAAAGTTCACAGGTGCAGAACACCAAAATGCAGGAGGTTTTTAAACACTCAATTCACAGTGATGTGAAACAGGACGCACTTTCCAAAAATCACACTGCCCTCGGCACATTCCTGCACTCCTAAAAGCAGTCCAAGCAGCGCAAGCTAAATATAGTATAACATATAATACATAAAATAAACAAAATGGTAGGTGTTAACGTGCACACACACATACAATATATAAATTATTCAGGTATCCATAGCAAATATTGTATTATTTTCTCAGGTAAAAGCAGTACAAGTGTTAATCTCGACCTACAACTACTTGAATTTATATAGCGCCCTCCACACAGGGTAACATCTCAGAGCGCTTAAAGACCTAGTGCCCTTGGTTTATATGGCCTGTGATCAGTACTAAAAAAAACTTATATTTAGATGACAGACAAGGACAGGATCACTGTGAGCAAGGTAGCCTTGCAACACTCAATCCCTAGGCTCTTGCACGAAAATTCCCACTGATGTGAGGTGCCACAGGACAGCTGACACCCACGTATACTAGAATGACGACCAATGTTTTCCTGCAAGTTGGGATGGGGGTGGGGCAACATCCAGTCATCAGTGAATCGATATGACAAAGAAAGCACATGATAAAGTGGTGATGTGCTGCGAGTGTACTGAAGAATTGAGTTGAGTGAGTTGAGTGCCCAAATTACTATTTTTTTGTCCCTGCTTAATATTTGTAACCAAAGCAAGCCTTGGAATTATGTAATCTTCCAACCCAATGAATGACTCAAGTTTAGAAATAGACATACAAAGGAAATCACATGAATAAGACATTGATACTATGTAATTGATCAGATTGGAGATAGGGGTCACAAGATGGGTTCATTTAACCACGTGCCAGAAGGAAGAAAGTTTACTATTGTAAAAGGTCAAAGTACTCAGCAGATGTTCATTGCCCAGTTGGCCTGGAAACGTTTAAAGAGTTCAATTCATCATTTGAACACAGGGCTGAATGACAGTTCCCCCTGCCCTCCACCAGTGGTTCATTATATACTGAGATTATTCAGCTCAATTCATAATCACACCGAGATTCCACAAAGCATTTAATTCATCATAATCTGCCCAATTTGCTGCAACGCTCATGTTCTGGTTTGTAAACCTTATTCTGAGTGCACGGCCTTTGCTTGCCAAATGAATTTGGACATACACTGGAGCGCAGAAGGGCATCTCATTTCCATGGCAACTTTGGTCCATGCAGAAAGCCTTCTGAGGGTACAGTGTGTTCTCTCTCTGTCTGCTCTTTCCTCTGCCACCCACCAACTTAAAAAATCTTATCAATCTGCGTTGGCGTTAAAGATACTGAGATTTTCAGAGCGGATCTGCTTATCCTGATTGCAGGAGGGGTAATTGAATAAAATTCTGCGATTATATTGAATAAGAGAACTCGTTTGCAACAAACCCATTTCCTGTCACTGAAAATAGCACATTTTCTCTCCCCCCCCCCAATCCCCCCACTGTAGATGATTTGCTAGGTTTAACCTTTACTGAGTTTTTCCATTTACTAGACACAGTGGAAAAAACATATCTCAACAGATGGAAAAATAACTTATATTAATTACTGACTTCCATAGGTAAACACAACAGACAGTTATTTGCAAGCACCAGCAGGGTCCTATAAATTAACAATTTAGCAGTAGGATTGTTAGTCAGGACATGGGAGAAACATCAAGGGATCTTTATATCACTAACAATCCTTACATTTGATACAGCACCTCTCACATTAGGAAGACACCTCAAAAGTGTTTCCCAGGATATTCAGAACTAAATAATAATTTGGTCACTTAATCCATGACTGTTTGTGAGTTCCTGCTGTGCGCAATTGGCTGCTGTGTTTTGCCCACAAAATACACAGTCAATCGATTTTACAACAAAGTGTGTGTGTGAATTATTAAGATTAAGTGTAACGACTGTGTTTTAGGGGAATGCAGCAGCCAATGAAACAGACATGAACGAATCACAAGTGTGGACACACAGGAAGGGAAAATTCAAGAGAAAATGTGGGAAAGGAATCATCCTCTTGCATCTCAAAGTAGAGGACTGATCCGGGAACAGATCTTTCTTGCCTGGAATAAGTGTGATTCTTCTCCCTGACCTCAGCTTAACCAACTTCCAGTTTGAAGTTGCAATCGCCATCTACAGCTCTCAACGTAGGGAGGAGCCTGTGACTGGGACGTCTCGAAAGGGAAGTAACTCTGTAAAGTTCTAATACTGATCGAACCTCGTGCTCTTTAGCAACAGCACTCATCAAGGGACACTTCCTGCTGAATTCAAAAGACAGGAACCAGGAAAGTGGGGGAAGGGAGGCATTCAATGTCAAATGGACACACTAAAGAGAACATATCCCCCGCCTGGTTCTGGCTTCAAGCGGTTTGGTTCCTTTCCAGACACGTCAGGTTTACAACAAACAAAGGATAACAATCGGATCACATCTCAAAGTGCTTACATCCGTTGGATTTCTTGACATGGATTATTTGTGAGTTACTCAGCCAGAAAGAGAATAACCACTTGATATAGTCATGTTATCAGTCCTTCGGATGAGACGTTTAAACCAAGGTCTCATCTGTATCTGTTCAGGTTGAAAGTTAAAAATTCCATAGCACTATTTGAAAAGAGAAGGGAGTTTGTCCTGGCCAACAATCCTCCAGATAAAATTGGTCATTCACTTCCTATCTATTTGTGGGACAATGTTGGGCACAAAATTGGCTGTCGTGTTTGCTAGAAAATATACAGTCACTACATTTCGAGATATTGTTTTTGTTTTAATAGTGTGATAAGCTGTTATATCAAATGTAAGGACTATTAAATTAGCTTTACAATTCAAATGGACACAGCATGAAACAGTCACTTAACCAGCATTTGACTTCACAGAAAATCTTGTGTTAAAGCTACAGTGTGTAACTGAGCAGATTCGACCCATTACTCAACAGATGAGAGGCATATGCTTTTGCTACAATATTATTTCAGCTTACAGTTAGCTTGTAATCTGAGTAACTATTTTGCTAATTGGAAGTTATTCTCCATTGCATTGACGTTGCTCACTGTTAAGAGCTGTCCCACTTTTGAAAGCCCACTTTCCCAATGATAAGGGCCACCCCAAGTGCCACCATTAGTGGCCGAGCCTTCAGCTGTCTCCCAACCTCAGAACTCTCTGCCTCCCCCTTCCCTGCTCTCCCAGCCCCCATCTTCAAACCTTGAAACCCATCAAAAAACATAAGCTGTACCTATGAGCTCCTCCCTCCTTCCCCTTTCCCCTAGTTCGGGGTCCAACCCCACCTCTCTGAAGGTTCTGAGACACGATACTTGTGAAGGAGCCTTGCAAATTGTTGCTGTTCTCCACCTTCTCCCAATCAATCAGCCCTTCAGCTAAATGTCACATTATTAATGAGAGACATGATGGAAATATCCACTGCCCACTCACAGTTTCTCTTCTCACTTCCATTTGCAGTGAAGTTCATGCTGAGCCTGCTGTTCTATTTGTGAGATATCTTATCATTTCCGCTGATCTCGCCCTGACCACACACAGTCCTTGAGAAAGGCCAGAGAAAACAGTGCTGTGTACCATCATCAACTCTCATTTTTCCCCCACAAGAACATCCTCCCACTTTATTCCTCTGGTCAGCCGGAGACATGCCCATCACCATGCTTAAGCATATTCAGACCAAACTGAGAATTCCTTGCATACCACCTACACATGGAAATTCCAGAGATTTATTGGAATCGAATGCACTTTCTCTCCCTGGAGAGACACATCCTGCTTATCTTATTCTGGAATGTATTAGGCGTAGGTTGGCAAGTGTCCAGGCTTGAGGACCGCAGAGTGTGCTTTGGGATAACTAGTCTAACCAGCTAAAACCAAATAGCTTCCATTGACATCGCGGTCTGGCAGGCTTTCACGCTGCTTGTCCAGCTAGGACCACCCTACCCGTTTGGGCTTTGGCTTGCACGGTTAACGGGAGCTGAGTTGGTGGATTCCCTGCACCCAGAAACTGCCCCTCTGGATGAGCTAGGCTGGCTGTGCTCTCTGCATGATTCAAATCATTCTACAATTCAGCTGTCAAATTGCCTCAGTTGATATCACTTTAGTCTGCTTGTCTAAAAGTTTTGGGTTAAAACCCTGAGTTGGAGATGTGAGCTCATTAATTTAGGAGAGCACTGTGGAGTGCAGTGCTGGGGAAAGCACTCCATTGTCAGAGGTACTATCTGAAGATGTTAAACCAAGATCCCTCCTGTTCAGGTGGATGTTAAAACTCCCACTAATGACACGACTGGCAAAGAGGATGAAGCTTCTCCCAGTGTCTTGGCCAGCAATCCCCCAAAGAGAGACAAAAATGGATCATTCCATTCACAGCTGTTTGTGGGATATTGATGTGTGCAAATTGCCTGCTGCATTTGTCTCCAATTACACTTTACAGGAAGCACTCTGGATATGTTTTAACATAAGGATTATTATCATGAAAACACCAATACTGGGAATGTTTAACTCCATGAATCTCCCACAAAATACAGAGTCAATTAACTTTACAATACATTCTGTGAAGCACTTTGGGATGTCTCAACAATGTGATAAGGCTCTATAAGAATTGCAATGATGGTTATTATTATTATTGTTATCTCTTCAGCCTCCAGCATTAAGATTGCATTCGGAGCAAACTTGTTTCATTGAAGTTGAGTATGCTTTACCTTTGAACGCTCAGATTGCCCTGCTTTGCTTGAGAGCAGGAAAAGCAGAAGGAACAGCACTAGATCCCAGTTTGGAGAGACACAATATAAACAGTTTGTCAAGGACCCAGGTGTAGTGTGATCATAATTGGACAACTAGACCGAAAGTGATCTCAAAGGAGGATTATCAATACTCAGAGAACTTAACTCAATTTCCACCCAAGTTATTAATCCCAGGACACACTCTCTCTCACATAACATCTCACACCCACCCATCACCCACCCACCCCATCCACCCACTATTCCTAACTATAACTAAGACCCACACAAATTCATTGAGATTAAAATATTTTCCATGTCATCAACAGAGATGACTAACAAAGTCTCTCCCCTACACAGTTAAAAGCAGGAGTGTTAAGGATTATGTAACGTACAGCCCACTCAAAACACGAAGTTTGATTAGCTCACAGTATTAACCCTGCACATCTCAGCTATAAGATGAGTCCTCAGCAATGATAAAATGTTAACTGCAAATGTACAGAACAAATAAAACAGCTGCAGGAGAGGTAATCTCATTAGCTAGAGAGGCACAACTCAGTGTAGTTCTGAGCCACAGAGGCTTAGAGAGAGTGAAAGAAAAAAATGATAAGGGCATTGGGTTGCGAGTGGAAGAGAGAGAAACTTAGCAAAGAGAAAAAACTTTAGTCACATTTTAAGAGGTAAACATTAATCTGAAACTGTTCAAATCATGCACATTCCACATTTTGAAAGCACACTTTGCTTAAACGTGACCTAAGCAACTAGGTGAAAGTGCATTGCAAAATAATTTGCTTAGTCAACAGGAAATGACTGTCTGGAACTGGGGAATGTTTTGGCTATTGGTATATTTGGATACAGATACTTGGATCAAATTACACTGGTTTAGGAAGAAAGATAAAGTAAAACCAGTTAATGATACACAAGAAAACCTTGCAGGATGATGCATTTGGAATACTTACCTCGGCCTTCAGTTTCAACTGCATCTTTTTATTTGTCACGTGGTCAACATCCAACCTGCCTGCAGAGCAAACAAGAGAGCTTCATTAAACCCAAGGACTCACCCACCCATCCCAGGCACCTGGAAATCCTTCCCACTGAGCCTTTGCACCATTTCAATCTAACTCTCTCTACATAGTTACCATACATTAACAGGAAATCCTGTAAAGCACTTTTGAATGTTTCGACGATGTGATAAGGCTCTATATCAAATGCACGGATTATTAAACAGAGGAAGAAATTACCCACCCACCGCCAGTTACCTATTTATCCCTTCTGCAGAACCATTACATCATTCCAATCTGAACACAACAGCCCATCTTCATTAAGCGTTGGAGTACTCTCTCCACAAGCACTTTCTCGCCTGTGTTGTGTCAAGTCTCTAACAGACAGACGTGTGCCACACCAGGCTCCGCTTACAAAAGAACCCATTAGCTTTCAGCATCCTTTTCCTGTACCATTTTGTGAGTGTTAATCATACCATTGTGGCCAGCAGGAGGTAATGAGCCAAACCTGTAAGACATCCACATTAATAGTGGATACTCATTAGCAGAACCTCAGCTCCTCACATCTTCAGCCTTTTCAAACAAACTTCTCCCAGCGGAGAGGTCTACACTCACTGTTGAACAAGGATCAATAGATAAACAGAAATCAGAAGGTTCCTGAAGTCAATTAGGAGTTTGAGTCAATTTGAGCCTTGATGCATGAAGGCAAACAAGTACTGCTCGTGACTCCCTGTTAAATTGGCTGCCGTGTTCATCCACAAAATACAATCAATCCACTTTACAGTATATCCAGCTACATCAAAGCAAGGATTATTATTATTATAATAATTTGCAGCACTTATTACTTCTCGATCTACCTCATCTCCTCAATTGAACCAAAATGGTGTCTTCATCTTTGGATCTTTACCCTTCAGCCAAATTTCTCAATAAAAATAATCTAAGTCTCTAGTACTAGCTATGTAACATAAACCTCAGGCTGCATACAACTACTAATGCAGTAGCCATCATAAATGGTTCCTAAACATCAATTTCCATCACTTCAGAGAACTGGACTGCCTTTTAAAGAACTTTGTTTTTGCATTCTGTTGATCTTTAGTTGCCTTCATGCATCAAGGTCCAATAACACTAGGGAAGAAACCAACTGCACGGTTACTTCACCCAATGGTACAGCTACAACAGCTTGCATTTAATGGTGCCCTTCATGCAGTGTAGCACCTCGGTACTCACCAATTAAAGTGGACAATTATGACTGTGTCCTATGTGACCTAGCCAATAATCCTCCAGATAAAATTAATCATTTGCAGCCATTGTACTCACGACTGAAAAAGCTTGTCTCCGCATGCTCACATGATGGAGCGGTTGCTAAGGAAATCTTTGCTGTTTAGAGATTTACTGCAGTGTGCAAGAGACAGGAGATGTTCTGAATTTTAACAGTTCAAACCTTTCAAAAATGCTCCCCCCCCCACCCCACCACCCCCAACGAGAAACAAAGCTGATTAGTTCAAAACCATTCACAATGAGCTCATACCGCCCATGCTATGCAGCCAGTAGAAAAGTGGTTAACACACAATAAAGCATACTTTGTACATATTCTTTATCTGGGATTGTTGGCCAGGACACCAGGAGAGACTCCCGTCTCTTTTCGAATACTGCTCTTTAACGCCCACCTGAACAGGCAGACAAGACCTTTGTTCTAATAGCTTAAAAAATATAACGATACCTCTGACAATGCAGCACACTCAGCACTGGAGACAGCCTAGAATATATGAGTTTAAAGTTTTGACGTAGGGGCTTGAACCCACAACTTTCCGACTCAAAGACAAGAGTGCTACCGACTGAGCCAGGCCGAAGAGATCTACTATAGGAAAAGGGTCTTTAGACTCGGTGCCACAAAATACTCACAGGCGCATCACTTTACACTACATGCCGTGAAGGGCTTTCAGATATCTCGACCCTTTGTAATTTTTACATGGTAGCTAGTCTTTAAATACAAAATAAATGATATATTCCCATATATATATATAAAGACTAGCTACCATGTAAAAAGCTAAATACTAGCTACTGCATGCTATTGTTATCTTAGGTAGAGTTTGGGAATACTGTCGTCATTTTGTCTCAGACAAATATTGTTGACACTATTTTCAAGGGGAGATGAAAGGCTTGGAAAAACACAGGAAATTAGGAACAGTCCATCGAGCTAGCAATGAAGGTCATGTAATCATAAAGCTGTGGAACAGGCTCCTTAGGGAGACAGTTGAAGCAGGAAGTGTTGATTCTTTCAAACACAGATTAGATAGTTTTCTTTTAGGAAACAACATTATGGGATATAATACATAGGCAGTTTGGGCAAATATGTGCATGTTACCACCAGGAAGGTGGAAGGTGAACTAGGTGGACCTTGCGTTTTTTTCGTCTAGAATTTCTTATGTTCTTAAAGCTAGAGTCTTAAGGATCGGTTTCCCTTGGCTGGACCTCTCATAGTGGAGACCATTGAGCCTTTGCAGACAATTCCACAGCTTAAGTGTGTCCCCTAATCCTGCCTCCCAAACATCTTAAATCACTCAACTGATTCCTCACCTTTGGCTTTCTGGAGTTGTACACATTTATACATATAAACAAAATAATAATACTTGCATTTGATTCAGTGGCTTATCACGTTGTTGAGATATCTCAAAACAGAATAGTCTGGAGAGAGAATTTACAACAACAATTTGGATTTATATAGCGCCCTCCACGCCGGACGGCGTCTCAGAGCACTTTACAGTAACGGATCCCAGGACCGAGCCGGGGGAGGGGGAAGGTGACCAAAGGCGCGGTCGAAAAGAAAGGTCTTCAGCAGAGACCTGAAAATGGGAAGGGAGGGAGCGAGACGAAGGGAGTGAGGAAGGCAGTTCCAGAGCGTCGGGGCATAGTAGTTGAAGGCACAGCCGCCAAGGGTGGAGCAGAGGACTCGAGGGACAAGGAGGAGGCCAGACCCGGAGGTATTGACGAAATGAGTCAGCCAATTGTGCTGTCAGTTGTGGAATGAGTGACCAAATTATTATTTTTTAGTATATCATTTAAATTTTTTTTAAAAAGATCAACCCCCCCCTCCCCCCCGGAAAGCGTACCCCCAATCCCAGGGCCTCTCGCTTGTGAGGTGAGTTCTCTAACCAATACGTTACAGGACTCCATATGTATCACTCTCTGTCAGAAGAAACTCTTCCTCATCTCACTCTCCAAACATTTTTCTCTAATTTTAAGGTTGTGCCCTCTCACCACTGATGGATCCAGGTGGGGAGAAAATCATTCACTGTTTATTTCACAACATCAACACTTATTCAAACTGCACAACAATTTGTTTCTGGCAAAAGAGGAACGCCCAATAAGCGCTGTGCCCAGATCAACATGAAGATTCAGGCAAATACAACCATTAATACATTGAAAGTTAAGTACGATTGAGTTCACTCCACCCCAGACAATTCCATAATTGTAGTATGTTGAGTCCCCTAATCCTGCCTCCTACGCATATCTTACTTAAATCATTCAACTATGTGTCAGGCAGGTTGTGGATTCAAGCCTTATGTTGGGACTTCGAATCTTATAGTCTAAGTTCACACTCCAATGCAGTGCCAGGAGTGGACATAATCCACCCAAGACCTTGCTATAAAACACAATAAAAAGAAAACGGTTTCCAATTGTAATAATAAACTGTAATTCTATAACAGCTTTAAAAAACTAAATATAAATCATGACTAAGATGAAAATGTTTTTATTGTGCCTACAATGCTGAAATTATCTCAAAATACTTGACAGTAATTACTGTCTTGTGTAGTGCCTTTTTTGTACGTAAATCCAGCACCCATGTTGCACGCAGCAAAGTCCCACAAATGCCTATAGTGAACGGCTAATTAATGTGGAGGACTGTTGGTCAGGACAGTGGGGGATACTCCCTTTTCTAATAGAGCCATGGTAGTTTTAACATCCACCTGAAGATTGAAATGGTTTCATGTCTCACCTGCACACCCAAATAACAGTGCTTTCCCAGTACTGTACTGCAGTATCAGCCCAAACAATAAGCAACATGGGGCTTCCACCCACAATTTTCTGACCCAAAGTCGAGTGCCCTTATGTAAGATGTACGCTGTTTATAACTCCACCCAATTGTACAATAATGGATGTTGGTGACAGGGTGGGGTGCAGTTTCCAGGTTACCTTCGTGATAGGATGCTCAAAGTATAATTACGGCATCAATTTGCATTGTGCCATTCTATTCTCAAAGTGCTTTATAGTCTTGGGGCAGATGCTGAGCAGAAGGGAGGTCAACATAGGCGAAGTCGAAGAGGGTCGTTTGAAGGCATGTCTTGAAGACAGAGAAGTGAACTCTTCCCTCCAGAGGCTGCACATCATCCAGTACTTTGCAGCCTGTGTCCTCTCCAGCATCAGGCTCCGTGACCCTATCAACCCCACGCCCGACTCCATTGGCTTCCCATCACACAGAGGATACAGTTCAAGATCCTGGTTCTCACCTTCAAAGCCATCCATAGCCTTGCTCCCCCCTACCTCTGCGACCCCTAGCCCTCTACCAACTTGTCTGCTCCCTCTGCTCAGTGGGCTTTGGCCTGCTTCACGTCCCCCGCCCCACCACTGGACTTCATCCATTCTGACCCCACCCTCTGAAACTCCATCCCGCAGTCCCTCGCCCCCTCCCTTGCCTCCTTCAAGACCTGTCTCAAGTCCCTCCACTTCGACCATGTCTTTGATCACCTTCCTTTCCCCCCCACCCCTTGCCCTCCACCCTTCCCAATTCCGACCCCCAGCTTGGGTCCAAAACACTGATTGCCCAGCGCCTCGGGACTTGTTTTCAAATCCATCCATTCCTCTGCACCTCCCTACCTCTCTGACCTCCTCTCTCCTCACAACAGTGCCCGTTGCCTTCGTTCCACCGAGTCTGGCCTCCTCCTTGTCCCCCAAGTCCTCCGCTCCACCCTCAGTGGCCGTGCTTTCAGCCACTATGCCATGAGGCTCTGGAACTCCC